CCCTGCAGGGGCATTCAAGGGTCTATGCATACTGTATTTTCTCTTCTCTTCTCTCTCTCTCTCTCTCTCTCTCTCTCTCTCTCTCTCTCTCTCTCTCTTTCTCTTTCTCTATTTTTACCTTTATTGGTTTTTATAGAGCAAGGAAAGGTATGGGATAGAGAGAGAGAAACATCAACAAGTGAGAAACATCATCAATCAGCTGCCTCCTGCACAACCCCTACTGGGGATCAATCCCAGAACCCGGGCATGTGCCCTGACTGGGAATTGAACTATGACCTTCCGGTTTAATAGGTCGACACTCAACCACTGAGCAATAGAAGCCAAGCCTAAAATGTTTTGTTTTCTTTTTTTAAGATTTCCTTATAGATGCTGTTCTGATATTACCCCTTCAAAAAAAAAAAAAAAAGTCTAATGAAATTCCCCAAAGATAACTAAGCTTAGGGAATAACAAAAGAATAATAAATCACCAATATCTATTCAATGCCCCGTACTGATAAAGACCAAACACACTGGATTTTCATCATCACACATATCCATTGGCGACGTGGTTGCTGACAATCGCAGATTTGGCCTGAGGATATCTCTCTTGCTTCTAAAGGATCGTTATTGAGATTCAGGCGTGGAGAGAACTCAGTGACCTTGACTCCACACCGAACTTCTCAGAAGCCCACGGAGCCTGCTGGGGGCAGGCAAGGGGCAGGCTGCATGGGAGGTCTACCATCCGGGTTCAGCTCTTTTCCCTCCTAAGAAAGGTCCGTGATTCTGGGGACTGAGATCTAGAAACCTCTGGGAGCCAGAAGAGTCATCACCTAGTAATTTAGCATCAACTCTGTGGTTGGGTGGTGGTTCTTTTCATGTCACAGGGAAGGAGCTGTTCAAACAGCGTCGCTGGTTTGAAACCCATCCAGAGCCAATGCCAACGCCGAGTGGGCTGCCTGAAACCCACACATTGTTTCCTTCAGACAAGAGATAATGATGCCCTAATGAGCGTTACCCCTTACTGCCCTCCCTGGAACTCAGCCCCGGGAGGAACACCCACAAGACAAAATTGTTCGCCCCAACATTTACGATATTTTGCAATGACCCCTGTCCCCTTTTCTTCAAGTGCCTGTCCTAGTGCTGTTAAGTATGTGTGTTGTTTAACTCCCAGATTCCGACCTCCTAGGATCTCAGAAGTGCCCTCCCAGAGAGAGACAGGAAATGAGGAAATGAGGGGAAATAAGAGAACCCTCGTGGATCCAGAATACCGCCGAGGAACGTAACGCGCTCCTGAGATGTTGTCAGATTCTGAGGTGTCCTGACCTCGTCCAAGAGGGGGAAGTGACAGAGATGAATATTTGAAGTCATGGAGAGGGAACGGGAGGCTGGAAGAAGTTGGACTGAAGGTCCCTTTCATAAAAAAGCGTGTACGCCCTCAGCGTAATTTTTATCCTCTCCAGCGACTCTGTTTCGCTCGCTCAGAGTGAATTCTTACGTATTCAGAAAGCTTAATGGATTATGGTTTATCAGCAACCATCTTTTTATAGATATATTTTTATTGACTTCAGAGAGAAAGGGAGAGGGAAAGAGAGAGAGATGCATCCATGATGAGAGAGAATCATTCATTGGCTGCCTCCTGCATGCCCCCTACTGGGGATGGAACCCACAACCTGGGCATGTGCCCTGACCGGGAATCGAACCGTGTCCTCCTGGTTCATACGTTCATGCTCAACCACTGAACCACGAAGCTGGGCTTGCAGCAGAATTTAAAAGCATAATAAACATGAGGAACTGCACATTATCTTCCCTCCTTCTCCACTGCGATCTTGTCCGCATCCGCAGCACAGCTCTGAGAGTCCTCCCGCCAAGATGATCTCCATCCATCGGGGAGACCTATGACCCTTCACCTCACCTGACTTCGTGGCCACTCCTGCCCTTCCTCGGCCAGCTTTGTAGATTTCTACAGGAAATGCCTTGAAAAGCTTGTGTTCCCAGACTTCCACCCTCTCTTCCTGCTTTTCCCTTCACTGTACCCCCAGGTCAGTGGTCGGCAAACTCATCCGTCCGCAGAGCCAAATATCAGCAGCACAACGATGGACATGTCTTTGGGGAGCAGAATTTTTTAAACGTAAATGTCTTCTAACGCCACTTCTTCCACACAGACTCGCCCAGGCCGTGGTATTTTGTGGAAGAGCCACCCTCAAGGGGGTCAAAGAGCCACATGTGGCTTGAGAGCCTCAGTTTGCCTAAGAAGGTGTGTACAGGGGGCAGGCAGGACTCAGTTCCTGACACTTCCGGTCTTCTCTTTTTTCTCTTCTTCCTCTTCTTCCGCCCATCCATCCTGCTCTCACTGTATGCACCGCCTGAGGTATAGTAAAGGCCCCAGGGCAGCACACAGAAGGACAATTCTAAATATTGGTGTTCTCACTGGAAAGTAGATGACTCATAAGTAAACCCTCTCCAAAGCTAGCTTGCTTCCAATGATTTGCTTGAAATCAAAATGGAAGGAGGCTCTCATTAAACTGTCAACCGTTATATCACCCAAAATAACTTTGTGTGATGACTGCTCTGAGATTTTTCACACTAGTAAGTCTGGAAAAATATATATATATATATTTTAATGGAGACGTTTGTTGCTATTAAAACCCACATTTATTTATTTATTATTATTATGTTCTGTTTCTGTGCAGGCGTTTCTTTAGGATGTGGTTAACTCATTGTCTTAACAACACGATCAAGCTTTCCGTTGCCTCCCATTGTGTACCCTCTGCTGCAAAGACTGACTTTCCTCTCCTTAGTCATCAGATCCTTGCAAAACCTCAACCAAAAACCGGAACAATGATTTTTCCTGGCTGTTCCTCATATCTCATGGCCCCCGTGTTGCAATCGGCCATTTGCAAGGAGAGTAGACTAACCACTGTCTTGGACCAATCAACTTTCTACTTCATGGTTTGTGGAGGAGACTATGAAGAAATTGCCTGGCCCGTGTGGTTCAATGGTTGGCCTCGACCTATGAACCAGGAGGTCATGGTTTGATTCCCAGTCAGGGCACAAGCCCAGGTTGTGGGCTCGATCCCCAGTAGGGGGCGTGCAGGAGGCAGCTGATCGATGATTTTCTCCCATCACGGATGTTTCTATCTCACTATCCCTTCCTCTCTGAAGTCAATCAAAATATATTCTTAAGAAAAATAGAAGGAGGTGGCAAAATGAAGTCGGGAAATACTAATAATATTTTCATCTGGATGGTGGGTCTCTAGGGTCTATTACATCTCTCTCTGCCTCTCCCTTCCTGGCTGAAATCAATGAAGATATTTTTTATTTATTTTTATTTTTTTAATAATTTATTTATTTAAGACAAACTTACTCATTGATTTGTTGAGTATCTAACATTTGTTGTTTCTTTTCTTTTTTCTTTTTTAGTATATTTTATTGATTTTTTTTACAGAGAGGAAGAGAGGGATAGAGAATTAGAAACAATGATGAGAGAGAAACATCCATCAGCTGCCTCCTGCACACCCCCTACCGGGGATGTGTCCGCAACCAAGGTACATGCCCTTGACCGGAATCGAACCTGGGACCCTTCAGTCCGCAGGCCGACGCTCTATCCACTGAGCCACACCGGTTTCGGCAACTCGTAGAGTTTTCGATCTGAACACGCTCTAGCCTTGTTCTCCCTGCAGGGCGAAAGCAGGCATTTCTGAACCCATCGCAGCCTCCCGGGAAGCTGGTGCTGGAACCAGGCGCTCAGGGGCACATTCCAGTCCGTGAAAGACTCTGTCAGTCTTTCCTGGCGGGCCCTCGCACATGTGGGGTTGTGTTTACGCAGGACGTGAATAATTTCGGAAATTGCTAAGACGGAACCAGCATACTTTCTTTTTAAGAGACTATGGAGATCGCAGATCATTCTGCAAATCTAATAAGCTGCATGGGCTGGGCAGGTCCAGTCCCCGACGCCTGCCATGAGCCTGCTGGACGGGCAAAGAGGAGGAGGAGGCGGCGGGGAGGCCCCGGAGACAGGGATGGGGACGGCGGCTCCCGTGAGGGCTGGGCCCCTGGAAAAGAACGTGGACGCCGAGGGCGTTGCTGGAATTTACAAGGCTTATCACAGCGCTTGTCCAGATTAAACACTCAACAGACTCCTGTGAAGGCATCCCGGCTGGTGACAGGCGGAAGCCTCTTGGGTCTGAGACTAACAACGGTGACTCAGAGAAATATGTCAGCGTAGATGTCTTTATCCTGTCCATTGCGTCCCTGGGACTCGGTTATCTTATAACTGGAAGTTCCTAGCGTTTGACCGTCTATCAAACAACCTATCTAGCTTAGATATATATTTTTTTAATATATTTTATTTTTTACAGAGAGGAAGAGAGAGGGATAGAGAGTTAGAAACATCGATGAGAGAGAATCATCAATCAGCTGCCTCTTGCACAACCCCTACTTGGGGATGTGCCCGCGACCAAGGTACATGCCCTTGACTGGAATCGAACCCGGGACCCTTCAGTCCGCAGGCTGACGCTCTATCCACTGAGCCACACCGGTTTCGGCTAGCTTAGATATTTTAAGATAATTATTTTTTTTAATCTTTATAGTTGAAAGTATCACATAGGTCCCCCTGTTTCCACCCATTGGATTCCAGCCCACTGCCACCTCTTACCCCAGGCCTTCACCTCCCTATTGTCTGTGTCCGGGGGGGGGGGGGGGGTGTGCATCTATGCACACAAGGTCTTTGGTAGATCTCTTCCACTCCCCCACCCCTCCCCACCCACGTCCCTCCGTGACCTGATCGTCTGCTCCATGCCTCTATGCCTTCGGGTCTATTGTGTTCATCGGGTTATGTTGTTCATTCGATTCCACGCGAGGACAATTGTTTTTAACAGAGAGGCAGCTATTTGCACCTGGACAGGCTCCATCCCCAGTGCTGGGCGTGCAGGAGGCAGCCCGTCCATGACTCCCTCTCCTCATTGATGTTTCTCTCTCTCGCTCACCCTCTCCCTTTCTCTCTGGTCCTCCTCTCCTTGCAGAGATGTCCTGGAAGCTCTGGCTGACCTTGACCCTGGCGGCCGCACTGGTGAGGGCGGCCGATGGCAGGAAGAACCGGCCTGCGGGCGCCATCCCCTCGCCCTACAAGGACGGAGGAGGAGGAGGAGGAGGAGGAGGAGGAGGAGGAGGAGGCAGCAACAACTCGGAGCGCTGGCAGCACCCGGTGAGGGAGGTCAAGGAGGTGCTGGCGTCCAGCCAGGAGGCGCTGGTGGTCACGGAGCGCAGGTACCTGAGGAGCGACTGGTGCAAGACGCAGCCGCTGCGGCAGACGGTGGGCGCCGAGGGCTGCCGCAGCCGCACGGTGCTCAACCGCTTCTGCTACGGCCAGTGCAACTCCTTCTACATCCCCCGCCAGGCCCGCCGCCCCGAGGAGGCCGCCTCCTTCCAGTCCTGCGCCTTCTGCCGGCCCCAGCGGGTGGCCTCTGTGCTCGTGGAGCTGGACTGCCCCGGCCTGGACCCGCCCTTCCGGCTCAAGAAGATCCAGAAGGTGAAGCAGTGCAGGTGCATGTCCGTGAACCTGGGCGGCTCGGACAAGCAGTGAGATCCGTGGCGCACCGGCCCCGGGACGCACCGGCCACCACCGGCCCCTCCGGCCCTGTCCTCGAACCCGCTCTCCTTGGGGAGGATCGTGTCCTGGTTGCAGCTTGGCTGATGGGTGTGGGGGGCCGGCCCCGGGCCTCCCTGCTGCACCCCGGATCCGGAGGAGGAGGTCTGGAGAGGGGCTGATGTTTCCACCGTGTGGAAAGGGGCCGTTGCCCTGGCCTGGCCTGCACTCCAGCTCGCCCTCTGCCTCCCGAAGTGAAGGATGCACCTCCTCTCAACCTTCTGCTGCTGGACCCTGTCCCCCTGGCCCCCCAGGGCCCCTGGTCCCCACGGCTGGGGCTGCCCTCTGGCTGCTGAGCTGTGGATTTGGAGGAGCTGCTTATGGGCACGAGTTCCTGTCCCCTGAGGCCAAGAATTGGTGGCCACAGCGGCTTCCCTGCGGACCTTGCTCTCAGCAGGCCATGCTCCCCCCGCCCCCCGCCCCCAGCCCCCTTCACCTGCCTCACTCCCCCTCCCCCTCACCCCCCAACAACGGACTCCAGATGGACGCTGGTGTGCATGCTGTCATCGCTGCCGTCCGCATGTTATCACACACACGGCCTGCAGGGCGGCGCCCTAGGGTGTCATGCCTGGCCTGTATGTACCCCATAGAGCTGTTCCCAAGGGTTCTGGGTTTGGTTCTCCTACTGGTTCACGGGTTTGGACTCGGGCTCGGCAGCGGGTCCTGGGTCAGGACCAGAGCAGGAGGCTGGCGGGCCCAGACGGTATCTGACCCAGAAATACGGCCTGGCAGCGGGTGCCTGCTCCAGATCAGGAAGGGGGGTGAGGGAGGAGTGGTGGTCTCACACTGAATGGAAGGAATGTAGGCACCAGGTTGGGGTGCAGGGGTGCGGGGAAATTGTTCATCATTCCCATGCCTCTGCAGAGTGAGAAGGCCCGCTATTTCACTGCCACGGCACTAAGCAAACGCTATGTTAAAAGAGAGAGCTGTTTAAGAAGGCAAGGAGTTGGGTCCCATTGTGGTCTAGGCCAGTGGTCGGCACACTCATTCGTCCACAGAGCCCAATAGCAACAGCACGACGATGGACATGTCTCTGGAGAGCCACATTTTTTTAAACGTAAACGTCTTCCGACGCCACCTCTTCCACACAGACTCGCCCAGGCCGTGGTGTTCTGTGGAAGAGCCACCCTCCAGGGGCCAAAGGGCCGCAGGTGGCTCGAGAGCCGCAGTTTGCCGACCACAGCTCTAGGAGGAGGTCAAGGCTATGACGTGTCCAGTGGGAATCTGTGAACTCCCAGAATGCCACGGGCTTCCTCTTCAAAGAACAGACTCCCGCCTACAAGACGGGCACCCTTAGGCCAGCTTGCATATTTTTTCTCTCATGAATTCTTGAGGTTCTCAAGACGGAAGGAAGTGGACATCATTTAGTTTCCTGAGAAAAAAAAAATTATTTTTACTCTGCTGAATGGCCCCCACCGGAAGGTTCCCTGTGCATGGTGTTTATGGAATCTGATCCAGGCGAACGAGATTCCAATCTGATGGGTGGGAAGGAGCACGCTCAGAACGGTTTTCCCTGGCAATCAATCCCCAAGCCCCGGGCCCTGGACGCTCTGCCGGGGGCCTCAGGAAGGCCTGTGAGTTACCCGGATGGGGGAGACGTGGAAACCGAGGCTTCTTGGCATGAGACAGCGATGGAGGAGGATCTAGACTAGGGGTGTCGAACTCAATCAGAGAAGGGGCCAAAATCTAAAATCCAGCCTAAATCGCGGGCCGAATGGTTTACTGAACAGTCATAAACTGTCATTGTGATGGAAACGCAGCGGAGTGCAGTGATGACAGCGCGGTGCGGGCCACATTGCAAGGCCTGGCGGGACGGATTTGGCCCGCGGGCCTTGTGTTTGACACATGTGATCTAGACACATCCCCCTGGAGAGCACGGATTCGGTGGGCGTGGCGTGTCCGGGCATCCGTGGCCACCCCTGCCTTATCAGTTTCATTTCCGTTGTTTCTGAAACGCCCCGAGATCTGAGCAGGGTGTGCGATTTATGACTGAGCCGTCGGGGATCCGAAATGGGCCCAAAGGCAGGACATTCGCCTGTAGTGGGAAACCTCAGGCAGAACAAGCAGCAGAGAAGCCGGGAGGGAAAGTGGTTCATGTGATCGGGATGGAGGCTGATGGAGAGGAAGAGGAGGAGGGGAGGGGCGGGGAGGGAGAGTGAGGGCAGGGCATCCTCTGGTCAAACTGCCACGCCACCCCCTGTGATTGTAGGAGCACAGAGCCCAGGCCCATAGGGGAAGGATGAGGGTGCATTCAGAGGGCAGACACCAGCCCACTCGCCGGGCCCGACTGTGGGTAGAGCAGTGGAAGCAATACGAAATACTGCAATGTGGGTTCTTGTCTGTACAAAGTTTACCTTCTGACGGCTCCAATCGTATTTAATTGTGTGTGTGTTGGGTGTGTTGTGTTTTTTTTTGTTTGTTATAAATGAAGGAAAGCTATACGTATAATGTAATTATTTTATAGGTGTACTATTAAATTATAGAACAAATAAAGAGGCTCTAGGATTCTGTGAGGTCTCGATGTGGCGTGCCGTGAGGGAGGAAGGGTGAGCTTGGCTCCGGGGACGGCCCTGTAGCGCTGTGCGTTAGGAGGGCTTCTGTCCGGCGGCGGGGAGTCGAACCCCTGGCCCGCATCACAGGGTCGCCCGCCTTTGGGGCCGGCCAGCGTCAAAGAGATTCAGAAGCAGGTGTCCAAGAGCGGGAGGGCTGCGGGTGGCTCTCAACCCTGGTCTTGGGGGGTTTGCCAAGATTCTTACAGATCCCAGCAGCTGGAGAGAGAATTCCTTCTTTTTTTTCTTTCCTTTCCTTTTCTTTTCTTTCCTTCCACTTTCTTTCTTCCTTCCTTCCTTTCTTTCTCTTTCTTTTTTTCTTCTTCCCTCCTTCCATTCTTTCTTCTTTTTTTCTTTCTTTTTCCTTTCTTTCCTTCCTTCCTACCTTCCTTTCTTTCTTTCTTTCTTTCTTCCTTTCTGTTCAAATATATTTTTATTGATATGAGAGAGAGAGAGAGAGAGAGAGAGAGAGAGAGAGAGAGAGAGAGAGAGACATCGATGAGAGAATCATTGATTGGCATCCTCCTGCATGCCGCCTACTGGGGATCGAGCCCACAACCTAGCCACGTGCCCTTGACTGGAATCAAACCTGGGACCCTTGAGTCCGCAGGCCGACGTTCTATCCACTGAGCCACGCCGGGTGCGAAGAGAGAATTCTCCAGCTGTCCCCCCTGTGTTCTCCGCATCAGGAAGACGGAGCCGGGAAACCTGGAGACACCGCCACAGATGGAAGTCCGCCGTCCACCTCGCCGTCCCCTCAGCAGCCCGGGCCCCCCACCGCATCTCCCAGGAGCCAGACGCGTCCTGAGCTTTGGACATTTCCACACCCACTTGTGATGAGGCTCAGCCTTTCTTAATTTAAGTCCTTTCGTTTCACAGCGTCTCACTTCCTCTATGGATCGGCTTACCTGCCATTCAAGAGACTGAACCACCAATAAAAGCGATGAAACTGCATATGGTTGGCTTGCTGTTTGGATTTAAAAGGGATTTCATTGAACTTCCTGATAAGTCATTCAATTTAGTTCATTAATTGGGGCCCAACACGCCACCTACATGAGACTAAGGCATTCCAATTCACTTGTTTCTGAAGTTGGATGATTGATTTTTTTAAAAACACACAAAACTATTTTTATTGATTTCAGAGAGGAAGGGAGAGGGAGAGAGAGATAGAAACATCAATGAAGAGAGAGAATTATTGATCGGCTGCCTCCTGCACACCCCCTACAGGGGATGTGCCCACAACCAAGGTACATGCCCTTGACGGGAATCGAACTTGGGACCTTTCAGTCTGCAGGCCAATGCTCTAGCCTAGGGGTGTCGAACTCAATCAGAGAAGGGGCCAAAATCTAAAATCCAGGCTAAATCGCGGGCCGAATGGTTTACTGAACAGTCATAAACTGTCATTGTGATGGAAACGCAGCGGAGTGTAGTGATGACAGCGCGGTGCGGGCCACATTGCAAGGCCTGGCGGGACGGATTTGGCCCGCGGGCCTTGTGTTTGACACATGTGCTCTAGCCACTGAGCCACACCAGTGAGGGCTTTTTTTTTTTTTTAAATCTGTTGAACAAATCCATGCCACTTGGAAGTCAGTACTCAGTGGCATCCTCCTTACAGTCACAACCCAGAAATGCCAGCCTGGGGGTCCCGGACTCTCCACCTCTGCCCCTAACACACACACCTCTTCACTCGCCAAATTCTGCATCTGTCGTGCAGAGGGAGAAACCGTTTGACACAGGCCCGGAGAAACTGAGGCAGCAGCAAAGGGATCCTTGAAGGAGGTCCCTGAATTAAGGTGTGATGCGGGGATGGATATCAGAGCTCCAGAATGGGGGTCTGGGCTCCATCATAGGGGTCTGGGCTCCAGCGGCGAGATCTGAGTATCAGGATAGAAGTCCGGGCCCCGTCATTGATTTCAGAACTCAGGATGTAAGTCAGTGCAGCTGAGGGAGGTTCTAGGGCGGCCATAGAAATTGGGATTTTTATATGAAGGTCTGGGCCCTGAATGAAGGTCTAATCTTGGGATGGGGGTCTGGGACTCTCTGAGATGGGAGTCTGGGCCCCCCAGGATGGAGGTTTGGGCCCCAGGATGCACGTCTGGGCCCTGGGGTAGAGATCCCGGCCCCAGGCATGACGTCAGCTACCCGGATGTAGGTGAAGGCCCCGGATGGAGGTCCTGGTACCGCCATAGGAACAGGGGTCCTGGCCTTAAGGTGCTGTCCCTGAATTAAGGCCTGAATTGAGGTGGCCCCAGCCCTCCCGAGCCACACGGTCAAGGTCAAAACAGAAGCCCAGCGAGAGGTAGGTGGGGGCTCTCGGGGCGGGTGGCCAGGCGGGGGCCGGGGCCTCCACCTCGGCAGTGGGGTCATTCTAACGGGCTTGGGAGAAAGGGGTGAAGGCAGAACGGAAGCCGGGGTGTTGGGGTCCCGGAGGGGGGGTGAAGGTGGAGATGGATGAAACGCAGGAGGGCGGCCCGAGGCTGGAGGAGGAGACACCCCGGGAACGCACAGGCCCGAGGTCGGCAAACGGCGGCTCACGAGCCACATGCGGCTCTTTGGCCCCTGGAGGGTGGCTCTTCCACAAAACACCACGGCCCGGGCGAGTCTATGTGGAAGACGTGGCGTTAGAAGACGTTTACGTTTGAAAACTGTGGCTCTCCAAAGACATGTCCATCGTTGTGCTGTTGCTATTTGGCTCTGTGAACTCATGAGTTTGCCGACCACTGCCCTAAACACTTAAAAATTTTTTTTTTTTTACAAATGAGGTAGCAGCTGTATAACATTCTTTCAGGAAAAGGGTTGCAATGGGAGTCACGGAATTTATTCTAAAAGGAACGGGATTGTGTTGCTTTGCCAACCGGGGGCGTGTAATCAACCACCTGGGGATCTTGTTAAATCGCAGGTCCTGCCTGGCCTGCATGGTTCAGTGGATAGAGCGGTGGCCTGAGGACTGAAGGGTCCTGGGTTTGATTCCGGTCAAGGGCATGGACCTGGGTTGTGGGCTTGATCCCCAGCCCCATTAGGGGTGCATGTGGGAGGCACCAGTTGATGAGTCTTTCTCACTTCGATGTTTCTCTCTCTCTTCCCCTCCCTAACCCTGACCTATCTAATCCCATCAATCTAATCCCATATATCAAACCCTATATATCCCATATATTAAATCCCATCCATCTAACCATATACGTATATATACACATACACACACACACACACATATATGTATATAATCCCATCAATCTAATCCCATCCATCTATATCCTATATATAATCCATAAATCTAATCCCATATATTCTAGTTCCATACATCTAATCCCATCCATCCAATCCTATATATAATCCCATCCATCTAATCCTATATATAATCCCATCAATCTAATCCCATACATCTAATCCTTTATATCTAATCCCACCCATCTAATCCTATATATAATCCCATACACCTAATGCCATCCATCCGATCCTATATATAATCCCATACATCTAATCCCATTGAATTCACAAGCCCAGGATGTAGGACGATGCTGCTGACGGAGGTTCGAGTGGCACCATAGAAATTGGGGTTCTGACTTCAAGGTCCGGGCCTCAAATTATTGAGGAACTGGGATGGGGGTCTGGGGATGGTGCTCTGGGCCCCGGAGAGAGGTCTCTTCCCGGGATGGAAGTCAGGGCCCTGGCAGGAGGTCCGAGTCCCGCTATGGACACAGGGTCCTGCCGGGAGGGTCTGGGCCCCAAATTAAGGTGTGATCCTGGGATGGATGTCTGGGCCCCGGGGCAGTGATCCTGGCCCCAGGACTGAAGTCAGATACCCGGATGTAGGTAAAGGCCCCGGATGGATGGAGCTTCTGGTACCACCATAGGAATTGGGGTCCTGGCCTGAAGTTGTTTTTCCCTGAATTAAGGTCTGATGCTGGGATGGATGTCAGGGCCCCAGAATGGGGGGGAGGGGGTGTGTGTCAGCTCCATCATGGGCGTCTGGGCCCCAGGAGGGAGGTCCGAGTATCAGTATAGGAGTCTGGGCCCCATAATTGAGTTACGGACCCAGGACGTACATCAATGCAGCTGGGGGAGGTTCGAGTGCCGCCCTTGAAATTGGATTTCTGACTTGAAGGTCGATGCTCAACCACTGAGCCACACCGGCTGGGCTTTAAGGCCCCGTTTTCTGTAGAGGGCAGTGGGCAAACCACCGCTTTAGAAATGTCCTCATTTCCTATTCTTTCTGATAAGTCTTTTTACTCAGAATAGAAGGAAATACTTCCTATTGTTTAAGGAGCAGGGTCTAAAGTTCGTTTGTCATCAGTGCCTTCATTCTCTCCATCTTTTGGGATCTGGGCCCCAGGATGGAGGTCTGGGCCCGGGGCAGTGCTCCCAGCCCCAGGAGTGACGTCAGGTACCCGGATGTAGGTGAAGACCCTGAATGGAGGTCCTGGTACCGCCATAGGATTAGGGGTCCTGGCCTTAGGTTGTCCCTGAATTAAGGTCTGATCCTAAGATGGAGGTCTGGGCCCCAAAATGGGTGTCTGGGCCTCAGGAGGGATATCTGGGGTTCTGGGTAGAGGTCCTATGAACCAGCAGATCACGGTTTGATTCCTGGTCAGGGCTCAATTCCTAGTGTGGGGTCTGCAGGAGGCAGCCCATCATTGATTCTCATCATTGATGTTCCTCTCTCTCTCTCTCTCTCTCTCTCTCTCTCTCTCTCTCTCTCTCTCTTTACCTCTCTCTTCCCCTCTGAAACCAATAAGCATATATTTTGGGAAATAAAATGGGGCCTTACAATTCTTCCTTTGGTTGACTTCCTCCTCTTGTCCTACTGGGAACTTCTAACCCATCCCTTCTCCCGTAAATCTCTCTGCGCTGTGAGCTGTGCCAGGTCACCCTGACAAAGTGCCAAGGGCCCGGGCCCCATCCCGACTCCAACTCCTTGAAGGGAAGGAGAGTGTTTGATAAACTAGGCACATGGCACATCTTCCTAACCACCACCCCCACCCTTCCGGTTCTGCTGCTCAAAGCAAGACCGGGGCTGTGAACAAGGATGAGCTGGATCCTGTGTGGGGCGGGGGTGCTGGGTACCACATTATACATTGGGTGTCTCATCAAGGCTGGAGACTTGACACTTGATGTTTGAAAGTTCAGCAAACAAGGTTGGAGAGTTGTCCAAATATTTACATCTGTCGTTTTGTGTTGCTTTGCATTCCACTTTTGTGTGTGTGTGTGTGGTGTGGTATGTGTGTATATTTTTAAATTTTTGTTTTAGATGAGTACCCAGTATACAGTATACAACTCGTGTTACCATAGGCACCACATGTGTGTGTTCCCATGTGCTAGAAGGTGCTCTTTTGGTGGGATCTGTTTCTGGATGCCTTCTGGAGTTTGGGAAGCTACATTTTATTTTATTTTATTATTTTTAATATATTTTATTGAATTTTTACAGAGAGGAAGAGAGAGGGATAGAAAGTTAGAAACATCTATGAGAGAGAATCATCGATCAGCTGCCTCCTGCACACCCCGGACTGGGGATGTGCCTGCAACCAAGGTACATACCCTTGACCGGAATCGAACCTGGGACCTTTCAGTCTACAGGACGACACTCTTATCCACTGAGCCAAACCAGTTTCGGCACAGAAGCTACATTTTAAATTTCTTTTTTTTTTTTAAATATCCTATATAATAAAAGGCTACCATCTTTGTTGGGTTAATTTGTATAATCACTCCTGATTGGCTAGTGGATGTCACGAAGGTACGGTCAATTTGCATCTTATTCTTTCATTAGTGTAGATAGGCCTTTACCGCATATTCTGTACCAAATAAATTTCTGCATCTGATTTCTAAACGATTTCTCAGACATTAATATGTTGTTGTTCATACGTGGATACTACTTTTTTCTTCCAATTACAGTAGGAAAACTTCAACCTTTTTCAAAATATGCTTTGATGGAGCACAGTAATTACTTTATCTCGGAAAGCAAGCATTCATCAAATGCTTAACCATTAGCCATTGTAAATAAGAGCTTTTAGGAATCTTCACACAGAGATGGCCTCACTTCTCTCCCTCCCAGTTTTAAAAGCGATGGGCTTCACGTTGCCATATCCTTAGGCAGCATGCACACAATGAACATGGAGCCTTTCATTACTCATTTTATTTTCATATAAATTAACATCCTAAAAAAATTGAAATAGAAACACTAGATACAGTATTGCACATAGCGATCTTTGTTAAATGCCCTATATTTTCCTGGAAGAATATTAATATACACATTGGAAAGAGGGAAGGAGACAGGAAGACTACAAAATGACAACCAAAAAAAAAAAAAACACCCCACTATGCTTTCTCTACACTTAACAAACTCAGGTAGGAGACCATACTTTACATAAATACCATCTTAGTTGCGCGTCAGAACGCTCTGTTTGTGAAGTCACTTTCCACAATGGGCTTGCAAGAGCCATAAACTCTCCTCTTTTCTCTACAACCATAACCCCCAACCGACACCATTAAAATCATTTTCACAAACCACACCTGCTCCGGCGAGACAAAACCATCACAACGCATCATACGCAGACTGGAGGTACTTCCCGAGGAGTTCTCGATTTATTCTGTTCCCTCCGACATAAAATACAATCCTTTCCTGGGCTCCTTCAAATCATGAAGAATAGCATATTCACTTTACAGCTTTGAATCACCCGCCATCACCTACAGGGAGGGTCCCAAGGATGTCCAAGTACTCCAGCAGGTGTGTTTCACTAACAAGTTCTAGGCCGGTGCCGATCCAACCATTAGCCACGTCTGATAATTTTATTTAAATTCCTCCAAAATATTGGGTCATATTTTCTTTGTAAAAGGCCGTGGCAAAGTGATGGAGAGGCACACGTTTAGTTTTCCTTCTCTCTGCTACAGATTCGCTTCATGTTGGGTTTCCAATGACACTCTGATCAAAAGCCCTAAATAACCAAAACACCGATTTCTGCCTACATGAAATGATTGATGAGAAAGGGGTTTCCCTTCTGCTATATATATTTTTTTTTTCATTTTCTTCCCAGCAAAAATAGGATCATCTCTTTTCACAAATATATATTCATGGAGAGCAACTCGAGGAGTGGGGAGAGCCTTCCTGATGATAGATCAATGGTACTGAAATCTTAGGATAGAAAACACAGACGTAGGTGGGAAACTAGAAATGACATTTCAACCATACACCCGCACGCGGTCATGGGGAGCACTGGTTTTCCGTAGGAAGGACTCTCGCTGTAGAAGGAATATTCTCAGAAAAGTAAAATTTAGGTTAAGGGTGTAGCACGTTCAGAATTAATGCAGATTCTGCCTCCTCGAACATGCCGTCTCTGCCGGTTGGTGGTCACACCATCAACTTTTACAAAAAGAAAAGGTGTCAGAGTGTACACTGGTCTCCTGCTTTTCCACTCTCCTAGGGACGTCCAGTGAAGGCCAGCCGCCGGTCAGCGGTCTAGGAAACACAGAGGTGATGCGAGGGGTCAAGAAGAAAATGACGGAGATGGCGTGTTCCCTTCTGGCCTCCAGGTCGGCGGAATGTTCTGTAAGTGGCTGGAGGGTGACTCATGTTCATCCTGTTTTTCTTCGTTCAGGTTTTCATGCTGATCTTTGCTTTCTGAAAAAGAAAGGCGCCAGAGAAGAGTGAGAGTTAGAAAACACGAAGTTTTAAAATGTTTGGAGTTTTTAGAGGAGCCCAAACGAGACCTGTTCGTCTGGACCAGATTCTCTGGGAAAGGTTAAAGGTCAACCAGCCCATAGAAGGGGAAAATATATAAGTAGAATACGTTTCATCTTTTGGAATTTTCACCCAAGACAAACCACTCCATATTTTTTAGTGGAATCCAAGATTTTAAAATTTCATTTCTAATTGATGAGAAAGAGTGCCAACCCTTTTCTCATTCTTAGTTTCATGTACACTACACTAATAGGAAAATTGAACGGGCTATTGGTATTACTATTTAGTATAGTTAACCCCAGCATGATTGGGGTTAACTACTAAATAATTACTCTTCCTCGTTCAATACACTTAAAATCTGTACTTTAATCAAAATGACAGAAAAGAAAGTAAGCCATCATGTATTACTTGTCATTCTGATACAGAGAAGCTGAATGGAAAACAGCTTTTATTTCTCTAATTTTTTTTGCATTTGGTTATTTATTTAGGTATCTAGCTAATACATTATTATGCTTAGCTGATAGTTCAAGGCTCATTGTCTTGCTGTCCTGTCGTTTTTAAATTTTGTTTTTCAGTGATAGTTGACAGTATTATTTTATATTCGTTGTAGCTGTACAGCCTAATGTTTAGACAATCATACAATTTCCAAAGTGATACCCCTGATATTATAGTATAATATCCCCAAGGCCCATCCATGTTGTCACAAATAATAAGATTTTTTTTTTTATGGTCAAGGAATATTGCATTGTATATGTGTACTGCAGATGGTTTTGTAATCCACTCATGTATTGATGTGCAATTGGGATGTTTCCATATCTTGGCTACTGTAAGTAATGCTGTAATACCTAGGGGTGTATATATCTTTTAGTGTATTGGATTTCGTTGGATCGATACCCAGAGCTGGAATTGCTGAGTCATGAGGCAGTTCTATTTTTATTTATTTCTTTATTTTAGAAAACATTTCTTTTTTATTTTTTTAATTGATTATGTTGTCACATAATTGTCCTTATTCTCCCATTCCCATCCCAAACCCCTCCCTAGATATCCTCCCCCCCCCCCCCCCCCCCCCCCCCCCCCCCCCCCCCTGCCGCCGTTGTCCATGGCCACTGGCTAGGCCCATATGTATGCACACAAGTCCTTTGGTTGATCTCTTCCCCTTACCCCCATCCTCCCTTACTTTCCCTCTGAGGTTTGAGAGTCTGATCGCTGGTTCTCTTTCGCTGGGTCTGTTTGTGTTGTTCATTATTTCCTCTAGATGTGTGAGATCATGTGATCCAAGAAATACCCTTGTAAAAACCTAAACTGCTCATTTTTGAGGAATCTCCATCCTGTTTTCCCCAAGTGGCTGTACCCATTTGCACTCCCGGTCAGCAATGCAAGAGGGGTTGTCTTTCCTCCAATACTTGTGCTGACTGATTTATTGGTGATAGCCATCCTGGCAGGTATAAGGTGACATCTCACTGTGGTTTTAATTTGCATTTCTCCGATGATTCTTAATGTTGAGTGTCTTTTCATATGTCTGTTGGCCTTTCTGGAATGATGCCTATTCAGGTCCTTTGCCTATTTTTTAATTTGGATTGTTTGTTTTGTTGGTGTTGAGTTGCATGAGTTCTTTATGAATTTTGTACATTAACCGCTTGTCAGATGTGTCTGTGGTGAATATTCTTTTCCATTCGGGAGGTTGCCTTTTCATTTTGTTGATGGTTTCGTTGCTGCGCAAAACTTCATAGTTTGATGTAGTGCCATTTGTTTATTTTTTTTCTTTTGTTTCTCTTTTCCAAGGAGACATAATAGAAGAAAAAAAAAATACTGCTGCCGAAACCGGTTTGGCTCAGTGGATAGAGTGTCGAACTGCGGACTGAAAGGTCCCCGGTTCGATTCTGGTCAAGGGCACATAGCTTGGTTGCGGGCACATCCCCCGTGGGGGGTGTGCAAGAGGCAGCTGATCGATGTTTCTCTCTCATCGACATTTCTAACTCTCTATCCCTCTCAATTCCTCTCTGTATAAAATCAATAAAATATATTTTTTTAAAAATACTGCCAAGAGAAGCGTAAGATATTTGATTGCCTATGTTTTTCCTAGGGTTTTTAGAATTTCAAGTTTTACATTTAAATCTTTAACCTATTTTTGATGTATTCTTATGTATGTTTCCATGTATGTGTATCTTTTTCAATTTCTTTCTTTGGTGATTTATAATTTTATGAGTATAGGTCTTTTGTCTCCTTGGTTGAATTTATTCCTAGGTATTTTTTCTTTTTGGTGCAGTTGTAAATGGGACTGTTTTTCTAATTTCCCTTTGTGATAGTTCATATTGTATATAAAAATGCAACTGGTTTATGAATATTAGTATTATATCCCTGCTACACTACTGAATTTATTACTGAATGTTGTGTAAGTGGCTAGAGGGTGGGTCGTATATTCTTTAGGACTATTTATATGTAGTATCAGGTCATCTGCAAATAGTGACCTTTTTTCTTCTTTCCAAATTGGGTGCCTTGTATTTCTTTTTCCTCTCTGATTGCTGTGGCTAGGACCGCCATATTGAATACCATATTGAATAAAAGCGGCGAAAGTGGACAACCCTGTCTTGTTCTTGACCTTAAGAAAAACATCTGTAGTTTCTCCCCACTGAGTATGTTAGCTGTGGGTTAGTTTGTCATATATGGCTTTTCCCCATTGAATATGTTAGCTGTGGGGTTGTCATATATGGCCTTTATTATGTTGAGGTACAAACTTTGCAGAGAGCTTTTATCATTCATGAAGGCTGGATTTTATATAATTTTTAATAAATGCATTTTTTATATGATTTTCCCCCCTTCATTTTGTTTATGGGATCTATCACATTAATTTATTTGTAGATATTTTACCAACCTTTCATCCCAGAGATAAATCCCAACTCAATCACGGTGTAGGATCTTTTGAATAGATTTGCTAATATTTTGTTGAAGACTTTTGCATCTATGATCATCAGGGATATTGGCCTATAACGTTCTTTCACTACAGTGCCCATATCTGGTTTTGGAATTAGGATAATGCTGGCCTTGTAAAATGAACTTGGAAGCCTTTCCTTCTCTTGAATATTTTTTTTTTGAATAGTTTGTGAAGGATAGGTGTTAATTCTTCTTTGAAAATTCACCTGTGAAGCCATCTGGTCCAGGACTTGGGAAGGGAACACAGCCTGGACTGAAGTCACAACTCTTAACTTTTTCTAAAGAGGGCTATTTAGCCATATAAAAACCCGAGTTGCTTTAATATCTTTTCCACTTAGACTGTGCGAGGCGAATCCAGTTGAACATGTTCCCATTTTAAAACCTACCCCAACTTTTCACCTAAAAGAGCATCATTCCCTTAGTCTGTGGCACCGAGCGATAATCCCTCTCAACTTTTGGCATAACATGGGCCATGCCACAAGGTCACGAGGGAATACTCATCGTTGGCACTATGCCCTCCCCTCCAGGGTGCCAAACCTGGCATTTTCTTTTTAAGGACGGCGTGGGCAAGGAGGAAACTTAGAACAGCTTGTCCAACTCCGGTTACTGACTGACAGCTGTTAAGCAGCCAGCTGTGCAGAGACGTTTATGGGGACAAACCAGCTGTGAGCCCTCTGGTCTGAGCAAGGAACACCTCGGCACTTGGCTTCTCCCGCTGTGGTTCAGGTCCCAATGGCACGAATGCAATTCTCACAGCCAGCCTGGGCTTAAGTGCAGCCCTGAGCTGTGATGAAGAGCGTGAAAGATCACCCCCTTACCCCATTCCCGCTGGTACACCCATAACCACATAGAAGCAGTCCGTAGGTTTATCTTATTTCTTAAGCTTGGAATGCTGAATACTGAGATTCTTCTTAGTCTCTTGGGCCTAATGAATGCCCTCCAGAAGAAGAAATTCTTTAATTTAGAAACTCATTATGTATTCAAGCTTAAGAGGAACATCATTAAAATACTCCGTGTTTGTCTGTATTGATATTTGTATGTCCACACAGTGTTCAAAAGCCAAAGGGGAAAAAATCACAGGTTGAAGAACAGAAAAGCGAGGTACTTACAATCCCGGAGTCGTGTCTCGGCTTTATTTTATAAAGCGACTTTCCCTTCTTCTGCCTACACACCTCTTCCGCTTCTTTTACTCTGGGGGCGGGGAAGAAGACATGGGCATTTGTTAATGTGAACAAAGTCCTACACGGATTATATAGCAATTCACCTTATAATTGGTGACCAAGCATCAACGCATTAAGGGTTCGAATTATTGGAGGAGAAAATACACAGACATGTCACCTGACATTTGATTTAAAAATGTAGGACGGCATGAACAGACTGTTGAACCTCAGAGGGAAGGCAGGGGAGGGTGGGTGGGAAGAGATCAGCCAATGAACTTGTGTGCCTATACGCATAACCTGTGGACGCAGACATTGGGGTGGGAGGGCCTGGGGGATGGGGAGAATGGGAGCAGGCTGGAAGAGTTTTATGTGGGGGAGGGGACACTTTCAACAATAAAGTTGATATTTTCAACATAAAGATGTTAAAAATAAAAAAAAATACCTTTTTATGTAATACTTTCAACAATAAAGACGTTAAAAATATATTTAAAAAAATAAAAACATAGACTGTCAGAGCTAGAGGCCAATTCATCCAGGGGCTCTTAACTTGGAATCCAAGGATGCAGAATGGAATAATATACAAAAAGATAAAGATTTTTATGTACATATTTCATCCTATATTTAAAAAGTCTTTTATACAAGAAAGTATATAAAGATGATCTATAATATATACAAGACAGCAAAGAAAAACTCATTTTTCATACTCAGATTGGCACCATTACATGAATAGGGCAGGCACCATATCATAAACCCAGCAGCACTAAAATAATTAAATTAGCAGCATCACCTAAAAACTCAACAGCTTACTTAAAACAAGTTCAGATCCATTTTCCATGGCACATTTAGACCCATGCATGAAAATCCATTGCACTGAATACTTGGGTAGTTTTTTAAAAATGGAATTTCATCAAGCATGGGAACTCATCATTTCATTGAAAACAGAAAGCAGGGAGGGAACGATAATGACATTCTCATACCACAGGACTGTCTTTTCAAACACGCACGCCAAGGAAAACAGTAATAATGCATTTGCCACAGGTAGCGTTAAAAGAGGATGTTATTTGGCGAGTAAGTGCTGGCTTTGCTAGGGACGTTGGGCAATTTCTTAATATCCTGATGCCACTGACCTTGACTTCCCTCAAACGGCAAAAGGGATATACATGTAATATCACAGTATTACTATTATTACTACACAGAGTGGTAGCAAAGATTTTTTAAATTTTTATTTAAAATTTCTTTCCAAAAACTTAAAATACTATAAACAGCGATGCAGGTTTATTTCCAAGGTTCCATAGGACATCTATAAACTGGAATCCCATTAATAATATAATGGGGTATCATAGGAAGAAAAATAACCTGCCAGATTAATGATATTGTGTTATTATGGTTTACTCTGGGGATGAAAAAAATTGAAGTATTTCTGAAGGAAGTAAAAAGGCCATGACATTTTCATAAAAGACTCTGAGTGTACATCTGGAAGATTGTTTCGCCAAAGAAATGGATTGTAAATATCCTCCTTGAGTCCTGTGACAAAGGGGCTAATGAGAGAATTCATTTCCAAGAGAGCTCAGTGAATCTCTGCTCTTAAACAACCAAATGCAACAAATAATTCAATACAGGAGCCACAAGGCTGACGGGAGAGTTTACCTTCAAGTGCGACCAATGAAAGTAACTCCCTGAGAACATAAGATGCCTGTGGGGTTGCTATTGTTAGCAATTCCAGAAGATGATGACACTCCCGTTGCTAACACTTTTCTGACTTTCCACCCAGGCCATAAATCGCCTTTAATCCTTCCTCCAAACATTTGAAGACAAAAATACATCCTTGATAGCCAACCAAGGACTGCCGAGTCCCCATCTTCCTCTGAAGCCACGATCAGTCAATTCACAATGAAGTCTCTTTGGACAGGGAATTAAGGAAACCTTTTTTCATAGCCAAAATCCAGTAAATTCCCTCTTAAACGGGTTTGGAGCGCTTTAAAATATTTGGGGACGTTTATAAAAATGGACGTCACACACATTTAGATCACCAGAGAGAACCATGGATCAGCTGCCTCCTGCACGCCCCCTACTAGGGATCAAGCCTGCAACCCGGGCAAGTGCTCTCTACAGTCTGTGTGATAAAAGACCCAGCCTTCCCCAACCTCAAGTCCACCGGCTGCAAATGCAGAACCATAAAGTTCTTCTCGCCTATTGATTTCAGAGAAGATGGGAGGAGAGGGAGAGAGAGAGAGAGAGAGAAGCATCAATGATGAAAGAGAATCACGGGTCAGCTGCCTCCTGCACACCCCACACTGGGGATGGAGCCCACAACCTGGGCCTGGGCCCTGACCAGGAATCAAACTGTGACCTCCTGGTTCATAGGTCAATGCTCGATCACTGAGCCACGCCGGCTGAGCTAACCAGTCTTTTAATTCTTTTATTTTTAGAGAACTGAGTTTCCCAACTATCTTTCTGGAGATGCTTTCTTAATCTCTTTTCTTAATTATTGAACTTCCCCTCTAATGTTATTTTTCCTCCCAGGGCCCTAATCTCGACTCTGATCTTGACTGTGATTTCATCGGAAATCTCCACTTCACAATTCCAACTCCCCTTTCTGCGCTGAAAACTCCAGACCGGCACGTCCAGCTCTGGCCTTCCCAGCCCCATGCTCCCAATCCTGGTGGACAGCAGTCTCCTCTCTCTCACCGGGGCCTTGGCCAAGCACATAACAGGTCACCCTCTGAGCAATTCCTCTCCCTCTCCACCACCCTCTCCGTGCATATGCAAATAGTCAACAAATTCTGTTATTCATTATTCTTTAATGATTTTAAGATCTCTCATTCCATTGATTTTTATTGTTGTTGTTTTTGTCCATCTTCACCCGTGGATATTTTTTTCCCACCAATTTTTTAAAGAGCGTGGGAAGGAAGGGGAGAGACACAGAGAGAGAAACATTGATGTGAGAGAGACACATGGATCAGCTGCCTCCTGCACGCCCCCCCTACAGGAGATCGAGCCTGCCATCCGTGCATGTACCCTGACCAGGAATCCAGCCGTGACCTCCTGGTTCCTAGGTTGACACTCAACTTACTGAGTCACTCTGGCTGGGCTAAAAGACTAAATCTTTTGAAACTCTGAACATGTAAATCATGGCAGTTTAAAATAATTTCTGAAAGGAAACTATTTAGAAAAACTGGCCGCATGATTTATCGAATGCCGGGGAACAAGCACTATAACGGGACACATTTTGAACTCTATTCAAGGAAAAGTAGTAATGGAAACACAATGGGCTTTAGTGTTCATCTCTGAAAGAGGAAAGCACGTAACACTGTCCAGAAAAAACACATTCTCTTGATCCTAACTTCCAGGAGGAATTCTTGACGCAGCTCTCAAAATAAGAAAATGTGAGCAACGGTTGGTACAAATCTAAAAATCCAGAAGATGGAGAAATTTCTCCAGGGGCCTTTAAAAACAAAACAAAACAAAAAAATCCTCCATATAAACTAATATTAATTTTCAAACTTGAACCTAGGGAAGACATATTTCTGAGGACATTTCCAAAAACTCTAGGACAGTTGGCATATCTCCTTCATTATCTCAAACTAGAGGCCCGGTGCACAAAATTCGTGCGAGGGGCTCGGCCCTGGCATCCCCAGCTTTATCCAGAAGGACGTCTGGAAGGTCATTCGGCTGTCCAGTCTAATTACCATATTACACTTTAATTATTTTGGACTGCAATGGTCTCAACTGAACAGCAGTCAGCAAGGGGTTCATCTAGGACAAGAACTGGAAATACCAACGCTTCTGTACTGGTGAAGGAGGGAAATAAATTCCCTTCTGGGATCGGATGAGTGAACAGCAGAGTTCACATTCCACTGTGTAAATAAGGAGGCTGAAGTATATCCTGTCATACCAGGAGTCCCCTTCGTCCACGATCTCCCACAGGAGCTTAACGCGGCATCCGAAAATGTGGACAAATCCGGAACATTCCAGTTAGGACTTTTTAAAATGCTTAGGTGGTCATCATTTAATAGTCATTTTAATAAGATATGTATGTTCCTCCACTCATTAGAAATTTTAAGCTTCTGACCACATTTTTCATCGCTCGTTTGAAATCTCTGATTTAGAAAAAAATAAATAATAAAGTTTTGCTTTTCTACCGGATCATGTAGTTGGGACAATTTGCATTCTATATATGAGATGTAGATTAACATAGAATTCACAAGAGTAGCTCAACTGAATTGTCTTTTTTTTTTTTTTAAGTCCTGTAAGAATGGGCACGTTCTTCCTGTATATACTGAGGATTTTTAGATTTCCCAGTAAAACAGTGAAATGACACTCCTCTGTCACACAAAACGTCATACATGATGGCCAAAGCTATGACAAAATTATATTTGACAGCAAACTTCATCTTTTATTACAAGAAAACGGTGCTTGTGACTCCATCGGACATTTTTCATGCAAACATCCTTTTCTGTTTACCTTTCCTAAACTGTACCTTTCCTCTCTCCACCTTAAGATATTTCCTGCATCTCAGGGATTTTTATTTTTGCAAATGGCCCAGAAAAGTGTTTGATCAAGGGAGAGATCAAGTTAAGATTCCCTGGTACACACACATGGTGTATGTTTGGATACTTCTCCGGCAAAGACAATATGTACGAATAGCTGAGATGTTGTTTTTTATAAAAGACTTTCTTTGGTGAGGACCTCTGGTTTAGAGAGAGTTTATCACATTTCCTCCTTGTAAGACTCATAAAAGAGTCAAACAAAGCCACTTGTACCGTAATGGTGCAGAATTATGCAAGAGGAAGAACGGCTTAATTAAGGAGTTAGATGTGGGAGATACACGAGGCAGAAATGGGATCAAGGAGACAAACACGCATTAAGGGAGACCAAGGGTCACAATTTTCCCTCTACTGGATTATTCCTAACTGGCCAAAGACATGCTGCTTATCCCACCATCAAAAAAATAAATAAATAAAATTCCTGCATCCACTTCCCCCTTGGCCAGACCTTTTCTCTATGACCCTGTCCTAAGTATGAACTCCTCAAAAAAGTTGCCTATAACCCTGGCTGGTTGGCTCAGTGGATAGAGCATCGGCCTGTAGACTGAAGGGTCCCGGGTTCATTTCTGGTCAAGGACACGTGCCCGGGCTGCAGGCTCAATCCCCAGTAGGGGGTATGGAGGAGGCAGCCGATCATGGTTCTCTCTCATCATTGATGTTTCTATCCCTCTCTCCCTCTCCCTTCCTTTCTGAACTCAATAAAAATATTACAAAAAAAAAAAAAAAAAAAAAGTTGCCTAGCATCACCATCCCCACTTGCTGTTCTCCCAACCAATCCAATCCAGCGTTCGTCTCTCACCACGTGAGAGAGACTACGCCTGCGGATGTCACCAGTTCCTCCCCATTCCCAAACGCCAAGGTCAACGCTCAGTCCTCATCTTTCCCAAAGGGAACATTTCACCAGGTTCTCTCTCGTCCCTCCTGCTTGAAGTTCTCTCTCCACCTGGTCCACCAGGCTACCCAGTCTGGCCCCAACATCTCCAAGTGTTTGGGCCACAGTGGTAGATCCCAGTCAGTGGTAAAGTGGCTGTGATCCCCTTTCTTTTCCCTTATTAATAATAAGCTTTCTTCATAATCCCATCACTTGCACTTACTGGTATATGTATGCTATCCTGAATGATCATATGTGATTGGGAATATCTTTCCATTCACCCATCATCAGTCCATCCATCCGTCCATCCATCCATCCATCCATCCATCCACCCACCATCCGTCCATCCATCCATGATATTTTAAAAAATGCTTTTTCACCTTTTTCTCTAATGTGTCATCAATACTCTCTAACCTCTAGTTCTTTTTTTTTAAAATATATATTTTATTGATTTTTTACAGAGAGGAAGAGAGAGAAAGATAGAGATCTAGAAACATCGATGAGAGAGAATCATCGATTATCTGCCTCCTGCACACTCCCCACTGGGGATGTGCCCGCAACCAAGGCACATACCCCCGACCAGAATGGAACCTGGGACCCTTCAGTCTGCAGGCCGATGCTCTATCCACTGAGCCAAACTAGTTTCAGCTAGCCTCTAGTTCTTGCTATTGTTCTCTGTGCTCTAGTCCGTTTATTTTGCATTTATAAAATAAAAAACATTAGGAAAATCAGAGCTGAAGGAAGCAAAGCCATGTTCAAGCTCTGCCGAATTAAGAGCACTCCTGTTCTCAACACAACACATGACCCTTGGACCACATTCACATCCACATCTAGATGGACTTTTACAACGAAAGCTTCCGCGTTATCTGAGGGCATCTTAGCTTCTCTTAGTGGATGCATATTTTTTTCTAACTAGTTCTCGTCTCATTTACCTCCCCCTCAGACTCGGAGCGCTTTAAAGTGGCCAAATGGAATTTCGTCAAACTTTCCAAAAATGTTCACCCCCAGGCCGTAGGAATTTGAACCAAAGAGGTTAATTTTTAAAAATAATTCCATCTCATAAAATTAAGATCTACTGTAAGTATGCTTTTATTTCTGATGGGCTTTATTTTATTTATTTATTTGTAAAACATGGCTTATGTGCATTTATAATGATAATTAGAATATCTTAAAGATGAGAGTTCGTATTTTTACCTCCTTTCCTTTCCTCACCCAACAAATTTGAGAGATGGATCTTCATACGCTTTGATGCCAGACAATGGAGCCCACAACCCAGGTCCATGCCCCTTGACAGGAATCAAACCTGGGACCCTTCAGTTGGCAGGCTGACGCTATATCCACCGAGCCAAACCGGTGAGGGCCAGACAGGGCTTTCTATAGCTCAGCATCAAGTTTTCAATTGTTCAAGGAAGGGCTCCGTAAGGAGACATCCCAGCCTTTCTCCAGAGCGCGATCGATGAGCAGTGGAGACGTGGTGGCCAGGCCCATATACCTCTGACCTGGATATAGAGCGTGACACGCAGGTGCCCGCCGACTTTGATTCCTACAGGAAGGGGCACACGGGGCAATCAATGGGAAGTGGAAGACAGCCAGGCCCGGGCAGGACAAGACGGAGACAAGGCTGATGGATTATTCAGAGACTGTGCACCATCACTCCACAAGAGGAGACGACGGATGAAGTTGATGAAATAAAGTTTTCAAACTCAGAAAGGCACTCAGGGTATCAGGGACCCTGAGTCTCTGACTCAGGAAGCCAAAGCAAAATGAATCAAAATGGGATGAAATTAAATAACATAAAAAATGCTCAGAGGCTTCACGGAAGATAACATTCAGAAAGGGTAAGCAGACAGGCCACTGGTGTATCTACATATTAACAATATTAGAGCTATAACTAGAAAGCCCTAATGGCACAACCATGTCTGACATCATTTTAGGGAATTATATTAGGCATAATGGGATTTTTTTTTTTTGGCTCCGCAATGCCTTTTTACTTATAAAAATAAAAAATAAAATTACAAAGCTCTAACCAGTTTGGCTCAGTGGAGATAGAGCATCAGCCTGCGGACTGAAGGGTCCCGGGTTCAATTCCGGTCAAGGGCATGTACGTTGGTTGGGGGCACATCCCCAGTAGGGGATGTGCAGGAGGCAGCTGATGGATGTTTCTCTCTCATCGATGTTTCTAGCTCCCTCTCCCACCCCCTTCCTCCCTGTAAAATCTCAATAAAATATATATTTTTTTAAAATGCAAAACCATAGCTCATAAAACTCTAAGAGCATTAGAATTGGAAGTGATTTTATACTAGACATATGAGCAATAGTATGCACATAACACTTAAATGATGCTACCCACCAAGCCACACTGGCCAGGGCCCAGATTTTCAATGTAGAAAAAGCATCTTCCGTGTCTCTAAAGTAGGGGTGTCGAACTCAATCAGAGAAGGGGCCAAAATCTAAAATCCAGCCTAAATCGAGGGCCGAATGGTTTACTGAACAGTCATAAGCTGTCATTGTGATGGAAACGCAGCAGAGTGCAGTGATGACAGCGCGGTGCGGGCCACATTGCAAGGCCTGGCGGGACGGATTTGGCCCGCGGGCTTTGTGTTTGACACGTGTGCTCTAAACCATCCCTCTCACCCGTGGGAACAGCGATGCCGTCTGGGAATGGAAATCTCCAAGCAGAGCAGAGCCCCTGGCAACGCTTCTCTCAGGTGACCAACAAATACGTCATCCCATGATCGCAACCTTCCTCCTTCGTCCCCGTCCTCCACATGGGTCTCTGATGGCTTTGAAAGCAGTCCCTTTCCCCAACAGCAACAGACTTCGATCTACACCGACAGCCCCCCTGACGGCCAATGTTGGAAACGGAAATGTTAACCTGACAAGAGATGCTCTCCAGTTCGATGCCTGACCTCCTGAGGCCCCGCCCCCAGACCCTTTCCCCCTCATTACCGATTCCAGTCGGGCTGAAACCGGGCTTGATTGCCACATGCTTGTGCAATTAACGGGAGGATCAGCTCTGCTTTCTCCTGGCTCATCAAAGGCTACCTGACTCGGCGTCGAATAAACCAGGAAATTAAGTTAGACATCCCTTTAAACACAGCCCGTGGCGATGTCACCATTGATCTATCGAATTGAGATGACTTCAGCCAACGGAAAATGAAATCGCGGTAGACCACACTACCCACCACGGGGCTGGAGCGTCTGCTGACAGAGGCAGATCCCCTTGTCCAGAACACCTGTCTCTCTCTCCTGACAGCCCGGGAAATCCTCTCCCAACCCCAAGCTCCCTGTCAGGAGTCCTCTGGGCAGAATTCATGCCTGGCCTCTGTCCTCCCCTCTTTGCTTTGGCCTCTTGAGGTCAGTGAGTTGTTCATCTTAGCAGGGTTGCTCCACTCCCATACGGTCTGCTTCGGGTTACTTCCTCGCCATGAACGTTGTTTTCACCAGACAGGTGTCCTGGCAAACCACCGCCCCAACCATTCTCTGGAGCACCCCAGCCCCGATGCTGACTCTCTGACTCAGACTCTACACTTTGCCAAATCTCCGTCCGCACCCTCTTAGACTCATGCCCCAGGTGGAGGGCCATCCATTTTTCATTCAGGCTATGAATGTTGGCAATCCTAGCGGTGTCACACCTAATAAAACACCAGCTTGCCCTAGCTGGTTTTGGCTCAATGGATAGAGCATCATCCTGCAGACTGATGGGTCCCGGTTCAATACTAGCCAAGGGCCCATGCTTGGGTTGTGGGCTCGGTCCCCAGTAGGAGGCGTGCAGGAGGCAGCCAATCAATGATTCTGTCTCATCTATCTCTATCTCTCCCTCTCCCTTTCTCTCTAAAATCAATTATATATATATATATATATATATATATATATATATATATATATATTATATATATAATAAAATAAAACACCAGCTTGAAAATGCCAGCGTGCCCATGAAAACACACACACACACACACACACACACACACACACACACCACCTACCTCTCTTGTAGAATCAGTTTGTTCTCCTTCTTCCAAAAGTCTTTAAAGTCCGAGCTGAACTCATGCCAGATGCTGAAGAAAACATTCGGGGACACCTCCTTCTCTCCAAGCTTCGGTTTCATGAAGAAATAGGCCGTGGTCTCTAAGAACCTGTCAGGGCAGACACACACACGGAGCATAAGAGTTGCGATTGCTTCCCAATTCGGGCTGTCCTTTCCCCGTGCAAAGGCTGATCTCATTCACGTGCAAGTTGTTGTGACCAAGAGGACACACACTCTTCAGACCCCGATGGACCCAGACCGGAGCAACTGACCAGCCTGAGGACTCTCCCTGGTCCAGTTCTATTTTCCAAATTAATCACTAGGTGTCCAACATATTTCAGAAGTGAGCCTGAGGTCTAGTTGGGACATCCTGGGGGGGGGGGGTAATCTCTTTTCTATCAAGGGCCACTGGAGGTTTATAACATCATTCGAGGGCCATACAACATTATCAACCTGCTATATTTGGTCAGGCATCTAGTTAGTAAATCAAATGTTTGGCAGGGCCAGACCAAGTGACTTTGCAGGCCTTCTCTGGCCTGTGGGCCAGACATTCCCCACCCCTGCCTCTACACAAATGAAGGATCCCTCATTTTGTCCCCAAACTAATATATGGATTATATACTACTTGGTTCTATGCTATTTGGCTTCCTGGATTTCTGGGGGAGGGAAGAAAAGCATGAGTCCCAGGAGATGCTGGCAAACTCTCCCATCAGTGAATGGAACCCATCCGTGAGGGACCACAGACTAACTGTATTCAGAAGGGGCCACTCAGAGACTACATGAAGCTTAGAGGAGTTGCAAAAGGGTTACTTGACATATGGAAAGGGGCAATGGGTAGAAGTATAGATGAAACCAATTGGTAATTGTTGAAGTTGGATGATGTGTACACGGTAGATCTTTGCACATTCTGTTTACCTTTGCCCACATTTTAAATTTCTCATAATAAAGAATTGGTTAAATTACAAACGCACACACACACACACACACACACACAAGTTTAGTACAAAAAAAGAGTAATGGCTCTAAGCATCTTTTAAAATGGCATTCTTTAAAAGACTAGAATATTGCTCGAAAGGACTCTACTGAATATTGTTGTTGACTACCAGTCATGTCCCACAGTTAATTAAAATAGTTTTGATTTTTTTAGTTCCTTATTTGAAAAGTAGACACACCACAAAATGAGAATCCTATTCTCTTACGCGTCTCATCTGTTCTGAAGGGTGGCCTTTGTCTGGGGCCTGTACCCATAAAGGATGACTCAAAACTTGGTTTTTATTACAGCCAATAATGATCCTAAAATAGCATTGTCTTGCCGCAAGTGATGATCCGTATGGAGAAGCATGTTCTCTGCAAATGAAATATTTTTTTAAATATATTTTATTGATTTTTTTACAGAGAGGAGGAGAGAGGGATAGAGAGCTAGAAACGTCGATCAGCTGCCTCTTACACCCCCCACCAGGGATGTGCCCACAACCAAGGTACATGCCCTTGACCGGAATAGAACCTGGGACCCTTCAGTCCCCAAGCCGACGCTCTATCCATTGAGCCAAACTGGTTTCGGCAAGAGAACCACATTTTTTTAACTTGAACTTCTAACACCACATCTTCTACACAGACTCACCCAGGCCGTGATCTTTTGTGGAAGAGCCACCCTGCTTCATCAAGAGAACCCTCCAACTCTCATCGATGTTTCTAGCTCTCTATCCCTCTCCCTTCTTCTCTGTATAAAATCAATAATATATATATATATATATTTTTTTTTTTTTTTTGAATGTGGCTCTCCAAAGGAATGTCCATCCTGGTGCTGTTGCTATTTGGCTCTGTGGACGGATGAGTTTGCCAACGACTGTCTTAGATTAAAGGTACAAGAAGCACAGAAGAGCAACTCCTCATTTTTGTGTGGCCATCGTCCTTAGAAATATCCCAGAGCTCTCTCTCCAGCAGGAGGGCAACGTGACTCATCCGAGCCACATCCACGGCCATGGAGACCTGCCCTGCACCCTGAGTGAGGCCCACGCCTCGATCCGGGGCTGGAGAGAGAGACAGGATCTGGCATCTGAAAAATGTACTCTCGGTGCTTGGACGCACGTCGGCTCCCCTGGCCCAGCGCTGTTTGCAAGATATTCCTGGCATGTCCGCACGCCGTCCCGAGTGAAATACCTTTCTCCCAAGAGGGACACAGAGCTCCCGGCAACGCAGGGCCTCTGCGCAGGGATTTGCGAGCTGATTAGACTCTCTGGCATCCTGACATTTTTGAGGACTCGGATGCAGTTTGAAACATGAAGAAGTAAGTCCGGCCCTGGCTGGTGTGGCTCAGTGGCTAGAGCGTCGGCCTGCAGACTGAAGGGTCCCGGGTTCGATTCTGGCCAAGGGCACATGCCTGGGTTGCGGGCTCGATCCCCTGTAGGGGGCGTGCAGGAGGCAGCCGATCCATGATTCCTTATCATTGATGTTTCTCTCCCTCTCCTTTCTTCTCTGAAATCAATAAAAATATTATTATTTTTTTAAGGAAAGAAATAGTCCATTTTGGTCCATATCTATACAGACCATCTCCTGTGTTTTCTGAACATACAAAAATGCCTTCAAGGAGCTATAGATCACCGAGAGGCAATCTAAGCCATCAGGTATCTTTGACAGCCTTCTTCTATGTACTTTTATTGATTTCAGACAGGAAGGAAAAGGAAGAGAGAGAGAGGACTCGAACTGGGAGAACAAGCAGCTCCGGCTCCGTCTGACTCGATCCACGCCGCGAGGGGGGTGATGTCATTGTCTGGGGGTTTCTGCGAAGACGTGGCACTTCCCCCCGGTGTGAATACCGGGCTGGAGCCGGCCCGGCCCGCCAGCACCGGCCCGATAAACACAGACCTGCAGTCTCGCTGCTCGTCCCCGGACAGTGCCTCGCCACGGCCCTGGAAAATATGCCTGTTCTGGACTAAACACTTCACTTTCCATCTCATCCGGGTTCCAGGAGGCCATTCCTTGGATAAACACGCCCCAGACGTACAGACGGGCGCCCTGAAAGCGGCTGCACATGATAAACTACGTGTGCGTCCCCCTTTTGGATGGAAGACTCTCCCTCCCGTGACAAATGAGCAGCGACATGCCCCATGGAGCCGCCGGGAGGACATGCCGTAGTCTCCTCTCCTTCGTCGTGTCTCTATGTTGCACGAGAGAGAAAGTTTCCATTTCAACTCGCTGGTTACGCAACCCCGGCTCAGGCCAAATGCCACTCCGGCAATATGACACGCAGAAACAGCATTTATTTTATTTATTTTTTAAAATCTGTGATTCAAAATTCTTTTCACAAATCAATGTGCTTTTCTTCCACCACTATGTCTCGCCCTTTACCACTGGTTGTTTGAAATGGTTTGACACTGCTGGCATTAAAACGAAACAGAGAACCAATGAATGCTCCTCAAACATTAAAGTTAAGATTGGTACAAAAATTAAAGTAAAATTAAGAAGACTGGAAATAAAAATGGAGCTACGGACTGGTTCCTTGAGATAAAACATACTAAGGATTTTATGAGCATATTCTGGAAGGAAATAGTACAGAAAAAGTACTTAATTTCTCACCATTTATGAGTCTCTGTGAGTGAATTCTCTTCTGCCTCTTGGTCAATTTTAGCTGAAAATATCAACAAAACAAAAAAAGAAAAAATATAAAGATAAGTGACAAATAGTTATACTCACTCAAGCAAATAGGATTCAAAGAATATAAAATATATTATAGCTCATTATGATGAATGCCCATATGCTCCAGTCAGAAGTTTATTCTAAATCTACAAACAGATATAACTGAATAGATTATATTTCATTTTCCTTAAACTAAAACTATCATATTGGTACAGATAAAATAGATAACCAATTAAAATGTTTAGATGCTAAGTCATTTCTTTAAATCTCTCACGTGAATCTGAGAATGCAAAACACCAGCAAGCTTCATACGCATGTCTATTGTGTTTGTCGAATATTAAACACCAACAATTAGCTGAAATTAATTATTTCAAGCAAAGGGACAAAAACCAAGTCGAAAAACTAAAGAGAAAGGGAAGGTGACCTTCTCCCTAAGTGTTCTCCTCACAGATGGACAGACACAGAGATTATTTCTACAACGGAGCAAGATCAGACACAAACATCCCCCTTTCATTGAAATAGGGAGGTGATCATGGACCCATTTATTGGCGACTATTGTTATCTAAAAAGAAAGAATGACAGACAGACATACGCCCAAGTGTCAAATTTGGAAAGGAAATTACACCACTACTTTCAAATTATTTAAAATAACACTTAATTCCATCGCATCAAGTAAGAATGGCAGTGACTTTCTGATCTAGTAATATTCTAGGAATTTATCTGGTGCTTCTACACACACACACACACACACACACACACGCACACAGAGATTTTTGACACGAAGGTGTGAAAAATACTATTTCCTGTGACATTTTTAGTCTGTTCTGTTCAATTTTAAAAAGTTGATGGTGAGCCCCTAAATTGATTTCACGCTTCACTAACGGTTTTTGACGCATTCTGAAAACCGGTAGAGCTATAGAACAAAAAGTTTAAAATATATATTTTATTGATTTATTTACAGAGAGGAAGGGACAGGGATAGAGAGAGCTAGAAACATCGATGAGAGAGAAACATCCATCAGCTGCCTCCTACACACCTCCTACTGGGGATGTGCCCGCAACCAAGGTATATGCCCTTGACCGGAATCAAACCTGGGACCCTTCAGTCTGCAGGCCGATGCTCTATCTACTGAACCACACCCGTCAGGGCTAGAACAAAAAGTTTAAAGATAATAATAAAAGCCTGGATCAGTGAAAGAAGACATGGTCTTTTTTTTTTTTTTTTTAATCTTTATTGTTGAAAGTATGACATATGGCCCCCTTTTTTTCCCCCTGGACCTCCTCTATCCCATCCCGCCCCCCCCCCGCCCCTGCCTGTGTCACCACCCCCGTCTGTGTCCCTGGGTTAGGCACACACGCATACAAGTGGTTTGCGCGTCCACCCTTTGGGTCACGTTCCTGGCCACTCGGCGAAGCTAGAAGCCAGCGTGGCACAGAGCAAGTTCATTACCAAGAACTGGGACTGCGCGCGAGATCCAGGAATTGTCAACGTGTCTCCATCGCTGCTCTCCACGCAGCCGTCCAGCTTGGGCTGGTTAATGTTTTACAACCTCTAGACAGTGTTTGCTCGAAGGCTGCTGAGTGTCTGCAGAGCCGCTATCCAGGACACTGGATTCTAAGAATTTAAAAGGGACCAGTTGAGCTGGCAGCTGAGGGGTTCTCTGCCTTCCCTCCCCCCTTTTCCCTTTCTGTACTTGAGACTGTTTACGTACACGTGTGGGGCCGTCATTAGCCATTCTGAACAACACGATAAATGTTCCATCAATTGACTTGGAAAAGAGTCTCAGACTCGAACATACTATCTTATAGACTCTGCCGTGGGCTGCCTTGCATTCAAATGCTTTGCTTCCAGGATTAATTCTCCAGGCGCATACGGTTGGTTCAAGGAAAAACCACAAGCCCAGCGTGGCTCAGGGGTTGAGCATTGACCTATAAACCAGGAGGTCATGGTTTGATTCCCGGTCAGGGCACATGCCCGGGTTGTGGGCTTGATCCCTAGTAGGGGGCGTGTAGGAGGCAGCCGATGCATAATTCTCTATCATCAAGGATGTTTTTTTCTCTCCCTCTCCCTTCCTCTTTAAAATCAATAAAAACATATTTTAAAAAAAAAGAAGAAGAAGAAAAGAAAAGAAATCAGCCATGACTGGTTTGGCTCAGTAGATAGAGCATCGGCCTGCGGACTAAAAGGTCCCAGGTTCAATTCCGGTCAAGAGCATGTACCTTGGCTGCAGGCACATCCATAGTAGGAGGTGTGCAGGAGGCAGCTGATAGATGATTCTCTCTCCTCATTGATGTTTCTCTCTCTCTCTCCTTCTCCCTTCCTCTCTGAAATCAATAAAAATAGACTTAGAAAAGGAAAGAAAGGAAGGGAGGAAAAAAGATAGCAAAAGAAATTCGGATATTCATTCCCTGCCTGGATACGTATAAAGGACTTAAACATTCACTTGGTTTCTAGTTCATGGTCCAAAGAGGCTGAGTGACCAAACCCTCTGAACCCGAAGCAATAGATCTGCAATCCAATGACAACTTCCAGTGACTCAGAAGGAAGGCGTTGCCTGGGTCTAAAAAATAAGCCATCCTGGCCGCACTTGAAAGCAGCCGAAGTGCACATTCATAGATAATTATAAACAAAAACTAGTTAGCGCTTTACATTAAAAAAGAACAACAGCGGAGAGATGGAGGGCTCCGACAAGCAGATGAAAGGGTTCTGAGCAGCCTTCCATCTGATATGAGTCAAAACCAACTCTGTCTCCAATTACCTGGGACTATGGGGCGCTCGCTCATGCAAGGGCATCCTTGGGGCCTCTGCTCACTCACAGTCCAAGTTCAGCAGGAATATGTAACCTTGGAACACGTTCAGCAGGAATATTTAATCTTGCCAAAGAGGCCGGAGCCAGCCCAGTGGCTGCAGGCACTAATGGCTGGGTCAAAATAGTCACTTAGTAGGGCAGCAACCAGCAGAAAATATTTGCAGGGATAGAGGTTTGGGGGAGGAAACCTAATACTGCTGTTGGGGAAGACATACTAAAATGCCTATGTGCTGCCTAAACCGGTGTGGCTCAGTGAATAGAGAGCGTCGGCCTGCGGACTGAAAGGTTCAGTTTCGATTCCGGTCAAGGGCATGTACCTTGGTTGCGGGCACATCCCCAGTGGGGGATGTGCAGGAGACAGCTGATCGATGATTCTCTCTCGTTGATGTTTCTAACTCTCTATCTCTCTCTCTTCCTCTCTGTAAAATATCAATAAAATATATTTTTTTAAAGTAAAAACATATATTAAAAAATGCCAACGTGCTGAAACAGAATCATGAGAATGCTAGTTTAAACCAGCTGCATAGTCAGGGGCATCAGACTGTCCTTGCCAAAGGTCGCCTGTAGAATTGGGCCAGAAAGGAAATCTTAGGCCCTCGCCTTAAAAATAAATCAACAGATGGAAACAAAAAGTAATCAAACAAATAAAGGTTGATTCCTAAAAGGTTCAATGATGAGAGGGAATCATGGATCGGCTGCCTCCTGCACATACCCCATAGGGGATCGAGCCCACAACCTGGGCATGTGCCCTTGACCAGGAATCGAACCGTGACCTCCTGGCTCATAGGCTGATGCTCAACCAACTGACCCATGCTGGCTGGACTAAATCTTCATTTTATACTCAAAGTGAGAAACATGGGAAAACACATATACGCATGGGTTTTACGTTCTGTAGACCACATGTGTCAAACACAAGGCCCTCGGGCCAAATCCGTCCCGCCAGGCCTTGCAATGTGGCCCGCACCGCACTGTCATCACTGCACTCCGCTGCGTTTCCATCACAATGACAGCTTATGACTGTTCAGTAAACCATTCGGCCCGCGATTTAGGCTGGATTTTAGATTTTGGCCCCTTCTCTGATTGAGTTCGACACCCCTACTATAGACAATCCCTTGTAAAAAGGCTATTGGGGGCAAGTGTTTACCTAATTTTTTACATCAAATCATACCAACATCCTATATATGACCCCACCTGTAGGCTAAGCAAATGTCTCATGGAAACATTTTATTTTATGCAGCATAAAAATAAAGACACATTCAGGGCAACTCATTCCCTTTTCCTTTTCTAAGCAACAGCTAGCACACCTTATTAATCCCAAGATGAGCTTAAATAAGGGTTTTCAAAAGAAAAAATAACAAGCAAAGCAATGAACAAGTTAATGTTGCTACCTTTTTCCAATGGAATACTACAAAACCGTTAAGAACCATGCGCTGATACAAAATTACCTTGAAGCTATTTTAATTGAAAAAAAAAGAGAGTAATACCCAAGAGAGGCCTCTATTTCCAACCATACCAAGAACGCGACATCAAATAGTTTTAAAACCAAGGGCTTTGAGGTACTGGATTAAAATAAAATGCAATGCATGACTGAGTTGGCTAGGAAATAGAGAACATTCTCTGAAACAGTCCAAACAATCAGGAGCAAGACTTCAAAAGGTGTGAGCACTGCCTCGGGGACACCCTCGGCCCTACCACCCAAGGCTGTCCTTGGAAACCCAAAGGGCACCCCCACGCACCCACAAGAAGCGACGCTAAGGACGGTGTCCTTCTCCGCCATGGCCCTGGGTGGGAGACGAGACCCTCTCCCCTTTAGGATCCAGCACCCCACGTGGGCGATCACACCGCCCTGAGCCTCCATCCACAGTGAGGGAGACCCCAACTCACGTTAAAACAGTTCTCGGTGGCAGGGCCCTCTGATGTTGAGCCCAAACAAATAATAGAAACAGAAATAGGAGGGGAGGGGGAGAAAAAACAGAGTCTGCGAATAAATTTAGTTTAGAAACTAAAAATGGAATGGGGGCAGAGCTGCCCAGGCAGTGAAGGGAGGTAAGACATCACGGCATCCAGAATGCGGGAAGGAATTAACTTGCAACCCAGAGTTTTATCAGCAGCAAACCTATCTCCCAAAACAGGTGCGATGGAGATTTCCACACAAACCAAAAAATTTTTAAAAAATAGGGTTTTCAAGCCAGAGTTTCAGACCAGGGAACTTTTAAAGAGTGTTCTTTCAAAAGAAGCAAAACCATCTCAGAAGGAAGGCATAACATGAAGGAATGGTGAGCAAAGAAGATGGTACTGGTTATAATAAACATAAATTAAGTTCAGTGGATAAGCCTTATAACCCAGCAAATTTTTGTTCTCCTAGGTTAGTACTAAAAAAGAGAATATGCGTGGACCCCAGGCCTAAAGCATTTTTCCTTTTAGCTAACAAAAGGAAAAAACGGGAGAAATAAATTGTGGTGTAGCATATACCTCCAATGAAATCAATATTAACCAAATACAGGCATATGCACTAACATGAAAGAATCTCAAGAATAATATGCAACGGAGATAAAAGCTAGTCACAGGAGAGTACAGTTACCATTCCACTTACCCAAAGTTCATAAACTTAACAAAACTAATAAAATGTTTACAATTTATATTTCTGGCAAACCTATAAAGAGAAAGCATAAAGATCAGAGAGGAAGGAAATAAAATAGAGATGTTCAAAAGATCAATGAAAACAAGAGCTGGTCCTTTGAAAAGATAAACAAAATCGACAAACCTTTAGCCAAGCTCATCAAGAAGAAACGAGAGCCCAAATAAATACAATCATGAATGAAAGAAGAGATGTGACAACGGACACCACAGAAATACAGAGAACCGTTAAAGAATACTATGAACAACGATATGCCGACAAACTCAACAGCATCCCAACGCTGAACCAGAAAGAAAGCGAAAATACTAACAAAGAAATTGAAACCGTCATCAAAAAACTCCCAACCACTAAAACCAGACACCTTGACAAGTGAATTCTACCAATAAATAATAAAGAATCAATATCTATAGTTCTTAAATTATTTTAAAAAAAAGAGGAAGAATTGTTTCTGAACTAATTCTATGAAGCCAATATCACCCTCATACCAAAATCAGACAAAGACAAGAAAAGAAACCATCAACAAAACAAAAAGACAAACCACTGAATGAAAAAGATATTCACAAATAACATATCTGACAAGGGGGTAATATCCAAAATATCTAAGGTACTCATACAATTTAACACCAAATGGACAGAGTCCTAGCCGGTGTGGTTCAGTGGTTGGAAGCATCATCCCATATACCAAAAGGTTTCAGGTTTGATTCCCAAGAAGGTATATATAGGAGGCAATCGATCAATATTTCTCTCTCACAAATCTCTTCTTTCCTCTCTCTCAGATGAAGACAAATACCATATGTCTTCCCTTATATGTAGAATCAAAAACAAAACAAAACAGAAGCAGACCCTCAGATCTAGAGGCCAAGCTGATGGTTGACAAAGGAGTGGGGAGGGGAATGGATGAATGGGTGAAATCATTAAAAAAAAATAAGACGTACGCAAATGATACACTCGACATTCCCATTAGCGGTCATGTCTGAGAGAACGCAGGCACAACATTGGGAAGGATCCATGGAAGAGTTGGACATGCTGATCCAGGTCTGCTCCTTGAGTGGAGAGTACGTGGCTATTCACGCCATTATCAATTCTTTAGATCCCATTTAGGTTAAATAGGTACCTACATCTTGGACCTTCTTTACATTATCTATAACGCGTATGCCTTTCAAGGGTGCATTGGATCCTCCGTTCCCATGGATCCTACACGTTTGATTGTAGAATCACTGAGGTGCATGGTAATTCCAAAATCCATCCTTCTAGAGCTTTTGTGGTCACCACGGGCATGTGCAGTGGAAAAGCTGAGTTGCCCGGCCCACACTTCGCCAGCTGCTGCTCATCAAGGCGAGGCTCTCGCTTCTTATTTCGGCGCCCAGGCTGTAAATCATCTTCACAGTCTATTGTGACACTTTGTGCTGTTTTTGTCCTTTCCGTTGCTTGAGTGGCCACAGAGCTGTCCGGGGTACAGAGAGCAAGAAGGCCCGGATGGGCCTCACGGGGAAAAATCCACGTGTCAGATGCGCCCCAGGCGGGTGTGAGGGACAGCACTGCCAGCGGTGAGTTCCACGTTAATGAATCAACAATATACACTAAACGCGGTGTCTTCAAACATGAGCACGCATAGGGTAGCGTGCTGATCAAACCAAAACGTGGCCAGAGGCTTGTAGAAACCTAACCCTGTATTTGTAACTGGGAGCAATGGCTCAGTATTCGCTAATTCAATGTGTGTGGCAACGTTATCGAATATATATAGTTGCAGCAAACCATGAGAGTACAAGAATAATAAAATATATTTATTTTTGTGTTATACATAAAATGAATATATAACATACAAAATTGTAGGTTGTATACAGATACAGTAATTTCATATATATTTTTACATTTTATAAAGATGATACATATAAAAATATAAAATGTACATAAATATAAACTATTTCCTAATAAAAATGAAAAAGGGGGAAAATCAACATATAGAGACTGTATTCACTAGCAAAATATATATAAACTAGAGGCCTGATGAATGAAGACTCATGCAAGAATGGACTTTCCTTCCCCTGGCTGCTGGCTGGAGCCATCTTTCCACCTTCCCACACTGCCTAGAGGCCCAGAGCGGCCGAGTGGTGCATTACGCTTACGTCCCACCCCGCCCCCAGCCACGCGACACTTGTGTATGCAAAATAACCCGCCATCTTTGTCGGGTTAATTTGCATACTCACTCCTGACTGGCTGGTGGGCATTGCGAAGGTACAGTCAATTAGCATGTTACTCTTTTCTTAGTGTAGATATAAATTTACATGGACATATTATAGGCTCATATGCATAGATTATTTCTAGAGGGATAGAAATGAAATATAAACGTGGTTCCAATAGAGGAAAGTAATACTAAGAAAGACTTACATCCCCATTTTATACCTGAATTTTATAACAATGCAGGAGCTGCCTTCTGGTGGTCAGTGCGCTCTCACAGCCAACTTCTCATGGTTCCCCCCCACATCCTTTCCCTGCTGGCCAACCCCCCATGGCCCCACTCCCTTCTCTCCCCCCTCCCCGCCCCCCGCAGCTGGCTGGCCCCTGATCAGCCCCAATGGGGAAGGGGGGCAACCGGCCAACCTCTTGGGATTTCTCCCCCAAGCTGGCTGGCCCCCTGATAGGCATCAATCACTGGTTGAGACCTCACCCATGTAGGAATTCATGCACTGGGCCTCTAGTTAGATAACAAACCATAAATAATGTGAACAACTCTATGGGTGACACTTGCCAACATGTTAGATGTGAAATCCAGCAAATTGTTTGACGATTTTTTTTTTTTTTAATGAATCATAGCATTAGGGCTCCTTTCTTCCCGCAAACAACAACAACAACATTCCATACTTTTTCCCTACATAGTTTTCTAAAATTACACGTTCTTGATCCTAAAAACCGCATTGAACGGAAAAAGCAAGGCTCATTTTTATTCACCATCAAGAATGGAGCAAGCAAGCGTACAGGGTCCTCCACTATGATTTCAGCCAGAGGACTATTTGGGAATCAAGGAATAGGTTTTCCACCCCAAGTCATGAGGACCCGAAAATCTGGAGATGACAGACCACTCTGATTTATGAATCTCTTTCATATCCCATTTCATGTTTCATGTTTTCTTTTGGGCATCATGATTTTATTAAATGATTGAATAGTCTTTTCCTATCTTAAAAAGAAAAGAAAAAAAGCTGTTCTTCATGTTTAATCAAATTCCAGCATGCCTCATTCACTGTCAGTCATCGATAATGACACTTAAACAATGAATAAAAACCATAGCTTAATAGAGGATACAGCAGTGTGAGGCCCCGGCCTCAAGCCATGTCAGCCTCTACGAGAATTCCTGCAACAGCAAGAACTGCCCCAAGCATGACATGTCCCAAATCCGATCTCCAGAAGAGATGGCATGTGCCAAGCATGAAAGGTTTTGAGTAGCGAAGGCATGGAAATACTTGTGACTTCCAACAGGGAGACTTTTAACACATTTTTTTCCTCTTTAAACTAATTGTTTCTTTCACGTCTTCTGAAATGTGTCATCCCTGCTTCACTCAAAGGAATTTAGGAAAAGCCAGTGTGATAATATTGGGGGTTTTTTAAGCTCCTTGAAAAACACAAAGGTGTTAAGTGTCCAGAGAAATGTGGACATCCTTTATTTTAAAAATTGCATGTCATGTTTTGAAGATCCGAAAAGCATCCATATACTTTGCTTTTGGATGCAATATTTTGACAAACCAAATTAACACCAGGATGGACTGAGGTCACAATCCTAGCAAAAACACAGAAGGATATCTGATTTTCTATCAAAAAAAAGTATAAGCCCGGCCAGCGTGGCCCAGTGGCTGAGCGTTGACCAGGAGGTCTCAGTTCCATTCTCGGTCAGGGCACAGGCCCGGGTTGTGGGCTCCATCCCCTGTAGGGGGCGTGCAGGAGGCAACCGATCCATGATTCTCTCTCAGGATGGATGTTTCTATCTCAGTCTCTCCCTTCCTTTCTCTCTGAAACCAATTCAAAAAAAAAGTGACAATTTTAAAGTCTTCAAAAACGTGAGCTATTTCACCAATATTTATTGTATTCCTCATCATGAAAGAACAATGATAACAATGAACATCACTCATCATTCATCCATAAGCATCATTCATCAGCATGCTGAGCACATGTGCCCCTCCCCACAGGATGACAAACGGTCGAACACAGTGTGTTTCTCTGGGGTGTCGATCTCTTTGAAACCAGCGCGTGTTTTGTTCACGCCTCCTTGTCCTCTGCTGACGAGGGAGAACCCTCAAGCCCACTTCCGCCTCTTCCCCCCCCACCCCCCACCCCCGCCCCGTACCTTGGACGATGAACTGCTCCATGTTCTCCTTGAAGGGCTGGATGTGCTCCTCGGAGGACACCTGGTACACCTTCCCCGCCTCCACCTCACAGGCTGCAATCAGAGACACGCTGTTTAGGGCGCTGTCGATGGAGCATCAAAACCACCTCAAAAGCTCAGGAGCCAAAGCTAGAGCGGCCCATCAGCCACCATGACGGGCATATGTCCCACACGTGTGTGTTGGAACCACCAGATGCTGACATGACAAGTTTATACACAAGACATTCGTAAAAGCTGATGACTCCAGCCTGGCCGGCGTGGCTCAGTGGTTGAGCATCAACCTAGGAACCAGGAGGTCAGGGTTTGATTCCCACTCAGGGCACATGCCCAGGTGGCAGGCTCAAGCCCCAGTGGGGGGCGTTCAGGAGGCAGCCAATCCATGACTCTCTCTCATCGCTGATGTTTCTCTCTCTCCCTCTCCTTTCCTCTCTGAGATCAGTAAATATATATATATATATATATATATATATATATATATATATATATTTTTTTTTTTTTTTTTTTTTTTTTTTTTAAGAGTCTGTGACTCCAGTTCGGTCACTTCCACAGAGTGTCACCTGGTCAAGGTACACAATCTCTGAGCCTCCGTCTTATCAGGAGAAGGGAGAGCCCGGGGCCTGGCTCTCAGCGTTGTTATGAGGATCGAATCAGTGAAGAGATGGAACATGTCCCAGTACTGTGCCTGGCATGTGCTGTTTCCTGTCATCATCATAGTCATTATTACCCACTGATGCAGCCGTCAGAACTGCATCAGCAGCCGGTGGAAGGCCACCTAATGGGCCCGGTGCCTTAAAGGGGGAGGCCACTGGTTAGGGAAGCAGAGATGGATCACAGACTAACCATGACCAAGTCTTCTCCAATGGGCCAGTCTGCAGGTCTGCGTGTTTACTCAGCAACATTTAAACAATGGAAGATACGGCAGATAAGAGAAAACAACCTATTTTTAAACGAGGGGAGATTATATTTCAAATTGCATTCTGGCTCCTTTTAGAAATGTCCTTGGCCCACTCCTATAAACTGTATTCTTCATATAAACACAAGCAAAAGCCATCTTTTTCTATCGCTTCCATCTTTCCCCCTCTTCTTAGGGTAGACTTCCCCGTGTACAAGGGGAACCAAGAGGAATTTTGGACCCAGAAGAACTCTCAGGTTCTTTCTGGGCAACCTCATCTCACCCCCTGTCCTCGTCCAGGAGAAGATGCTTGTCAGGGAGCTTGGTATGTTGAGTGATGGCCATTCCGATCTCTGCCAGGCATCTTTCCCCTCACTGAGCTGCTGTCCTGATTAGCATCCTCAGCTCTACACTGAGCAGGAATCCCACTGCTCTCTGCACCGTCTCCCGGTGGAATGGCGTGTCTGGAGTCTGCTTTTAAAACGGCTCTGATAGAATCACCGCAGATAGCTCAGATCTGCAGGGAGTCTCAGACTTCCAGTCTCTCAAGAGGACAGATGTGGTCCCTCCTCTCCTCTCCCTCTTATTTACCCACTCCTCTGCTTTGTTGGCCAGGGCCTAAAGCATCCGCTGGCAGGCAGCAGGCATGCAACAGTTCTGATCTGTGGAATGAATGGGAAGGGGAATTGGATGCTCCTGTCCATGTGGATTTCTCGGTCATTTGGGAATGGCGTCTCTACGGGAATGTCGCCATGCCTTGTACATGCTAGCTGTCCCCCTTCACACACTCTTACACTTTATGATCCGTTGTTGAACTTTGATTTGTCCACCCATTCACAACTATCTCAGCAAGGTTTACCTATCACCAATTCTACCCCCCCAAACTTTGTATGTCCCTCTTCCATAGAGCATGTGTGAAAGATAGAAGATAAAAGGAGAGATGCAAATAAAATAGAGCTGCATTCAGCTCTGGTTCTACTAGTAGCTAGGAAGGAAGAGGGATAAAGAGTTAGGAACATCGATAAGAGAGAAACATGGATCAACTGCCTCCTGCACACCCACCACTGGGTATGCACCCGCAACCAAGGCACATGCCCTTGACCGGAATGGAACCTGGGACCCTTGTTGCATAAGGAAATTTATAAGATCGGTCCCCATTCTTCACCAAACTATAGTGCATTTCGTTGCATAACATCATCCTGGCTATCATCCTCTTCAAAAGGGGTGACTGTGTGAATTTTTTTAAAAAATTCTAACCACTTAAAAGGTCTCGCGAACGTAAAGGGTCATTCAGTCACATTATTAAAAGCATAACATGCGATAGAGTTCCTGGAAAATCGCATTACGGTCAAATCCAAATATTTTTCTTAAAATCTGTTAAAGGCAGTTGGCACAACGGAGTCATTCCAACCATGAAGGCTTTTGTTTAACTTAAAGGCCTTTCTGATCCAAAAAGGGTTTATGTTCTGTGAAAGGGCTCGCCGTGGAAAGCGTGAGCGGAGACTCTCAACGACAGAGACAAAGCCAGCCAGAGGAAAGGAGGAACAAAAGGCTCTGATGTGTCCACTGGAAAAGGGGGTTCCAGCCCACAGGTTGGAGTGTTGGGGGCCCAGCAAACATCATCTCACCACCATCAGATTGAAATAAGAGCGCCACCCACCACGCTCAGAAACGAACCACGACCAGGAGGTTCTGGTGTGTGTGTGTGTGTGTGTGTGTGTGTGTGTGTGTGTTTAACCTGTTAACTGAGCGGGACCTATAAATACGTCAAACTTAAACAATTATCGGGAACGGGTAGGACGTATGAATACATCCTGGAAATATATGTTGCGCCCTGAGAGAGACGGTATATATTTTTTGTAATCTTTATAATTATTTGTAAAATTCATAATTTTTTAATTCGATGTTTCCATTTTTTTGTTGGTATTCTTTTCTATTTTTTTGTAATTCTGTATTTTCCTTTGTGCTTTATATATAAATAAATGAAAATATATATATATCATTTATTTTAATTGAATATAAATAAATAAAAATAATAATATGAAACTACGTCCTCCGGGCGTGACGTACTGACACGTCCTAGTGAAAGAGTACGTGCCCGTTACAGGTTGCGTCATTACAAAGGGAATTCCCTGGCTAACAGGTTAAGAAACTGGAATATTCCCACTGTAACTTCTACATCTCCGCACTCCATCAATCAGCGTTGCCGGTTTCGGGTCGCTGCATTTCTGTGAGCTTCCAGAAAGTTTTACGGGCACCCATAAACCTGCCTCGTCAAGTTTGAAGGAAGCCACCTCAGAGACGTGAAGAACAAAGGAGGTTGATCAGATCAGGAGTCCTTCCTTCCCAAATCCAGCGGTGTCCAGTGTCAACGAGCTTTGGGTGGGACTGTAGGGTGGATTTCAAGAAGCAGAAGCCATGTGGCTACTGAGAGGAGAGGAAGGCAGTGGATGAGACGCCCTCAGAGCCGTTGGAAGAAGAGGGACTGGGCTGCCTCCACGCTTGGTCTGCAGGGGAGACGCCCAAAACCAACCTGCAGCCCTGGCCCCGGGGGTTGGGGGTGGTCTCTACACCACCATCAGGATCTGTGCTGAACGGTGGGTGACATAGACTCACCACTGGTTTTATTTCCTCTTTTTGTTTTTTTCTTTAAGTATATTTTTATTAATTTCAGATAGAAAGGAAGAGGGAGAGAGAGATAGAAACATCCATGATGAGAGAGAATCATGGGTCAGCTGCCTCCTGCACGCTCCCCACTGGGGATGGAGCCCACAACCTGGGCATGTGCCCTTGACCGGAATAGAACCTGGGACCCTTCAGTCCACAGATGGACGCTCTATTCACTGAGCCAAACAGGCCAGGGCTCTTTTTGTTTTTTCTAAAGATTCCTTGCCTACCTGGTGCAATAGCAAATTACACTCTGATATAAAACACTACGCTTTTTTTTTTCTCCTATGGATTTTTGATTTATTGGAAAATCTTAGGGTTCCTCTCTAGTTTATTCCAGGGATGCGAGGCTGGCACAACAGCCACAAATCAATACACGTGATGCATCACATACACAAATTAAAATATTTTTTTTTAAAAAAACCACGTGATCATATCAATAGATGCAGGAAAAGCATTAGACAAAAACCAGCACCCTTTTTGGAAAAAGACTCTCAGCAAAGTGGGAATAGAGGGATCATACCTTATCAATAATAAAGGCTATACATGACAAACCTACAGCCAACATGAGACTCACTGGGCAAAAACTAAAAGCGGTCCCCTTAAGAACAGGAACAAGACAAGAATGTCAGCTTTCACCACTCTTAATCAACACAGGACTTGAAGTCCTAGCCACAGCGATCAGACAAGAAGAAGAAATAAAAGGCATCGTAACTCAAATGTTAGAGAACTAATCACCTTTAATTCATTGGTTTTGGGATTTTTCAAGGTAGTAGGGTATGAAAAGTAATCGATTCGTGAAAAAGAGGAAATACAACTGCACTATTTTTTCCTAAAATGAATAAACAGCGTCAACTCTCAACATGAAGTGATTGACAACTTGGTTTTCTTCTCATTAACTCTCCCTTCCATAGGGCGAAATTACCACTGAGTTTCATGAAGATTCAAGAGATTCACAGCACGGAAAGCCTAAGAATCCTGAGAAATGTTCGAGAGAGCCCAGTACGTGGGTGTATATTATTATGGAGGGAGGGGAGGAAAGATGAGAAGGAAGAAAGATGCGTGACACTTATCAGCTCTGGGGGAAATATCCCACATGAGAATGCTTTTCCCAAAGCGGATGTAAAGAAATATAAGCATCTCAGGCAGAAAACACATCACAGTAACCTACCCAGAGCGGACTCCCCTGGAACTCTGGCGAGAGACAATTCTTTAAGAAGGACTTCTATGTTACCCAGGACACAGAAAAATTTAAATAATGACTCTATGCCACCCTCACTGCCCCTAAAAATCAGAAACACATGTTTCCTGCTTTCCACCTCCTTTGTCCCCCTCCCTCCTGGGTCAAAATCCCTATTATCTTTTATGGAAGTTCCTTCCTACGTCTCCCAAATTCGACGCTTGCCAGAGCAATATCCGCAAGACATAATAAATCATTATCCCTCTGGGTCCCTAAGTATCATCCTTCAGTGGCTGGAGAGTGCATCTATAATAATAATAAAATTTATAAAAAAGCATAGCATGCTAATTAGACCGGACAACCTTAGGGATGGCCTTCCAGACGAAGCCAGGGCTGCGAGGGCCGAGCCCCTTGCACAAATTCTGTGCACCGGGCCTCTAGTTTAGAATAAGGTGTGCTGTCCTTATAAACGTGTGCAGCAGATGTGCATTCTCTCCTCTCGTACGAGGGATATGCCAAGGATGCAGGAGTAATAGACTTTTCTTCTTCCTGAAATGCTTGTGCCCCCCTTCATTCTCCTCCCTTCTCCTCCTGTGCCTTCCACCACCCACCCCATTCCGAATACACACGCCCCTCTCATCCATGTAGAGTCTTCCCGCCCCGCATGGCTATGTTGGCTTTTGTGACCTGGTTGGTACAGTTTGACCTTCCAGATGACCAGTGGGGGGCGGGGGCCAGGGCTGTGAGGGCCAAGATGGCAGCCGGGGGCCGTGAGGCCGAGCCCCTTGCATGAATTTTGTGCACTGGGCCTCTAGTGATATATAAAGTCACCCTCTGGGGTGCTCACAGCTTGCTAAGATGCTCCTTGAGTGTTCCATCTAGAGCCACCCCACCGCTGGAGAAGACAGATGTGCAAGAGGAAGTAGGACAATGGGCAGTGGCTACTGGTCCTCTTCAAACCCACAGTCTGGCATCCGTCAGTTCTCCCTGTCTCACTCTACATCTCATGAGAACTTGCCATCTTCATGGCTACCTGTATAGTTAATAACCGTGGGAAGGAAGCATGCCGACATGAAAAATAAAGAAGGAATCATTCCCATCCTAAGCAAACGGAAGTTCCCTAGGAGTAAGACCGCCATTCCTCTCCTTCATCCAATCCCCTGTAAGCAATGAAGTCCTACTTTGCAAGGCTGAACTGTTCATGAAAGTACCAAGTATTTTTTTTCTGATCCCCTAGAAATGCCCCTAGCACTGAGAGAGGGGGATATTAATAAGCAAACCAGTAAACCAATATACCTGGTCTAACGTTGAAGGAAGATAAATACTCTATATGGTTTGCCTTTTATTGTTTTTAAAAGTCATACTTCAATACACTATAGCCTAGTGTTATACAAACATAATGTAATTTTATTTATTTCTTAAACAAACTTGTCCTTCTTGGGTTCAATAAATGAACTCCCACATTTGAGGGTACCCAATGCACCCACAATTGCCCAACCTACGTCAGGCTCATAATAATGGATGCTGAGTGTTTAGGAACCGCAAGCCAGCTACATAATGTTATCGTGTTGGTTTTTATCCATACAAAAGCATCTGTGACAGGAATATATTTAACCCCATACATTTCATTATAGATCAGTATGGATATGGATTTCCAAACTGGGTAGAATCTCTTTAAAAAGTTACAGCATCCGGCTGGTTCTTGGTTCAACCATGCCTCTTCTTTGCCTTTACACATCAGATGGAAATTCACATCCATTCTCTCGCTCCCTGTGTTTGATAGGGTTAGACAGAGGCTCAGCTAGCGTTAACAATAAGAAACCTCAGGACCAGGGACTAAGAGGGATTTTTCACCACCAAATAATTCTCAAAGGGGCACACTGCTCACTTTCGCGTAAATATTACTCTTAAGGTAGAACGCGGACGAATTTCAGACTCTTCAAAATGATATTAATGAACAACACAAACTGGTGAACAAAAACAGATCCAGAGAAGCATCGATCAGACCGTGAAACCTCAGAGGGAAGGCAGGGGAGGGGAGGGTCAGGGGGAGAGATCAACCAAAGGCCTTGTGTGCATGCCTATGGGCCTAACCAATGGACACAGACACCAGGGGGTGAGGGCACAAGCTGGGGGGTTGAGGGGGGAATGGGGCGATAAGGACACATATGTCATACCTTAATCCATAAAGAATAAAAATGATAGAAGGCTTCGCAACTAACAACAAGGCATACACACGTGTGCTTTATGACCACATATGTGAAAGAGGATGTTCTGTCCCCAGAAAAGTTCACAAGCTGAAAAGTCTTGGGCCAGTGCATGGACGGAGGGCTGGGAGGGCCTGTCATTTCTCAAGTGACAAGATAAAACGCACGAATGTTCTTGGCCGTCAAAACCAGGCAAATTAGCTCCTCATGTTAGAGATTACTATTCCAATACCCAAGATGCGATTCGATAAGGAAGTTTCAACCACAGCTTTTTAAACAACAAAACAATAAGGTTATTGGTAAAAATAATATTAATAATAATAAATAACAATTTTTTTTCTTTAGCCATACTAAGCAATTTTCAGTTCTACGAGGCTCTCAAAGACTTTTGGTTCAAGAACTTCAAAACGTCTAGCTTGTCTTATTAAAAAAAAAAAAAAAAAAAAAAAGCACCGAAACCGGTTTGGCTCAGTGGATAGAGCGTCGGCCTGTGGACTGAAGGGTCCCAGGTTCGATTCCGGTCGAGGGCATGGACCTTGGTTGCGGACACATCCCCAGTACGGGTTGTGTAAGAGGCAGCTGGTCGATGTTTCTCTCTCATGGATGTTTCTAGCTCTCTATCCCTCTCCCTTCCTCTCTGTAAAAAATCAATAAAATATGCCGAAGCCGGTTTGGCTCAATGGATAGAGCATCAGCTTAGGGACTGAAAGGTCCCGGGTTCAATTCCAGTCAAGGGCATGGACCTTGGTTGTGAGCATATCCCCAGTAGGGGGTGTGCAAGAGGCATGTACCTTGGTTGTGGGCATATCCCCAGTAGGGGGTGTGCAAGAAGCAGCTGATCGATGACTCTCTCTCATCGATGTTTCTAACTCTCTATCTCTCTCCCTTCCTCTCTGTACAAAATCAATAAAAAAAATTTTTTTTAATCAATAAAATATATTTTTAAAAAGATGTCAACTATTACAAAAAAAAAAAAAAAAAAAAAAAAAAAAAAAAAAAAAAAGCATGACTAACAAACACGAGTTTCTCTCAGCAGCTCCGTTACCTTTCAGGTCTTTCTTTAGTTTCCTGAGATCTTTCTGGAAATCCTCAAACTTCATCTGCGAGGCCTGGAACAGGTCCTGAGGTTCGGGTAACGGGAAAACGCACTGCTCCTTCCCGGCGTCCTGTTCCATTAGCAAGAAACACATTGTCTTAAACCCATCGGCACTGGGATCCATAAGAATCACACAACGGCAGGGATGGCACAACCACAAAAACCAGCAATGCCCAACCATTTACAACAAAGTCTAGCCCCCCCCAAAAAAAAAAATAAAAAAAAATAACTACCTATATGCAAAAAAACTGTCTTACCTCATCAAAATTCCGAAGATAATAGGACACAATATAAGACAGAAGGCTCCTGCTATTGTCCTAGGCAGAAAAACTAAAGTCAGTAAAACATTTATATATTCTTTTCTTTTTCTTTTTCTTTTTTTTTTCTTTTTTTTTTTTCACAAAGAGGAAGGGAGGGAGAGAGAAAGAGAAACATTGATGAGAGAGAAACATGCATCAGCTGCCTCTTGCACACCCTTTACTGGGGATATGCCCACAACCAAGGTACTTACTTGCCCTTGACTGGAATCGAACCTGGGACCTTTCAGTCCACAGGCCGACGCTCTATCCACTGAGCCAAACCAGTTTCAGCCATAGTTATATTTAAATAGTTAAGTTAAACTGTTAAATAAAAGAGATCCCAGGAAATCAGCATACATAAGGGAGAGTGTTTAGAATGAAATGTGAAATTCCATATTTCAAGTTATGTTGGTGAACTATAAGCAAGGAGTTGAATGGCATAGAAGACCTTATTTTCCCCAGTGCTCACAGCTACGCTCCAAATGTTAAGCACAGCTGTTTAAGGGTGGAGTCTCCACTATAAATACTTTCCTATTTTTGCTTTCCCCCATCAGAAAATTAGTTCATTAATTTTTATGGATTTTATTAAGGGGTATAACTACTGCCTTCGCTGAGATGATGAATATTACTCGCTTTTCTATACACTCGGACCAGAGGTAAGTTTGATGGTCTAGCTAGTACTAAGTAGATTAGGAACATTAAAAAAATGAAGCATTTGCCCTAGCCAGTTTGGCTCAGTGGGTAGAGCGTGGGCTTGAGAACTGTAAGGTCCCAGGTTCAATTCCAGTCAAGGGCACATGCCCGGGTTGTGGGCTCGATTCCCAGTGGAGGACATGCAAGAGGCTGCTGATCCATGATTCTCTGTCATCATGGATCTCTCTCTCTCTCTCTCTCTCTCTCTCTCTCTCTCTCTCTCTCTCTCCCTTCCTCTCTGAAATCAATAAAAATATATTGTAACACACACACACACACACACACACACACAGTCCAATCCTCAGTTTGCCTACATTCATTCACACAGAACACTTACGCTGCTCTTGACGTCCTTCAGCTTCGGGAGAATGTCAAGCCCAAACCCATCGGCCTGCCCCCGGGTCTTGTTGCCGCCGTTCATGTAGTTGCCAAAGGCCAGGACCAGGCCCAGCACCTGCATGACGCCGGGCCCGTTTTTCAGCGTCTGTAAGCAGAAGGAAGAACCATGGCTCTCTGACGCAAAGTTCCGTTTGAATCATCATACGTGGGTGGCAGATATGGATGAGACACGGTTCCTTTGGGGTGATACCAAACTATGACCGGTCGTTCTTATATTTAAAGAGGAGTGTCTCAGAGAGGAAGACATCGGGACCGTTTCTGTGAAACAGATAAGGCCACACGGTGACAGCTACCCCAAAATCATGTCCTTGCGACCAGCCTAACGGGGACTACCTCAGCAGCATCACAAACGTATGGCCTAGGGGCAGGAAACTGAGGCCCACTTCCAAAGAGGAATGACCAAATTTAGCTTTAGCCCTGAAAAAATCCATACGCACGTCTTCCGAATCACATCATAGAACCTAGTGTTGTAAGCCACGTCCTCTGAAGATGTGCCTTTAGCACCTTATTATTGCTTCCCAACCACAACCATGGGGCTATTGATTTGGGACCAACTGTTTTAATGTTAATATTGCTCCTTTCTGCCAAAAAAAAAAAATGGATTCTGTGTTTAGCTCAGAAGGCTGCTGAGCTCCTGATGAATCGTACAGCTCATCCTAAATCCTTTGGTTGGAATCATTTGCTTGTTTTTGAGGGACCCTTCCAAATATGACAGGAAGTACATGAAATACCCTCCAATAGCATTTAACAGGGAGTTTGATGTAATTGAGGGCCATGAAAAGTAAGGATTCTGGCCCTACCCTGTTTGGCTCAGTGGATAGAGCGGTGGCCTACAGACTCAAGGGTCCCAGGTTTGATTCCAGTCAAGGGCACATGCCTTGGTTTCGGGCTTGATCTCAGTGTGGGGCATGCAGGAGGCAGCCAATCCATGTGTCTCTCTCATCATGGATGTTTCTATCTCTCTCTCCCTTTCTCTCTGAAACCAATGAAAGATCATCAATGACCACATTCAAGGCTCCATCATGTCACGTTCTCTTCCGTGGGCCTGCTAGCCTTCAGATGTTTTGAGTTCTTAGAATAAATCAAACTTTTCTGAGATGTGAACGTGCCTGAACACAACTAACCACCAGCATCCAAGCATCAGCTCCCCGCCCACCACCACCCACCTCACACAACTTCTGCAGCAACTCCAGCTTGCGGCGGATCGAGCCAATGCTTTCCGAAAACGTGGACTGGAAGAGGATGCAGAAGACTCGCTCGGAGAAGTTGGGGATGAGGGATAGTTCATACAGGAACCTGAGGAGCCAATCAAAGAGGGGGAAGATGTAACCCACAGAAACAGATGTGCAAGCTCGTATCACGCATCACGGCGGTGAACAGAAGATACTGCATCTTCCGAATGGGCTGGATGCCCACAGCCCGGCCCTAAGAGATGCTTACTGTTCAGGCTTGTCCAGGGACTTGGCACTTTCCTTGTCTTTGGAGGACCGGCCATGCTTTTCAATCTTTTCCAGCTCATCTGACTGTGCTCTCTGGAAATCAAAAGCCAAAATCTGGTCAACTGAATCCCTTAGATGATGATGATCTTAGTACAGCAAGACTCTATATTGTCATATTTCTTAACATCCCTCTGTAGTAAAGCTTGACATCATTCATGAGGCATGCGAAAGTGTAAATATGTTTAATGGAAACCAGATCATCTCCAAATCTTCCAAGTGATGGTATTGACAATCAGTGATCTGCAAAACACTTATTTATTCAAGCATGTTTTAAAACAGCACGGTCTTCTTCTCTTGCTCTCGAGCTGTTTATAATCCCCTCCAGAAGGCAAGACTTTCATGTTAAAGTGGTATTTCTTTTTTTATTTTTTAAAATATATTTTATTGATTTTTAACAGAGAGAAAGGGAGAGAGATAGAGAGCTAGATACGTCGATGAGAGAGAAACATTGACCAGTTGCCTTTTGCACACCCCCTACCGGGGATGTGCCCGCAACCAAGGTACATGCCCTTGACAGGAATCAAACCTGGGACCTTTCAGTCTGCAGACTGATGCTCTACCACTGAGCCAAACCGGCTTTGGCATCTTTTTAAAAAAATATATTTTATATTGACTTTTTACAGAGAGGAAAGGAGAGGGATAGAGAGTTAGAAACATCGATGAGAGAGAAACATTGATCCTACTGGGGATGTGCCCGCAACCAAGGTACATGCCCTTGACCAGAATCAAACCTGGGACCCTTCAGTTCGCAGGCCGATGCTCTATCCACTGAGCCACACTGGTCAGGGCTAACGTGGTATGTCTTATTAAGGGATCGATGAAACTCAATCTGATCCTACAGCAACTCTCCTGCTCTTTCCACAGAATTCTACCCCAGCACCAATGAACTTAGTCTGCAGTTATGGTATTCAGTTCATCCTTGACATCCACCATTTGATTTGGGGGCGGGGAGGAAATCTGTAGGTCAGGTATGTTATGAATGAAATAGCTTTGATTGTGTTGGACTGGGAATTTTTGAGCAATGTTAAGGGGAAATGCTCCTGCATTATTTAAAGGACAGGTTAAATTATCCTTTTGAACATTACACATTGAAGAGTTGATGGCTGGTCTATATGGTACTATTTGTTGACTCATATTTCCTCTAATATTGAAAACTAGCTTTTCAAGAGATATACACTTTGTATGATCCATAGATTCACATTCTACAAATGCATAGATCTTTCCAGGAACAACTAATAATTGGAATATCTTTAAATGCCAAGGACTGAGGGGAATTCACAAAATGGCAGCCACAGACACGCAGCAATCTAAAGTCATATGTCTAAGGGCTGAACAGCTCTTCAGGGTCCTAAAATCTTGACTACTTAACCATATATCGGCAAGCAGGCAAGTAAACAAAAAGAAATTCAGAACCAAACACGCACAAGATGCCATCTGGAATCATTCAACCTCCCAAATAAGGTTGATAGGAGTTTTATATCCTTTAAAAAAAAAAAAAAAAAAAAAAAGACTTGGCTATTTAATTCTTTAATAGCTTTATTGCACATTAAATTTTAGTTGTCACAATCCTGGGCCTCGAGGAGGAAAGGTAATTATCCTCTCAGGCTCATATGTCAAAAGCATCCAACGTTATTGCTGCCCGTGTATAATTTCAAGCCATGACCCACGCTTTCATAAAAAATTTAAAAAAAAAAAAACAAGGCTCTTGGCTTGTACGTATAAAACAATCAACACTTACTACCATTGAAAAATCTCTACCTAATATGGCCCTACCCAAGCCAAACCTGCAAGTATTCTCCATGAAGTAGAACACTCCTCGCCGGAAGTACATTCCTGTAGGTTCCGCAGAACCAAGGGACTTGAAGGGGGACCATGAACATTTATGGCGTGGGGAGGGAATGATTTACTGTGGTCCCTAGCCAACTGCTCTGTTTCTCTGCTGCTTGCCTGCCATCATGGAAAATCACTGGGTAATGTTTAGTACACAAGTGTCACGAGAGACTGTCCTTCCCCAAGAGAGAGCCGAATGTGCTGTTAAAAAAAAGCAAATGGCCAAGAAATACTCTCTGTACTCTCCCGAGCTAAAAAAGGGTGTTAATGGGCTCCGAGGAGCCAGAGGCCGATCACAGAAGAACGCGGTTAACAGAAACACAATGGCTGGTAAAGACACGGGCGGGGTGGCAATCACCCAACACCACACGCCAGCGTGCGCGATTCGTGTCCTTCTGAGGAGGGACCGCCTTCGGGACCAGAAGCAGCATCGTTAGGAGGAGTTAGCAAACAAGTGTTTTCCTTACCCAACGAGGTTGACACTGAGAGCTCAAACCCAAGAACAAAAAGAGCAGCAGGGATCAGAGCTAGCGCTGAACATAAAAGCCATTTCCCGAATCGTCGGTATAGGTGAAGAATGCAGTCTCCATCGACGTTATAAAGAATTTGAACACGGCCATGGATCTGCTGGCTGCTCCCCTACGCTCTTTCCAAGAAGTAGAAATCTTGGATCCCTCTCAGTTCCAGGTCAATCCATAGGAAAGACAGGCCCGTGGTCTCCCCTAGATCAGTAGTCGGACCCCAATTTCTAGGGGAAGTGTGAGATTTGGCACAGGCATCTTTCCATGTGTGGACCCTGAGAAGGAATGTGCCTGTTAAGAAGGGACTCCTGCCGAAACCGGTGTGGTTCAGTGGATAGAGCGTCAGCCTGTGGCCTGAAAGGTCCCAGGTTCGATTCCAGTCAAGGGCATGTACCTTAGTTGCGGGCACAACCCCGGTGGGGGGGGTGTAGGAGGCAGCTGATTAATGATTCTCTCTCATCAATGTTTCTAATTCTCTATCTCTACCTTCCTCATCAATAAAATATATTAAGAATAAAAGCATAATATGCTAATTAGACCGGACAGCCGGACGACTTTCCAAACGTCCTTCCCAATGACCTTCCGGATGAAGCCACAGCTGTGAGGGCAGAGCCCCTTATACGAATTTCGTGCACTGGGCCTCTAGTCGTCAATGACCTTGAGGGAACCAGAAAGATTCCTGGTCCAGAATGCTCAGAAGGACATAGTGTGTTTAGTGAGTGCATAGTTTCACCGGGTTTTAACTCCTCAGTTAAACAGGAATTGGGCGTTCGAGATTGCACGTTTTGAAATGAGGGTGTGTTTAGGAGTTGGAGGCCGCCCCACATTCATTCACATCTAGAAGCAAAAGCCCCCACTGCCAAACATGCAATTAGGGGAGGGGGGGGGAAAAAGTTGATATTCTAAATAAGGTTTGTATAGCAAATACTTCCATCTGTTTCAGAGATCAAATACGACAGCTTTCAAACAGTCCAAAAGGCCTGCATGCAAGCATCTGGCACCAAAGGGGATGCGTGTATTTATGGTTTCAGGTTAGTTATGTTATTTTGCCCTCGAGGATACGTGGTGGAACGCTAAATTAGATTATTCCTCACATACTTTAATAACAACAACGTGAGCTTACGCATGACACTCCGATTTATTTATTTTTTTCTAGATAAAATTTTTCTAGACAAAATGTAAATGTTCCCTCGGACGCCATGAGTAAACAATGAAGGCTGAGTTAAGATCACCACTCGGATACCTTTCAAACACTGTTTTCAGACTTGAGCATAATGATTACAGTTATGACAACTCGGTAAATGTTGAAACATTTTCAAGGAGGAGGACCCCAGCCAAGTCCAAGGGCGCAAAGTGCCACGTTTCTCTTCTGCAGATACCATCACGTGAGCAAGACTCACACCAAAAAGAGTGACAAGGCCCTAGCCGGTGTGACTTGGTGGGTAGAGCATCGGCCTGCAGACTGAAGGGTCCTGGGTTTGATAAGGGTTCAAGGACACGCGCAACCTGGGCATAAGCCCTGACTGGGAATCAAACCCGGGACCCTTCAGTCCGCAGGCCAACGCTCTACCCACTGAGCCAACCTGCCTAGGGCCGATTCCCTTCTTAAAGCAACAAGCCTAGCTGCGTACAGGGTCAAGTAGTGTGGACGTACGATATACTCACACTTCCAGTTCCTTCTATTACTCACATTCTCATAAAGGGCTTGAAGGGTCTCCAGGTCAACCACAGAGTTGTCCAAGTTCACAACAGCTGTTGAAACAAACAAAAGGACAAAAGAAAGAACATAAATGACTTAGCCATACACCAGCTGTAAAAAGATGCCTGGCCATTTTTTCCTCTTCTTTTATTAATTGTTTACTTATTTGTGTTGTTGTTTTTTTGTTGCTATTGTTGTTAATCTCCACCTGAGGATACTTTTCCATTGATTTTGAAAGAGAGTGGAAGGGAGGAGAAGAAGACACAGAGAGAGAAACATCCATGTGAGAGACAGACACACATGGATTGGCTGCCTCTGGCATGAGTCTCAAACGGGGCTGGGGATCGAGCCTACAACCGAAGTATGTGCCCTTGACCAGAGTAGAACCCACAACCCTTCAGTCCACAGGCCAGTGCTCTATCCGCTGAGCCACATAGGCCAGGGCTGTGAGGTCTGGCCATCTGGAGCAGCGGGGACCAGCTCTGGAGCGGAGTTCCTAACCCAGCGGTCAGTGGGGGCAGGGCGCTCACTTCAATGCGAGCTTTCACCTGCTCCAAAAATACAAAACCTCACGAACATGGCCCAGTCCAAAGTCAAAGACCAACTGTGAGTGTCTTTCCAGGACTAGCTGCCTGAATTTGGAAAACTTGCTTCAATAGCAGAAAATCAGATCAGTCACTCTTCTTACCGTCACATCCCTATTTTACATCAATTAATGCTCTACCTGCCTACATAGGACACAGTCAATTCCAATCATTCAACTGATGGGCTTCATGTAGACATGACAGATGCGTTTCCTGGGGTACTTATTTTACTTGTTCTAATAAAAGAACAATTCTTTGATTATGGTATTGAGATTAGCACAGATGCATCCTTAAAAATCCACTCTGACTATACCAACTACCCGGGTTTATTACTCAAGAGAGAAGTGGAATGAATCGTCAAAAAATTGGGAGTAGGTCCTTAAGTGCATTTTGTGGCCTGAGAGTCGTATTGTGTTTTTGGAATCCGTGTGTTTTATTGTATAATGCAGTTTGGACACAGGTTTGTTAAAAGCGTTCTGTACTACCTACATACAGAGTAGTTAGAAATGAGGTGAATGTGCCCTGATCCTTGATTTGTGCCGAGCAGCCAGCATAGCTATTGTGGAATTAAATATTTCTGGAAGGAAAATCACAAAGTGGATAATCACACTCTGGTTGTATTTGTTTTGATAACGGAGGCATTTGACAATGTCTTTCCTCTCAAAGCTTCAAGCACACGAGACAATTCTTGTTGACTCTGGCAACATCCCAAGAAGGAATTAAGAAAGGAAAGTGGGAAACTGACGTGTATGATGGATGGGAATGTTAACTAACCAAGATAATTTCGCTTTTCTGCTCAAAGCTGAGAACAGACCCCATGATCCCCCAACAAATATCACAGCAACTAGAACATGATACTTCCATCCTAATAATATTCCTCTATCTCCATTTCCAAAAATATCAGGTCTCAAGTATCAAGTAAGAATTTGATTAAGACTCTCAGACAAATGTTTTCACTCCTTAGACTACATAGGGCAACTTCCTAGGACAAACTGTGTTTCAAAGCAGTACAAACACTTGCCCAACTGCCTTTGACTACATTTCAAAAATTAAATAAAAGGGATTAGCAAATGATTTTCACTAGAAGCAACGTGGCTGTAAGTAATATAACAACATGCAGAAAACCCAAATAAAGATAGCAAGTTCACGTATGAAATGACTCCCTTAGGATGTGTCCAGAGTCTTATCCCTTAAGAAAAACATCATGGTGAATCCAAAGGGTCGGACTTCAACATTCATTAGCTCATAATCAAGTATTTCTACATTCCTTGGGTGACTTAGCAAAAGGCTATGAAAGAAATGCTAGTCAACTTCGTGCACCATTTCATCTTCGGAACAAGGAAAAGAAACGCAATGGAATTAATTCATACACAAGTCAAAACTCATCAGAGATACAATTGTCTTCTGGCTTCCTCCATCAGTCTAAAACATATTATTATTCCTACAGGTCTTCCCCCACACAAAGTCTTACTTGTGATTATACTGAGTTTCTCGTCTTTGAAACTCATGCAGTATCAGTATTGAAGAATATCATAATAAAGGCTATATGGTCCTAACCATTGACTTATAGGCCTAACCATAGGTATAGGGCCCTAAGCAAGTCCACAAGTTTCTAACCCATGAATCCTCGTTTTTAAAAATATATATTTTTATTGACTTCGGAGAAGAAGGGAGAGAGAGAGAGAGAGAGAGAGAGAGAGAGAGAGAGATCAATGATGAGAGAGAACCACGGATTGGCTGCCTCCTGCATGCCCCACCCACACTGGAGATCGAGCCTGCAACTTGGGCCTATCCCCTAACTGGGAATCGAACCATAACTTCCTGGTTCATAGGTCGACGCTCAACCACTGAGCCACGCCAGCCAGGAAAACCTCATTTTTGTAATCATTCACAGAAAATCTCAATAGAAAGCAGCTCCATAAAATTTTCCCGCTACTGGCTTTCCACTTGAGAGATGCTAACACAATTCAATGGGAATCAGCTGTTTTGACAAAAACCATAGAATCGTGCTCAAGTAGCTGAAGTTCAGGAAGATTAAATATTGGCAGAGGAAGGGGTACCATGAGAGAGATCCAGACAGGAAGGAAGGCTAAAACATGCAATTTGAGAAGGGAATGGGGATATTGACGGGCTCTCCTTCCTCAATATCAAAAGCACATTCCACCACTTTGGAAATCAGGATACGGACTGAAACTCACGTTCCTAAATGTTTCGTGAAATCTCCCAGGATGCCCCTCTCTTAAAATCTATGATGAGGTAGGTGGTACGGTTTCCACTGACGACATTCTAAAATCAAGGCACCCAGAGAACGCGTTCACGCGTGTCCCCGACCAATGTCACAGCGGTTCTCAAAACTCAGTGCCATCCCAGCTCGTTAGGCTAGTTAACAGTCTCTGGAGCAACAACCATCTGGATCCGGAGCTCCAGCAGGTGCCTGGCAGGGCTGCCAACCGGTTATGAGTGGCGACCGCCTTCACCAACAATCTGGCATGCGGTTGGTTCATATCACTTCCCTCTTCAAGGTTTTGTAGAACACCAACCAACTCGTCTGTCTCTCATAAGCCTTATGATCTATCCCGAAGTCCAAACGAGTTTCTTCTGTTTCTGTTCATCCGATTTCTACCTATGGCCGTGGGAAGGGATTTCTATAAATACCAGAGGCCCCGTGCATCCCTCTCCCCTCCAGTGTGATCTGCTCTCGTAAGGTAGAGATTCCCAAACCTACTGGCTCCATGCCCAGCGTGGGGCATGCAGGAGGCAGCCCGTCCATGATTCTCTCTCATCGTTGATGTTTCTATCTCTTGCTCCCTCTCCCTTCCTCTCTGCCATCAATAACATACATTTTGAAAACCTTACTAGGATCTCCCTAAATCAGTACCCTGAGTGAGGGATGTCAGACACCCCATGTTGAAAGCATCCTTGGCGAGAGGAACACGGAGCGTTCCCGTGGTGCCGATTGCAGCGTGGGAAACCAAACAAGCGCCCGCAGGGAACTCTCATCAGCACCAATTTTGGTTGGGGTGCGTGGGCAGGGAGCCGCGTCAGCAGAGGCTTAAACACCCAGTGAGTGCAGACCAGCCCGTCGTCCCAGTTCATGCCCTCTCCTCGTTGGCGGGGTGGGCAAGTGTGCCAAGGCTGCGAGAAACCACCCTGACCCAACGTGCGATTCAGAAGCCACAGGGGGGGGCGGGAATCAGCCCTGGCCGGTGTGGCTCAATGGATAGAGCATGGGCCTGGGGACTGAGGGATCCCAGGTTCGATTCCGGTCAAGGGCACAGACCTTGGTTGCAGGCACATCCCCAGTAGGGGGTGTGCAAGAGGCAGCTGGTCGATGATTCTCTCTCATCGATGTTTCTAACTCTCTATCCCTCTCTCTTCCTCTCTGTAAAAAATCAATAAAATATATTTTTTTTAAAAGAAAGAAAGAAAGAAAAGCTTTCACGTGGGAAACAGAATCCATCTCATCCCCAGTCCGCCCCTGGTCCATCTCAGGCACGCTTGCTTAGACAAGGGTAGCCACATCCGTTACGGATGAATCCGAAGGCCCACACGCCTATGGACCTTGTTTAGAATAGCTGGACGGGTGGCATCGAGAGAGAACAAATGCATTTCGGTGGAGTCAGGCCGTCACCTCCTTGTCTGGGCAGTGGGAGGAGGCGAGGGGGGAGGGTGGGGAGGAGGGAGACACGGAGACGAAGACCGTGATCCTTTCGGAATAAAACCTTTCAATGCAAACACGCCGGGCCCGGGCAGACTGTTTAACCTAGCGATATTGTATTTCATTCCTGGTCTCGGCGCGCTTTGTGGATTTGACCAAACTGGTACAAACGCGGAGGGCTTATCTCAACTGTTTAGATAAGGGGGACTCGGCTTTGGCAGGTGACAGAGCCGGGGGCGTGGAACAAAGCGGGCAGAGGGAGAGGCTGGCACGGGCCCAGCGGGTGTTTATGTTACGCGGGGGGTATGGACGGGGGAGGAGTGTAAAGCGCCCGCTGTTGGCTCCGTGTGTCCATAAGCCGGCCCTGCAGAATGTCCTTACTTGGGCATCGGGGACCTCACCTTCCTCTTCGGTAAACATTTACGCTCTTGTAAAACAGAGCTCGGGGAGTCTTCCCTGGGACGAGGGCCCTCGCCCGGGGGTCCCCATCTGCCACTGCTTTCCAGCACGTATTCTAGAAAGGGCAATCGTGTTCAGGGTGACGGCTCACAGGAGTCTGTCTGTGGCTGCGTCCGTACAGAACCTGCAACTGTCTGATGCCCCACGTGACTTGCATCCAGATAATAATCCGGCTTTTCTGTTTTAATATATTTTATTGTGTGTGGTTTTTTTTAGAGAGAGAGGAAGAGAGAGGGAAAGGGATAGAGAGTTAGAAACATCGATCCGCTGCCCCTGGCACGCACCCCCCACTGGGGATGTGCCCGCCACCAAGGCACATGCCCTTGACCGGAATCGAACCTGGGACCCTTGAGTCCGCAGGCCGACGCTCTATCCACTGAGCCACACCGGTTAGGGCTGCTTCTTCAAGCTTTTAAGGCAGCCATTTCATTTATTTATTATTTTTTTTTAGAAACCCGTGTGCAGGATTTCAAAGCGACTCCAGCCACCGCTTTATATCCTAATGGGATAACGTTTCTGCATCATTCGGCGTGACCCTCACACCACCGACATCCACGCTGCGTTATTGTTAGCGTCGCATGTTCAGCTAGCAAATTTTTCAATGAACTCTCGCTGGCTTGCCCACAGACCCAGATGTGAGGCGGGCTCCTCGGGTCATACGGTTCTCGTTAGTAGCCCAGCCCGGCTGAATATTTGACTGGGGGAAAGGACCGTGTCATTATTTTCAGATTTCCTCCCATGACTTAACCGGCCTGCCCCTGCCAGCTCTGGAAACGCCGAGCACTTCTTGGCGCCAGACTTGGCGTCCTGCTCTCTGACTACCACCCCCAGCGCTTCGGCCGAGGAAGTCTCCTCGCCATCAAAACAGTTTCATAAAACCGGAATCGTGATGAAGGGTTACTCATCCATCGCTATTTATGAATTATTCCACCCCGTGGCTTCAGCCAAACAAACAGCATCCACGTTCCTACAAGGGTAGGCAAGGAAAAGCCAGGTCAACGTTTCCATGATTTATAAGGTTTGTGTTGCACTGGAGGCCACGTTGCTTTAATAGGTAAGCTGGCATTCCACGGAACAGTTCAATCTGCTTTGAATCTAGCCTCGGGCTCTGGGCAGCGTGAGGGACATTCTGAACATAAACTCAACTCCTCTGTTCACCTTTGGGCTGTATCTCTCAAGCACAGATGTGATCAGAGGAGAAGGCACGGGAATACCTGTGCATGGGAGGGTAGAATTCAGTTATGAAAATATTGCCGCTAACGTCGCTCCGAAAATGTGGGAAAAAATCACCCCGATTCCAAATGTAAATAATGTTGTAGAAGCCCGTATAAAAACATACATGAAAACAACAACATAAAAGAAATAGCAGGCGGTCCTGCTATTACTGTTTCCATGTGTCTTGACCACGAACAATAACAGAAGCAGGCAAGAATCCTTGGAAACGATCTTTGATGATTATTAGGAAAGATAATTCACTCCCGCCCTCGCTGGTTTGGCTCAGTGGATAGAGCGTCGGCCTGCGGACTGAAAGGTCCCGGGTTCGATTCCAGTCAAGGGCACATGTCTGGGTTTCAGGCTCGATCCCCAGTAGAGGGCATGCAGGAGGCAGCCAATCTGATTCTCTCTCATCACTGATGTTTCTATCTCTCTCTCCCTCTCCCTTCCTCTCTGAAATCAATAAAAAAAAAAAATGTTAAAAATAAATAAACAGGGACCGGTTTGGCTCAATGGATAGAGCGTCGGCTTGGGGACTGAAGGGTCCTGGGTTCGATTCCGGTCAAGGGCATGTACCTTGGTTGCGGGCACATCCCCAGTAGGGGGTGTGCAAGAGGCAGCTGATCGGTGACTCTCTCTCATCGATGTTTCTAACTCTCTATCTCTCTCCCTTCCTCTCTGTATAAAATCAATAAAATATATTTAAAATAAATAAATAAATAAATAAATAAATGCATTTTTATTAATGCAGACTAAACATGTCTCATGAGAATCATGAGACAGAAACAACAGAAACGCCACATGAATAGGTAACATGCCGGCAACAAGCATGAGGGAAACACACGACCCTCAGTATCGACGGCAATTCTAAGTCTGAAATGATTTTGCCTCCAACCACCACGCCCTTCAGCCCACGCAGTGGTATTCAAAAGCTGGATTTTAACTTGCACACTTACCATGTTGTATGTCTTTCATATCCAAGTGAAGGCTAGACATTAATATCCCAACCGCTTGCGACCTTTTGTTGCTTAATAGCTTGACAACCTGCTCAAGAAAAAAGGGGGAAATGTCCATTGGAACGCCAACGACATGCTTAATAATGTGTTACTTAATCTTAAAGGAAGAACAAGTCAAGTCAGCATATGAAGTATTCAAAAATGGCTTGAAAAGAGTTTTCTATTATAAACCTTCAAAATCCACCATTTACACACACACACACACACACACACACACACACCACCGAGTGTTCCCATTGCCCTGAACAGCAGGCTCTTGACCAGTCTTTTAAGAGCCTGATATGTTAACAAGTACCCTGTTTCCCCGAAAATAAGCCAGTGTCTTATATTAATTTTTGCTCCCAAAGATGCGCTAGGTCTTATTTTCAGGGGATGTCTTATTTTTCCATGAAGAAGAATACGGTACACATTTATTGTGAAATGAAAATAAAGGAAATTTATTACCTGTATACGGTACGGTAGGTAACATGCCGGCAACAAGCATGAGGGAAACACACGACCCTCAGTATCGACGGCAATTCAACACAAACCAGACAAACTGTGAATCCTACAGTATCAAGAATGTACTCATTTATTCAGTGACAATCATGTCATCATCTTCTGGAACATAATTATAACAATCCAATTTCTGAATTTCCTGGTGAATTTCTTGTGACTCCATTTCTTTCAGAATCAGTGGACCAAATCTCTCATGTTTAGCAATAGCATTCTGAGACAGAGCCTAGGGGGGGCCTTATTTTCAGGGGATGCCTTATATTTCACCTGTAAGTAGGTCTTATTTTTGGAGGATGTCTTATTTTCAGGGAAACACGGTAGAATTGATAATAGTTTAGGAAGTCAGTTGGGTCTCTGTAAAATAACAACTTCACGTTTGATCATTTGCAGCCTGAGCTTTAAGACGTGGTCCTTACTAGCCGCAGAGTCATAGAAGCATGGACAGACTGTGGAACCTCAGAGGGAAGGCAGGGGAGAGTGGGTGGAAAGAGATCAGATAATGAACTTGTGTGCACATATGTATCAGCCAGGGACACAGACAATTAGGGCCTAGGTGGGGGGAGGACAGGAGCGGCTGGAAGAGATTAATGGGGGGAAAGGAGGACCGAAGTAATATTTTCAACAATAAAGAATAAATTTCAAAAAACAAGATGAGCTGAAACCGGTGTGGCTCAGTGGATAGAGCGTCGGCCTGCGGACTGAAGGGTCCCAGGTTTGATTCCTGTCAAGGGCATGTACCTGGGTTGCGGGCACATTCCCAGTAGGGGGTGTGCAGGAGGCAGCTGATGGATGTTTCTCTCTCATCAATATTTCTAACCCTCTATTCCTCTCTTTTCTTCTCTGTAAAAAATCAATAAAATATATTTTAAAATTTAAATTAAAATAAAAGCATCTTGCAAATGCAAGGTGTTGGTGTTAGTGATCCAATGACTAGTGGTCATATTTTACTAGAGGCAGGACACACGAAATTCGTGCCAGGCGCTCAGCCCTCGCAGCCCTGGCTTCGTCCAGAAGGTCGTTCAGCTGTCCGGTCTAATTAGCATATTATGCTTTTATTATTATAGATTATTATAGATAAGGCTATCCAAGCACCTGAGCTTATTCCAACAAGAGGAAGACAAGCAATGACAGAAAGCGGTAAGGAGTAAACCAAATAAAATCTGGCAAAACCTAGAATGAAGAGAGAACCACCCACACAACGATGAATCCCCATCGTGTAGCAAACGTACAAAGCGCTGGTCCTCTAAGATTTCTTCAGACACATATCCTGTGGGTCAACCCACAACTCTGATGTGGACTCACATCGTTGTTCCTCTGGAAAGACACGGTTCTCTCTAGATTTTTTTTTTTTTTTTTGATCCCATGGGATCGGGAACCAAGAGCTTTCTTGGCACTGCCTGACACCAGGTCATGCACACAGCAAACATCTTCAATCCCAACGCGTCTCCACTCCAGAGCAAAGAATGCTTTTGTATGAGATTTTGCAGAGCCAGAGGTTATCAGGGTGTGGGTGGGTTTCGAAGTCATGCTTATTTACACCACCACCCTCTCCTCTTGTGATCAGCAGCCAGCCTCAGGAAAGGGTGGCTGGCCTCACAGGCTCCCAACCACATTCCACGGCCCTGCACAGACCAGGGAAGACATTGACACTGACCATGCCCGGGAGGGATATCTCCAGACTATCTGGTCGGCACCAGACAAGCCCGTCTACGTGGGCAGCCTCCGCACAACCTGGGACACAAAACAGGGAGTTGGCTGATTGGGGAGATAGCTGTCAATCCCACCCCCCGATTAAGAAGCTACACGTCCGTCATGATTTGACCTGGGTGGCGCTAAGAACTCTGTACTTCAGCCCACATCTTCGCCTACGTGAGCAGCTATGTAACTTCAGACAAAGCTCTTGAATGGCTCTGGATTCCCCTATCTGTGGAATATTCCTCAGTGGGGATGGGGCTGGGTGCAGGAGGCAGCCAATCAATGATCCTCTCTCATCATTGATGGTCTATCTCCCTCTCTCTTCCTCTCTGAATCAGTGAAAATATATTTAATAAGAAGAGCAAGCCGAAACCAGATTGGCTCAGTGGATAGAGCGTCGATCTGCGGACTGAAAGGTCCCAGGTTCGATTCCGGTCAAGGGCATGTACATTGGTTGCGGGCACATCCCCAGTAAGAGGTGTGCAGGAGGCAGCTGGTCGATGTTTCTCTCTCATCGACGTTTCTAGCTCTCTAGCCTTCTTCCTTCCTCTCTGTAGAAAATCAATAAAATATATATTAAAATAAAATAAAATAAATAGAAGAGCAAAGCCACTGGCTTGTTCTAAATAAATTCAAGTCAAATAGAGTAACAAAACGGCCTCTTAGCTAGGTGTATGTTACATCCTCAAATCACATGTGCCAAGATATTAACTAGTTTGTATTCACCAACAGAGAAGAAAGCCAGGGTACGAAGGGGAAATGGCTGAAAGCCATGACAACATGGGGTGGGCTGGGATGCCCACTCACCTCTGCCCGACTCCAAAGCTTACCTGTTCCCCTGCTTCAGGCCCCGTTGGCCACACTACACACACATACACGTGGTGCAGGATCCTTGACATAACAGAGCACCCAATGCACCAGAAGAATCCACTGACAGAGAAACATGCAATAATATTGGGCCTAAGCAACTGTTCAACCATTCGACCAGTAGCTATGACACGCACTGACCACCAGGGGGCAGGTGCTCAACGCCCAGGTATGGAAGCATGGGACAGACTGATGAATCTCAGGGGGAGGGTAGTGGGGAGGGCAGGAAGAGATTAACCAAACATCTTATATGCATACTAGAGGCCCAGTACACGGATTTGTGCACCAGTGGGGTCCCTCAGCAGGGATCAGGCTGAAACTGGCACTCTGGCATCCCCCGAGGGGTCCTGCATTTCAAGAGGGCACAGGCCAGGCTGAGGGACCCCACAGTGCACAAGTCTATGCACCAGGCCTCTAGTTTTCATTTAAAGGAATAAGTATTCAAGAATTAGAAATGCAATTCCTGACTGATATCAACTTCTTTCTTAGCTTACACTGAAGCAGTGAGGAAGATCCTGACTAACAAAACAAAACCGATAAACAGTATAGCGTGATCATAAATAAACTGAGGAGGGGGGGAATGACATTGGGTTATATTTTCATAAAAAAATGTATTCTAACAGGTTGCACTTCCAAGCTTCATATTTTACTTTCTTAAATATTACAGCAACATGGAATTAAAAAGTCGAACATAAATACCACCACGCTCCTAAGATAAAATGTTTTTCTAATTAAAACGAACTATCACAGCTACCCATCTCTTTCCACTCCGTGAGCACAGAGAAAACACACCGAGATGTTGAAACTCCTGGAATTTAAAAACAATACACAACCTTCTCTTTGATGCTCGTTGGACACAGCATTTGGAGACATACATGCAAGATATAATTTGGCCCTCCATCATATCAAACATCTTCCCAATCAAAAAAAAAAAAAATGTGTTCCCTGCCCAATAGTATGCAAGTTCATTTGGTTGCATTTTTCTCTTCGGAATTCCTGCTAAAAATCTGGTTTTAGATTATCTGCACTATCTCCACTGTTAACAGTACATTCCTAGCTGGGAACTCACAGGGTAAGATTAGAAGTAAAGTATTGAAAACCCACTAAGTTGTGAATATAACACCTACATTTCATGATATTGCAAAAAATCATTTAGATATCAAAAGTGTCTACAGAATATGGACATTAGCATATTTTGATGAGTGATGCTAACTGTCACAAGTAAAAGATACGATACATATAAAATGATAGGGTTACTGACAACCCCAAATGAATAAGACTCTTACTGAGGCATACCTTGGTTGCGGGCACATCCCCAGAAGGGGGTGTGCAGGAGGCGGTTTATCAATGTTTCTCTCTCATCGATGTTTCTAACTCTCTATCCATTTTAACCTGCCTCTCTGCAAAAAAATCAATAAAATATATATATATTTTTTAAAGCCAGTGTTATAAGCGAAAAATGGACTATTCAGGAAATGAAGGACCACCTCGCCTCTGCTGATGAGATGGAAACGGCATCATAAACGTTGAGTTATTCAGTGAATGGTCATCCCGTTTGTGACCTATTCAGGCATCTGCTTTCCCTCCTGCCCATTAGCCATTAGCTTGGTGTGACTTTTCTGGCTCTTCCAAAGACACAGGCTCAACCCCTGGCTCTAGCCACTGAGCAGCACGGTGCTTTCGGCACTGCGAAGAGATGATACAAGGGTGAAAACTGCATTGATCCCACCCATCAGAGGAACACAGTTCCAGCGTCCTTGCCAAGTCTCCGATCTATTTCTGGAAATGACATACTGACTCAGCCACGGGTGCGTTCCCCGAAGACCTCCTAGAGTTTGGACATGAAAGAGGAATAAACATGGACTTGTCAGGGACCTAATTTATGGTGCTCGTTTTTTTTTGGAGAATAAAAGCTTCAATATGTGATCTTTTTTTTTTAAGTCTTGAAAGACAAATGGCGTTCTCTGCGGCGGCACCATGTTTTTCAAGGATCATCCGCCTCGCGTTTCCCTTTCTTCAGCAATCCCATGTAAAGGGACAGACCCGGTGCCAAATGGGTACGTTCTGGCACATTCTCATCCAACAACAGTCAAGTCAGTCATTACTCATCTCCCTGAAAATATCTCCCACCCCGTGGGCCCAAAGTATCAAGTGAGCGCTTGGTTTTTCAATAATAGTTTTTCCAAAGTGGAAAAAATTTATTGTTTAAAATAGGAAAATAAAATTTAAAAATAAAGTGGTTATTGTTTAAAACAAATGCTTCCCAGGTTCGATTCTGGTCAAGGGCTTGTACATTGGTTGCGGGCACATCCCCAGTGGGGGGTGTGCAAGAGGCAGCTGATGAATTATTCTCTCTCATCGATGTTTCTAACTCACTCCTCTCTGTAAAAAAAAATAAATAAGATGGCGAAGCCGGTTTGGCTCAGTGGATAGAGCATCAGCCTGTGGGCTGAAAGGTCCCGAGTTCGATTCTGGTCAAGGGCATGTATCTTGTTTGCGTCCACATCCCCAGTAGGAGGTGTGCAGGAGGCAGCTGATCAATGTTTCCCTCTCGTCGATGTTTCTAACTCTATCCCTCTCCCTCCCTCTCTATAAAAAATTAATAAAATATATATTTTTTAAATGATGGGCCCCTATGCAATCATTTTCTAATAACTTGAGTGTCTTAAGTGTCCAGGAGAGTTGGGTGAAGGAAAGAAGCAAGGGCAATACCTAAACCAGTGGTCGGCAAACTCCTTGGTCAGCAGAGCCAAATATCAACAGTACAACCATTGACATTTCTTTGAAGAGCCACATTTTTTAAACTTAGCCTTTATAGGTAGGTACATTGTTATGAACCAGGGGACTCCTCAGCTGGCCTCTGCTAAACACTCCAGGGGCCAAAGAGCCACATGTGGCTCGTGAGCCGCAGTTTGCTGACCCCTGACCCGAACCGCCAGAAATCAACAACGGTCGCCGTTTAGAAACACAGTGTTGGTGGAAGTAAACACGGGAGAGATAAAATAAATACAGGCGCGGAGCAGCGAGACCACACAGCCCTGACAGCAACATGCTCCATGCAGTCCTGGGTGGCCCCGGGGAGAGAGAGAAGCCTACGGGAGACCGTTAGGAGCGAGGCTCAGCACGGTTATTAACACGGACGGGGAGATCTGCGAAAGCATGACTGAGTGAGTTGGACGAAGAAAAAAGGGAGAGCCAGGCAGAAATTCCCATTTCGTCGGAGGCATGTGTTGCACACCCATGCTATCACGCGGCACGCTGGCTGCGATGCTGACGTGCTGGTTGTATGTCAGCGTGGGACCCAGAAGGCTGTGCAGATGGCTGCACAAAGCCAACTGTTCAGCACGAGTAAGAGTAAGGAGCTTCAGCCGAAACCGGTTTGGCTCAGTGGATAGAGCGTCGACCTGCGGACTGAAAGGTCCCAGGTTCGATTCTGGTCAAGGGCATGGACCTTGGTGGCGGGCACATCCCCAGTAGGGGGTGTGCAGGAGGCGGCTGATGGTTGTTTCTCTCTCATTGATGTTTCTAGCTCTCTATCTCTCTCCCTTCCTCTCTGTAAAAAATAAAAAAGATATTTAAAAAAAAAAGAGTAAGGAGCTTCAGATCATGCTAAGTCCGAGGAAGACAAGCACCTGGTGATCTCACTCACATGTGGAATCTAAGGAACAAAACAAACGGACGGACGGCGTGGATCAGAGACATCAGAACATGGGACCTCGGCAGGAAGGCAAGTTGAGAACGCACATCCCCCTCCTCTGCTCCAAACAGAATGGAGATTCCATCAATGAGCAAAAAATCCCCCCTTCCTTTTCCTGCACGAGTGAGTTTTAGACGTTCCTCGACGATCAGAATACGGTAACGGATCTTAAATGAACTTTCCAAACGGCTCTCCTCGTGGGAGGACCCCAGGAGGCCCGAAACACCAGCCACGCATGGAAAACACGGCCCCGTACTCACTTGCTTGGCCTTGGTCTTCGTGATGGTGTCAGAAATCGGCTTCTTCCGCTCCTTGACGGCAGTTTTGGAGAACAGCTCCTCGAACTCGTGGCAGTCGATGGACGGCTCTTCGATTTTTTCCCAGATGAGTGTGGCACCGGAGTCTCTAAAGTTAAGCAAGACACTACCTGAAGGAGCCATGCGCTGGCGTTTGACACAGACGCGTTGTCCCCAGGCCACCCGAGCTGTGATGCACGCTGGTGAGAGGCCCCATGGAGGGAGAAGGCAGGAAAAGAAGGGCCAGAGAATGGAAGCAAAAGGAGGAGAGGAAGGCGGGAAGGAAGGCAGCATCGGGGGGAGGAACAGAAGAGGCAAACGGGGAAGGAAGGGGAAAGGGGAGAGAACAGTCTTTCTATTTAAGACCCCCTGATAAGAAAGTTGAAATACCAGCGACCCAGAATGAAACCTTTGCTGAGAAATCATAACATCCACCGAAACCGGTGTGGCTCAGTGGATAGAGCCTTGGCCTATGGACTGAAAGGTCCCAGGTTCGATTCCGGTCAAGGGCATGGACCTGGGTTGCAGGCACATCCCCAGTAGGAGGTGTGCAAGAAGCAGCTGATCAATGATTCTCTCTCATCAATGTTTCTAACTCTCTATCCCTCTCCCTTCCTCTCTGTAAAAAAAAATCAATAAAATATATTTTTTTTTAAATAAAGAAATCATAACATCCAGGAAGTCTCAGTAATCAAGTCGGTGTATACAAACATCTATGTTAATAAAAGAGTAAGATGCAAAATTGACCGTACCTTCGCAACGCCCACCAGCCAATGAAGAGCGAGTATGCAAATTATCCCAAAAAAGATGGTGGGTTAATTTGCATACACAGACACTTCAGGCCCCTCTGGGCAGCATGGGAAGGTGGAAAGGTGGCTGTGGCCATAGCAAAGGCGGTGCCACCAGCCAGGGAAAGGAGGGCCCATTCTCGCACGAATCTTCATACATAACAGGTTGTTTCCCTAAACGTTGACTTAAAAATATACAGACACACTTTAGAGCAGTGCTCACTACATTGTCATTTTCCTGAGTTATCCCTGAACTCCCTGAGGGCCACGGAGACTGAGTCAGATAGAGGGTAAGGAATACTCTGAGTAGAAAAGGAGGGAATTGAGGAGAGAGGCAGGGAGGGCGGCCCTGCCTGGGCTGAGCCCTGAGCGCGGTACCTTTTCGTGTGCAGCTGAATCCTCGTCCAGTACAGAGGCTTCATGGGCCGGCAGGGCTCTATGGGCTGCTTCCTGCTCCCTTTGTCCTGGCCCAGCCCCAGCCCAAACCAGCCGGCTGGCAGCGGCGGGGGGAGGAACCCGCACGCGTGGGGCATTGGCAAAGTGCTTCCCCCGGCCTGTGGGGGGGGCGGAGGGCCAGGGCCAGGGGGCAGAGCAGGTGGCGGTGGTGGGGCTGCGGGGATGCCAGTTCCAGGGCTGGGAGGGGGAGCTGGAGCAGGTGGGATACCCACGCCTGGCAGAGGAGGAGGTGGGGGAACCCCAGGTCCGGGCAGAGGCGGGGGAGGGGGTATTCCTACCCCAGGCAGAGGCGGGGGAGGGGGTATTCCCACCCCAGGCAGAGGCGGGGGAGGGGGTATCCCCACCCCAGGGAGAGGAGGGGGAGGGGGTATCCCCACCCCAGGGAGAGGAGGGGGAGGGGGTATTCCCACCCCAGGGAGAGGCGGGGGAGGGGGTATTCCCACTCCAGGGAGAGGAGGGGGAGGGGGTATTCCCACCCCAGGGAGAGGAGGGGGAGGGGGTATTCCCACCCCAGGGAGAGGCGGGGGAGGGGGTATTCCCACCCCGGGGAGAGGCGGGGGAGGGGGTATTCCCACCCCGGGGAGAGGAGGGGGAGGGGGTATTCCCAACCTGGGGAGAGGCGGGGGAGGGGGTATTCCCACCCCAGGGAGAGGCGGGGGAGGGGGTATTCCCACCCCGGGGAGAGGAGGGGGAGGGGGTATTCCCACCCCAGGGAGAGGAGGGGGAGGGGGTATTCCCACCCCAGGGAGAGGAGGGGGAGGAGGTATTTGTTCACCAGGCAAAGGCGGGGGCGGGGGCGGGGGCGGCAGCATCAGCGTACTGGGCATAGAAGGAGGTGCACCGGGTGGTGGAGGGGAGGGTGCCGCTGTGCCCACCCCAGACGTGGGGCCGGGGCCGTGTCCAGGGGGCGACCAAACAGACTGTTCCTGGCTGGTGTCCAACGCAGGCTGCAGAGAAGGCTGGGAAGACTGCGGCCTGGCCGGGCCCTGACCCTCCAGCTGCACTATCTGCCTCGGAGACACCATCAGAGAAATCTCGGAGCAGAACTTTGTCTGAGGTCCAGGAGGTGAGGACGGCCCCGCGGGGCCTCCCCCTGCAGGCCCTGGCGGCCAGGAGGGGCCGTCTGGCAGTGCCGTGGCAGGAGGCAGGGGGGGCGGCCCGCCCTCCTCAACCGGGGACGTCTGGATGGACTTGGCCTGTACGATCCTCTGGCGCAGGCCGTGCTCTCCTTCTGGCCTGAGAACTGCCGGGCAGGCGCCGTCCGAGGGCGCCTCTCCGTTCCGAACCCCGAGGCGGCCGCCGGCCCCCTCCCCATCCACGGCCGGGCACTGCTTCTCCAGCTCCGCGATCTTGGTCCTCAGGTCCTCAATGGTCTGCTCCAGCTGCTGGATCACAGTGGCCTGTCCCTCAGACCCAAGGTCTGTCACTTCCTGGGGGCAACAAGGGCATAAGAGAAGAGAAAGTAAAAAAATCATTAAAATATGGAGAAGAGAAAGTAAGGAATACTCCCCCCCAAAAAAGTGGATGGAATTAAGCAAAAAAATATTTAGATTTAAATACGGTAGATATCCGCCACGGGCACGAGCATATGCCTTATGCACAGGTTTCAGGCCGTGTAGATCACGTTGACTCTGACTGTAACGTTCTGTCTAAGACAATGTATGGGTCACCTTGATGTCTAAATGGTTCCCTAAGGCAGGCTACTTTATTTCCCTGTCATTAAAAAAAAAAAAAAAAAAAAAATGCCAAGGAACCCCTGTTGTTGAAAGAAATTAAAAAGAAACCTAATTGACTCTTTAAATAATTGTTTGTTGTGGTTATTTCTTTTACCAGCGACAATGTAGAGACTCTATGGCATGCTTTCCCAAGCTACAGATAGAAATACTTTATGTATTTGCACAGACATTTGGTGAAAAAATAGGGACCTACATTATTTACATTCAGAGGTGTGTCTACACATAGATAAAAAATACCTCTCGAAACTGTGCCTATCTATTAGAAGTGTGTTTTTTTTCATTCCTTTATTATTTACTAGAGAGTCTTTCATGATAATGATAAGCAAGAACCAATTTTTAGAATTCAGATGACTCGCCCCCGACATCAAGGCTCCGTCGGTTGGGTGTCGGCCAGTGCACCAAATTGCTTCCGGTTCAATTTCCCTTCGGGGCACCTGCCTGGGTTGCAGGTTTGATCTCCCGGGAGAGGGGTGTGTAGAAGGCAACGGATGCATATTTCCTGCTCTCTCTCCCTCTCCTTTCCTGTCTCTCTAAAAATCAATAAACTATTTAATTTTTTAAATATATATATATTTTTTAAACTCATGTTAGTGCTGGCCCCGTGGCTCAGTAGGTTGGAGTGTCATTAGGAGTACACCGAAAGGTTGTGGGTTCGATTCCCAGTCAGGGAACATAGGGGAGGCAACTGATCAATGATTGATGTTTCTCTTTCACATCAATGTCTGTCTGTCTATCTGTCTCCTTCCCTCTTTCTAAAATCAATAAACATATCCTCGGGTGAGGGTTAAAAAATAAAGGACTCCTGTTCATTTCCACTGGTGCAGATTTTCCACACACAAAAAAAAAGTGTACAATGCCGTGATATATGGCATCTTTTATAAAAAGATGGTAAAACTTGGTAGTATTTGAGAACGTCCTCAATTTCCCCAGTGGCTCTTGGCCATTCTGAAAGTTTCAGAGGGAGAATTGCTTTTCTAGAGATAATTATCATAGACAGAAAACATGGGGGGTAGAGGGGAAATTGCGGGTGAGACTATCTGATTGTCACATAGTTCTGACCGTAGAGAGAACAAAACTCGACTTGCTAAAATCTTTATTCCTCTCCACAACTCTGTCTTTACCTGCAAAATCCCAGCCCTCAATCCAAACTACCCAGCCCCGTCGTCGGCAAACTGCGGCTCTCGAGCCACATGCGGCTCTTTGGCCCCTTGCGTGTGGCTCTCCCACAAAACACCACGGCCTGGGCCAGTCTATGGTGAAGAAGTGGCGTTAGAAGAAGTCTACGTTTTAAAAAAATGTGGCTCTCCAAAGACATGTCGGTCGTCGTCCTGTGGATATTTGGCTCTGTGGACGGATGAGTTTGCCGACCCCTGGCCTAGCCTGTCAGCTCAGGCTGGCCGTCTGTTCTTTCAGAACAGCCAGATGGAGGCCGAGTTTCTGCGTCTGAAGGCAGCTAAGCGTCTTCAAAGAGCCTTATCTGGCCTTCCTTATCCGGAGCTATCAGCACCCAGCCACCACTGTCGGCAGAACTCTCTAGAAAGGCTGCCTCGCTTGTCAGCGGGAAGAGCTGCTTTCTACGTGGGCTGGATAGAATTCTTCCCAGAGGCTTATTAAAAAAAAAAAAAAAAAACCTCACATGGTCAATATGATGGAAGAAAAACGCTGTCTGTTCTCTGGCCATTTCAGCCAGCACCCTCCCTCCTCCCAGGCCCACCCACAGACAAGCCCAGATTTCATCTCCCAGCCTCGGCCAGGTGCTCCGCTGTCCAGGGAAAGACCTCCAACCCCTGCTGTCCTGGGCCTGGTCCTTACCCTCCCATCCCTTCAGGGTACAACTCGACAAGAGGCCCCTCAGAGCCTCAAAGCCCTCCACAGGAGAGAAATAAACAACGTCTCCTCCTTCTTCCAAAAAGACTCTCACGGCCCTTCCAGGAACCCTGTGCGCCTCCCCAAGGCTAATGCCTCTCACTATTAAACGTTAAAACGGCCCTGGCCGGTGTGGCTCAGTGGGTAGAGCGTCGGCCTGCGGACCGAAGGGTCCCAGGTTCGACTCCCGGTCAAGGGCACGTACCTTGGTTGCAGGCTCGGTCCCCTCCAGGGGGGGGGGGGGGAGGGGTGCAGGAGGCAGCCGACCCATGATTCTCTCTCATCACGGATGTTTCTCTCTCCCTCTCTCCCTCTCCCTTCCCCTTTGAAATCAATAAAATTATATAGTAACAAAAAAAATTTTTTTTTAATGAATGCATTTCTAAAATGAAGGGGGAAAAAAGTGTCTTTGTCATCTTGGACAGGACTGATGCAATGGGCACATCTGTCTATGATGGAGCGTCAGCAGAGAATGTAACATACTCTGCGGGTTGCCAGTTCCAATAGGATTTGTACGCAAACGTATTGTTTCAAACGTCTCCATCGTTACGATCGGCAGAGGCCACCGTCCGCGCTTGGCGGACAGTGTGTGCGATCGGCCTGCCAACAGTCCTCCATTCCTGAATAATCTCGGACGTGGGTGCCGAGGGTCCCTGCTCCTAAACTGTTTACACGCCGGGATTTCACAAAATGCAAGTTGCCATGAAAAAATAAATAAATAAATACAGTGAAACGTTCACCCCAGCTCTGTTTCTAAAGACAAGATTATCTGATTCCTAGAAAAGAGAGAAAACATCAGCCTCGCGTTCGGGCTGACGCGGTCCGAACAGGGAGCAGCCGAGACGCACTCAGAAAGAGCGTTTGCCGAAAACCTCTCGCGTGCGTCTTTGAAGCTTTATTGTAAGTTATGTCAGCAAGACGCGTCCGGAGACGAGAATCTCAGGTCCGCTTGCCGGGAAGGGAACACGGTGGACCCTTTGCTTTGTAAATGCTCGTGAGCTACGGAGTGCATGTTCCTCGTGCGTTATGTGAAAATGATATTCAGATTTTTGTTTAAGTTCTGGTAAATGCTAAGGCTATGTGACTGACATTCCAGGACACATTACTGGCCATCATAGCACATATTTTTTAAAGTATTTTTTATTGATTTCAGAGACTAAAAGGGGGGGGTGGGGGGGAGACAGAAACGTCAATGAGGAGGGAGAATCATGGATCGGCTGCCTCCTGCATGCTCCGTCCTGGGGATCAGGCCTAAACCTCAGGATAAAGAATAGAAAACTGCTTCGCATCCCAGCTTCCTCACTCCAGGGGCCACAGCCAAGGCCGGGAAGTGGGGGGGGGGGGGGGCGGAGGCAGGTCTAGCAGCTGCAGTTGCTTTAAGCATCAGACCCCCCCCCCAGCTGTCCCCACCCCCACCTCCACCCCCTTAGCTAAGAAAAGGCTTCCTGAGTCATGGCTTTTTCCAGAGACACAGAGCGCCCTGAATTCTCAGCTCCAGGGGGAGAGCACACGTCAAAGCTCATCCCATGAATCCCAGGAGCTCCTATGGGATGGCGAGAGCAGGTGCCTGCGCGCAGCTGGACCGCAGAGCAGAGATGCTCAGACCCAGCAGGTCCTGGAGCCCAGCATCACGGCGCAGAGCAGGCAGGCACCTGGGAGGGACCAGAAAGCTCCATCCTCCCCACAGCCCTTCGCTCCTACCCCTCCCCTCCCCTCCTCTTCCCTTCTCCTTCCCTCCCCTCCTCTTCCCTTCTCTCCCTTCCCTTCCCTTCCCACTCCTCCCCTCCTCAACCCTCCCCTCCCCTCCTCTCTCCTCCCACCAGGGTCAGTTACAGAGATGCAGGCCTGCCATCTAGTGACCAAGCTGGGAAGGGCAAGGGGAATTTCAGAAAAAAAGAAAAGGGTCATTTTTTTTTTTTAAGGTTTTTTTTTTTATATATATATATACACTTTATTGATTTTTTTTTTTTTTTTTACAGAGAGGAAGGGAGAGGGATAGAGAGTTAGAAACATGGATGAGAGAGAAACATCCATCAACCGCCTCCTGCACACACCCCCACCTGGGGATGTGCCTGCAACCAAGATCCATGCCCTTGACCGGAATCGAACCTGGGACCCTTCAGTCCACAGGCCAACGCTCTATCCACTGAGCCACACCGGCTAGGGCTGTGACAATATATTTTACCGTGGTCGACAGCGAGAGGAAAGCGGAAAAGGACTCCAATGTCACACACATGGAGATGGAGATTACACTGCCCCAGCTGGAACCGTAACACAGTGAGCCCTGTTGCATGTATTTTATCGCAATCAGTAAGACAGATGACTTTTTTTGGTCCAAGTTTTCTTCAGTGCTATCCTATCCAACAAGGAACGCGGTAAGATATGCCTTGGGAATAAGAATTTGGAAATACCTGCCCTCACCGGTGTGGCTCAGTGGATAGAGCGTCGGCCTGCGGACTGAAGGGTCCCGGGTTCGATTCCGGTCAAGGGCATGCACCTTGGTTGCGGGCATATCCCCCGTGCGGGGCGTGCAGGAGGCAGCCGATCCATGATTCTCTCTCATCGTGGATGTTTCTCTCTCTCCCTCTCCCTTCCTCTCTGAAATAAATAAAAAATATATTATTAAAAAAAAAAAAAAAAAAAAAAGATCTTACCTGAACAGCATCTGAGCAATTCTTCAGAGTTTCCAAAGCAGCAGGCTGAGATTCTGGGTTGGAACGGAAGACAACCCACATATTAAAGATCAGATTTCCCCCCTTTCTCCGATCAGAAAACAAAACTAAATACAATCTATCTTTAGCCCTCGGTACCCAAAACTCCAGGTGTGTATTCTGATTGTGCTTTTGTATGCTGAGTGCACGACTGCTTTTCAGTATACACTGCGTGGCCAGATGATGGTGATCTCTGGACGCATCATCATCTGGCCACTCAGTGTCTGTCCTATAGAATAAAAGGCTCATATGCAAATGGTCCCCTCGACCAGGAGTTCGACCAGCAGGCAGGCCGGCCGACCGCCCATGTCCCCTCCCCCTGGACAGGCTGGCCAGACCCCACCCATGAACAAAAAAATTCATGCACCGGGCCTCTAATATTATATATATATATAATACACACACACACACACACACACACACACACACACACACACACCCTGAGTGGCCAGATTATTATGCGTTCAGAGATCTTAGTAATATGGACACTCGGTGTATGAGACACATTTATAATGACCGACACTCATGCCATTGGTTCCTTTAAAAACTGGGATAGCCGAAACCGGTGTGGCTCAGTGGATAGAGCGTCGGCCTGCGGACTGAAAGGTCCCAGGTTCGATTCCGGTCAAGGGCATGGACCTGGGTTGCGGGCACATCCCCAGGAGGGGGTGTGCAAGAGGCAGCTGGTCGAAGATTCTCTCTCGTTGATGTTTCTAACTCTCTCTTCCTCTCTGTAAAAAAAAATCAATAAAATACATATTTTTTAAAATGAAATAAAATAAAAACTGGGATAGGCCTACACCCTCTTGTCCCCTCAATCACAGTGACTTTTTTCTCAAGTGCTGGTTTCTATTTGGGGCCAGGAAATACCCGCGAAGCCGTTCACTTTTTAGTGAATGACTCACTCGCTAGTGGCCGAAGTCTGCACCCCACGCCTCAGAGCGTCCAGGGCCTACCTGGCTCGGCGTCCCGGGGCCTGGGCTCCTCCTCGGGGGCGGGGGCATCGGCGGGGGGCGACCACGCAGACGGGGCTCTCCGGGGAAACCGCCCTTCCGTGTAGTCCAGGGAGTGTGTGGGCTGGCTAACGGCGGCCCAGGTGTACAGCTGGTCTTGCTGGATTTAAACACGAAAGCGAACGCGTTAAGGCCAGTAGTTCTATCGCCGAAAAAAAATGACATCCAGGCCTCGGACCCGTTACAGCGTCCTTCCTAACCTAACTATGCACGCGGGATGCCTGTGTGCAGGGGCGGGCATTAGTCGGGTTGCACTGGTGATCAGGTTAGACATAGATAAAGCCGAGTTTATTCTTGGGTTATCTATTTATTCACCTATCTGTGGCGTCTAACGGGCAGGCTCCACGGACAGAACAGAAACAGACTCGTCGATACAGAGAACAGACTGACGGCTCTCAGAAGGGAGGGGGTGCTGGGGGGGGCGGTGCTGAGTGAAATAGGTAAAGGGATTAAGAAGAAGAAAAAAACTCATAGACAGACACCAGGGTGGTGATTGCCCGGGGGGAAGGGGGTGGGGGTGGAAGACGGGAAAGGGAGGGTAAATGGGAACAGGGGCAAAGGTGATTTGGGGTGGTGGACACAGGGCCGTGTGCAGATGGTGTATTGTGGAATTATACACCCGGGACGCGATTGTGTCGACCGATATCACCCGATAGATCCAATGAAATAATTAAGAATTGATCATTAATAATTAGTGATTAATGAAGAAATAAAAACTATTGCAGTGAACTTGGCGTTGCTGACATTTTAAATACCAGCTTGCGGCCATTCTGTAAACTTGGAATGGAGCACTACCTGTGTTTTGTGAATTCCCTTGCCATACTTGGAAGTCACCAGCAGAGGGCAGAGTGAAACATCTCATCCTGGGATCCCTGGACATGAATGAGGAGAAATTTAAAAAAAAAAAAAAAAAAGGAATCTGGGTTCTATTTTTTGACTGGCATTCAGCACCTCCGCTGCTACATTTGCATCGATGCTGAGCAGAGAGGCGTGCAAAGAGGAAATGTCAACCTCACACGCTCCTGGGCAAAAATGTGGGAATGAAACTCAACCTGCGGCAGAAGGAATGACTGTAAGAAGAAATGCTTAGGATCAGCAGAATAAAGAAATGGAACAACGTGTGACCTTATGAGTGTAGGCATAACACCTGGTGTATGCTTCAGGAAGTCAATGGCTTATAAATTCAGAAATAGGACGTGAAAGCATCTGTAAAAATGAACCTACAGCCCTGACTGGTTTGGCTCAATGGATAGAGCGTCAGCCTGCGGACTGAAGGGTCCCGGGTTCGATTCCGGTTAGGGGCGTGTGCCTTGGTTGCGGGCACATCCCCGGTGGATGGTGTGCAGGAGGCAGCTAGTCGATGTTTCTCTCTCATCGATGTTTCTAACTCTCTATCCCCCTCCCTTCCTCTCTGTAAAAAATCAATAAAAAATATATATTTAAAAAAAAAAAAAAAAATGAACCTACAGAAATGACTTTATGTCCGTCCATACTTGCATTCCTAAGAACGCCTTCGGCCATAATGCAGACCCTACAGACAAGGTTATGGAAAAACCTGTGTAATGTCTCTGTAGGGTTATTGTAAACGTTGGCTTTATTCTGTCTTAGTATTCCGAAAGATCAGTGCCCCGCAGCCCCCTGTCCTCCAAACATACATTTCAAAAGAACATGCTTAAGGAAGAAGCAAAAAGGAAGATAAACCGCTGGGGATTTCTGCCTGGTCTCACAGCCATAACCTCTCCCAAGCTCCCTTTCCACATCAGGAAGCGGTCCGACCTTCACCTTCCCTCAGGCAGCAGCACCCTCACCTGGCTCCACTCTCCACCGCGTCATCACCAAAACCCACTTCCCCTGCCAGACAACACACCTCGGTACCCTCCCTCCTCCTCCTCCTCCGCCGCCTCCTCCTCCTCCTCCAGACTTGCAAGCCCTGCCTCCCCTCCTCTCATCATTGTGTCTTCTAACGTGTAGCCCACACTCTCCTCCCCTCCCACCCCGACATCCTCAACTCTAACCCTCACTAGCCATCACGATGCAACCACCTGGCCAGCTGGCCTGGCTCTGGAGTTGAGCATCAGCCTAGGAACCAGGAGGTCACGGTTCGATTCCCGGTCAAGGGCACAGGCCCGGGTGGCGGGCTCCATCCCCAGTGTGGGGTGTGCAAGAGGCAGCCAATCCATGATTCTCAACATTGATGATTTTCTCTCTCTCCTCTCCTCTCCTCTCCTCTCCTCTCCTCTCCTCTCCTCTCCTCTCTCTCTCTCTCTCTCTCCCTCTCCCTCTCCCTCTCTCTCCCTGTCCCTTCCTTTCTAAAATCAATAAAAATATGTTTTGAAAAACAAAAGATGTATTCACCTGGGCAGAAATGCCGACCGAAGGTCAGTGCCAAGTTCTGCCTTCGCCATCCCTAGTGCTGGGACAGAGCGATGACCTTCCACATCGCCAGCCTCCTCAGCATCCCTCTGTCATTCCATCCTGCTCTCAGTCCCATTCTTGTGGGGCCCAGATGAAGCGACGCCCACTTTTTAAACACCCGGCCCCATGTACCCCTAACTCACCCCGTGCAGCAGGCGACACCCCCTGATTCACCTCGCCTTCCCAGCATGCACCTGAAGGAGCCCGCCCCCATCTCTCTGGAACCCTCCCTCCCCCGTCGGGCTCACCCAGGTGTCCCCATTCCTGTCCCAGGCCAATCCCCCCCCCACACCTGGGCCAGCACCCCACCCCTTTCCATCCCCACAGGGCAGGACAGTCTGGGTTCGCCTTTCTCGCCCCAACTTTCAGCATCTCCTTCTCCACCGAGTCCCTCCCATCCGCACCCCCACGTGTTTTAGCCAAAGGGAGACAGAGGCAAGGACAACAGAAGCAGAAACGAGCTTTCACCCCACCCAACAACCCACTGCCCTCTGGTCCTTGCTTCCGACACAAAAGCTCTGGAGCCAATCACCCCTGCGCTGATGTCATGTGACAAGATGAGTTAATATTTGGAAAGCACTTAGGACGGAACCCTAAGCCCCTCCCCCACACCCCGCCCCTCCATTCACAATGACTTTGGGTCAATCCAATGACTGTTGGGTCTTTTTTTTTTTTTAAACATATTTTATTGATTTTTTACAGAGAGGAAGAGAGAGGGATAGAGAGTTAGAAACATCAATGAGAGAGAAACATCGATCAGCTGCCTCCTGCACACCCCTAACTGGGGATGTGCCCACAACCAAGGCACACGCCCTTTGACCGGAATCGAACCGGGGACTCCTCAGTCCGCAGGCCGACGCTCTGTTCACTGAGCCTCACCAGTCTCGTGACCTCATCTTATGTGACCTCTTGACAACCCTTGGCATGTCACTCTTTTCATCTTCTCTTCTGTTCTACCTCTGTAACCACTCTTGGTTTGTCTCCTCGAAGCCACACACACACACACACCGATCACTTTCCCCTCCATGTCCCTTTGCATGGTGAGTGCTTCTTACTCCTCACTCTACAGGCACCCAATGGCCTCAGGGGTCATCCACACGCTGAGGCCCTCCATCTCCACCCCCCCACATACAACCCCTGGCTGCAGATGGCCAGTCCCTTCCCACGTCTTTCAGAGATGCTCAGATCCAGGAAGACCTACATGGAACCGTCCCCTCCACCAGCCCCTCCTGTCTTATGCACATGAGTAGCCTCCCCCTACCCCATCCAGCCGGCCGGAAGGAAGCCTGGGCCTGTCCCGGCGTCTGCCTCGCCCTCGCCCTCACCTGCATAGCATCCATCAACTCCCACATCTCCCAGAGCAGTGCTCCTCCGAGTGAGGTCCTGGTCCAGCGCATCACCTTCACCTGAGACCCGAATGGAAACGCGGGGGCGGAGCCCAGGGATGGGGGCGTTCCCGAGTGCTCCAGGTGGGCCCCATGTTGACTGGGGTTTGCCAATCACTCGCCCAGGTATCCGTAGAATCCCACTTTTTCACCCTCCACATCCACTCCCCTTCCTGCGTCATTGAACTTTTCTTTAGCATCTTCCAGCCTCCACGCCATCTCCCAGAACCCCCCCAGTCTGTGCTCCATGCATCCCCAAATGCTCTCTCTGAGTCATGGATCTGATCATACTGTACTCCCCCACTTACATCCTCCAGGGGCAGCCCAGATGGTGTGGCTCATGGGTTGAGCATAGACCTAGGAGCCAGGAGGTCACGGTTCGGTTCCCAGTCAGGGCATATGCCCAGGTTGTGGGCTCCATCCCCAGTGTGGGGCGTGCAGGAGGCAGCCAATCCATGATCCTCTCTCGTCATTGATATTTCTCTCTGTCTCCTTCTCCCTTCCTCTCTGAAATCAATAAAAACATATTAAAAAAAAAAAAAAAGGGGGCAGAACTGGTTTGGCTGAATGGATAGAGCGTCAGCCTGCGGAATGAGAGGTCCCAGGTTCGATTCCAGTCAAGGGTACATACCTTGGTTGCGGGCACATCACCAGTAGGAGGTGTGCAGGAGGCAGCTGATCGAGGTTTTTCTCTCATCGATGTTTCTAACTCTCTATCCCTCTCAATTCCTCTCCGTTAAAAATCAATAAAATATATATAAATTTTTTAAAAATAAGTAAAATTTTTAAAGAGAATAAATCATTCAGGTTTTCAAAGTGCTGTAAAAATTGGGAGAAAGATATAACCCCCTGAGATCCTGGTTGGATGATGTTTTCTTGGTCCAAGGTACCTTCCCTTTGCCAGGGATTCACAATCCTACACTTCTGCTGGCTCTTGGGAAGAGACCAGGAAGGCCGCAGGACATTCGAGTCACATCAACAGAACTAGTTAATATGCAGGGCATATTCGGGAGACGGGGAAGAAAAATCGTGGCGAGGAAAGTTGGGCTGAGGCCCTCATTTTCATAAAAGCCCATCGTAGGGATTGAAAGTGAATTCTGAGTCATCCCAACACTCTGTGCCCAGTGGGTGAGGCCAAATACCCGTTCTGAAAGCCAAAATACATCCCAAAAAGGATATGATGCCGTGGCCCTAAAAAGTGTGACTGCCTTAAAAAATGTGTCTTTGAAAAACCAATTTTTCTAGACGTCAATCCACTTTATGGCTGGGAATGATTCTAAAATCCACAAAAGTGCCAGTAGCGTTCCTTCTAAGCACAGAACACTTTGTGGTGGGAGAATAACAGTCAGAACCCCACTACCGCCCTGACCGGTGTGGCTCAGTGGACAGAGCATCGGCCTGCAGACTGAAAGGTCCCAGGTTCGATTCCGGCCAAGGGCATGTGCCTTGGTTGCAGGCACATCCCCAGTAGGAGGTGTGTAGGAGGCAGCTGATCGATGTTTCTCTCTCATTGATGTTTCTAACTCTCTATCCCTCTCCCTGCCTCTCTGTAAATAATCAATAAAATATATATTTTAAAAAAAAAAAAAAGAACCCTACTACTTTCACAACAACACTCTTAAATTCAGAACAATGGGTAGGAAATTGCCTGCTTGGTCTTCTAAAATAAGATATGCAAAAAAGCAGCACCTTTGAGAAATTTACTAGGTCCTGTGTCCAGTTGGAAAATAAAATGATCTCCATGCTCACACCCCTGTGTGTGAAAACTTGGCAACCAATTCCTTCGTGACCCAATCACACAGCCATTCCCTGAGTGGAAACCTGGGACAGATGACTCCATATTGTAGAAATAAAGATGTGATGGAGCCCAAAGAAATAAGAGTTTTTAAAATATCCTATAGAATAAAGAGCTAATATGCTAATTAGACCAAACAGCCGTGATTTCAAAGAGGAAGGGAGAGGGATAGACAGAAACATCAATGATGCGAGAGAACCATGGATCAGCTGCCTCCTGCACATCCCCCACTGGGGATCAACCCAGCAGTCCCAGCATGTGCCCAGTGGTCGGCAAACTGTGGCTCTTGAGCCACATGCGGCTCTTTGGCCCCTTGAGTGTGGCTCTTCCACAAAACACCACGGCCTGTGTGAGTCTATGTTGAAGAAGTGGCGTTAGAAGACGTTTACGTTTAAAAAATGTGGCTCTCCAGAGACATGTCCATCGTGGTGCTGTTGCTATTTGGCTCTGTGGACGGATGAGTTTGCCGACCACAGCCCTGTGAGAAAGGAACGGATGGAGAGAGACACACGGAGCTGGTGAGAGGCTGGGGGAGGAAGGCGGGTACCACACGGAGGTCATCCTTACACGGTGACGGGCAGACCCACATCACAGCTGCTTCCTGGACAGCAATCTGCCTCCTGGACAGGAGGGAGGAAAGAAGGGAGGGAGGGAGGGAGGGAGGGAGGGAGGGAGGGAGGGAGAAAAGCAGGGAGGGAGGGACGGCTACTTACATCAAACGGAGCTGAACTGGACGGGGCGCTCTGCTGGCACGGCTCCCGGAAGCAGTCGCTGAAGGGCAGGAGGAGGCCCATGGCGATGATCCGGGAGCAGAACTTCTCTGCCTCCTCGGGGGGCCCGTTGTCCTGCTGGCTGAACAGCTTCTCCAGCAGCGTCCGCCCTGCGAGGACACGGGCGGTGAGAGGGAGCATGGGCTGGTCCCCTGCCTCAGGGCCCTCCCAGGGGACCGGGGACTGTAAACACAGCCAGGGAGCAGCACGGTTGCCAAGGCTACGGAGGTGGCAGAGAGCAGCAGCCTCCCGGACTCGCAGAGCTCAGTCTGAGGCCTGGGGAAGAGCAGCTCTGGTTTTCCCTCCCACCCCCACCCCCCAAATGCCTCCTGCCCCCCAAAGAGGATGGGCCACGTGGTGGGCCTGCATTTTCTCCATCTCAGAAAGGCCAGCCATTTTTTTTTTTTTTTTAGGGTAAACTTTATTATTATGAACTAGTGGCCCAGTGCACGAAATTTGTGCAGGGAGGAGGGGGTGTCCCTCAGCCCAGCCTGCACCCTCTCCAATCTTGGACCCTTCAGGGGATGTCTGATAGCCCTCTCACAATCTGAGACCGCTGGCTCCTAACAGCTCGCCTGCCTGCCTGCCTGATTGCCCCTAACTGCTTCTGCCTGCCAGCCTGATCATCCCCAAACTGCTCCCCTCCCAGCCTGATTGATGCCTAACTGCTCCCCTGCCGGCCTGATCACCCCCCAACTGCCCTCCTCTGCTGGCCTGATCACGCCCAAGGCTTTTATAAGTATTGATTATAGCTCAAGCTATTTTTTTAAATTGATTTCAGAGAGAAAGGGAGAGGGAGAGAGCGATAGAAACATCCATGATGAGAGAGAATCATGGATCGGCTGCCTCCTGCATGCCCCACACTGGGGATCGAGCCCACAACCCGGGCCTGTGGGCTTGGTCCCAGTGGAGGGGGCGTGCAGGAGGCATCTGACCAATGATTCTCTCTCATTGTTTGTGTTTCTATCTCTCTCTCCCTTCCTCTCTGAAATCAATAAAAATATTTTTTTAAAGGCATCCTTAGCTTAGGGCTACACAAAACCAGGCTCAGGTCTATATTTTAGTTAGAACAACTAAATTTTAGTTATACACCAAGTGGCCAAATGATGATGATCTCTGAACACATCATCATCTGGCCACTCAGTGTATCTGTGTCTCCAATGGGCACCAAAAGGATTCTAGACTTTTGCTGGAGATCAACCACCTATTGCCCTGAGCTTTCTGTCAGCCAGGGCAAAGGGGAACACTGATCAGGTGCACGATTGATAGTATCTTTGACGTCAAATAAATGAGGTGCTCCAGAGAAGTCCACGGAGTGGCCAGGTGATTATGCGTTCAGAGATCATCGTCATCTGGCCACGCAGTGTATAATAAATAGTCAGTTCTGTCGAGACACTGGTAATGCAATTTTCGTGCCTCTTCCTATTTTTGTTTGTGAGGGGGGGAACTAATTTAAAATCTCCCCTGGATCTGTGGCATGACCAAGCAGAGCAAGAGGCCGCTCTTTCCTCCATTCCTGTAAGTCTCTAAAGAGCATTCTTCGGTCTCCCGAGGCGTTTTCCGAGGGGACATAAAGGATCTTTTTTCCCCACAGAACTTAAGCTTGCCCAGACCCAATGGGAATCAAGCACCCAGGAAACCTCGTCCCTTAATTCTCAAGTGATCGGTTATCATTACAGCAGACCCGTTTTACACATCCCAGGAGCTAATTAGTGCTTTTCTATGACTCAGGCATTGTGCGTAACCGAAAATAAGGCCGACAGGCTCTTTCCATGTATGTGCGCGCGCGCACGCGTGTGTGTGTGTGTGTGTGTGTGTGTGTGTGTGTGTGTGTGAGCACATGAGTAAATATGTTTCAAGCCAGCCAAAACCAGTGTGGCTCAGTGGGCAGAGCGTCGGCCTGCGGACTGAAGGGTCCCAGGTTCTGGTCAAGGGCATGTACCTTGGTGGCGGGCACATCCCCAGTAGGGGGTGTGCAGGAGGCAGTTTCTCTCTCATCCATGTTTCTAACTCTATCCCTCTCTCTTCCTCTCTGTAAAAAATCAATAAAGTATATATTTTTTTAAAATATGTTTCAAGCCAGAATTTTTCTAAAGGGATATGGAGCAACTAGAGGTCCGATGCTTTGGCCCTCACAGCCCCGGCTTCGTTCAGAAGGTCATCTGGAAAAACATCCGGTCTAATTAGCATATTCTGCTTTTATTATTATAGATGTAGAAAAATGGTATCAGCTTAAGGGGGCCAAAACAATCCTGTAGCTACCACAATCCCTGTCTTGGTTTTTCCTACCTTCACATAATCTTTGCATTCCCTCAAATCTAAATACAAAAAAAAAAAGAAGAAGCTGTGAAGTGCTATTCTAAGAAGTGTTTTCTCAGTCTGTTGAGATCTTGCTACCAGGCATAACATGTTTGGCTCAAATAAAACTTTTATAAAATTCTCTACAGGTTTGGAAATTCTTATAGCCACATAGCTATGCCCATAGACAACTCAGTCAACCTCTCTTGGGCACCAATCCTCTCCCCCATACACACACACACACACACACACACACACACCCTTGTTAATGAAGAATGTTACCTTTGTCCTGTAGAGTCAGCCTTGCCTTCATACACTATCTAAAATACTCCTTTGCGTTGTTAGCAAAAGCCACAGGATCGGATACACCCGGAAACAATGGCCGGGAGAGCATGGTAAGGGGACTGTTACCATCACAACAAACGCATCAGTCTCTGCACAAGGAGGAAGTACACTCATCAGTCTCTGCACTGGGGTTCTGTTGGGCGGGTGAGCAGCCATACTCTGAAACCTTTTATTTGGACAGGACTCTAAAAGGAAAGCATGGCTCAATGGTTGAGCATTGATCTATGAACCAGGAGGTCACGGGTCGATTCCCGGTCAAGGGCACATGCCCAGGTTGCCAGCTCTATCCCCACTGTGGGGCATGCAGGAGGCAGCCAACCCATGATTCTCTCTCATCATGGATGTTTCTATCTCGCTCCCTCTCCCTTCTTCTCTGACATCCATAAAAATACATTTTAAAAAAAGAAGGAAAAAAAGGAAAGCCGTTTCCACATCCACTCTCAGCTTTGTGAAGCCCAGCAAGGGTTCGCCGTCACCATGCCAGAGGCTACCCGAGGACTGAGCGGGGCCTGGGACCTGCCAAACCGGACGCACACCCCGCTCCCCTCATTGTCATTCCGGGGGCCTCCGCTCCCGAGTGGCCAGTCCGTCTGGGAGCCGCCGCTGACCAGCATTCTGTGTGAAGATATAAAAGACACAGACCACGTGGCCCGCGCTCTGGGGCAGCGAGCCATCCAGCGACAACGACCAAGGCTAGGGAAGGAACGGTCTTAAAATGCAGCCCGTTTAGAACCCTCTGTCTTCATGAAACATCCTCAGTGGGATTGGGGGAGGGGAGAGGAAGAAGCAGCCAAGACAAGACGTAGCAAAGCCCTTAGGAGTCTACCGTTGGCCAGAGAATGTCCTGGGCCCACCAGAGGACACAAGCATGGAGAAAACAGGCTCCCTGACTTTAATAAGGAATAGCATAGTCATGAGGGCAATGAGGATGGGACGCTCTTGCACAAGAGGTGTAGAGTACTGGCTGCTCCCAGTGAGAGCACAGTAGGTTCAGTGCCTATTGGAAGGACTGGCCCGCATGGAAGAGATATTAGTGGATTTGGCCGATAGAAGAATGGATGATGCGCTGGCCAGGTGGCTCAGTTGGTTACCGCAGCAGCATCCTGTGCACCAAAGGATTTGGGGTTCGATTCCCGGTCAGGGCACATGTCCTCACCCATCTGTATGTGCTCAGCACCTTTTTTAATAAAGTCACAAGGAAACACAGCTCCCGCAGCTCTGTTCAATGTCAGATAAGCGTGGCTTAGATCCAAACGCACACACACACTTCAAACTAGGCCAGTCCTCGGCTCAAAAAGCAGTAAATAAAGCCCATCAGGGAAGCTGCTGAGGTGCTTGACACCAATCCAAACCGCAGTCTTAAAAAAAAAAAAAAAAAAAACCTGAAAAGGGAGGTTTCAGACCAAACTGAAATGGTTTCAGGACAGCCCTGGCTTCTGTTATTAAATTCTATGCGGATATACGGAAACCAGGAAGCAAGATCTAGGGCAAAGGACAGCATTCCTTTTATATTTCCTTTTAGAGGCCCGGTGCACAAAATCCATGCACTCAAGGAGCGGGGAGTCCCTCAGCCCTGCCTGTGCCCTCTCGCAGTCCCAGAGCCCTCAGGGGATGTCCAACTGCCGGCTTAGGCCCGCTCCCCACAAACATCCTTAGTGCGGCCTCGGAGCAGTGCTCCCCCTATGGGAGCACATTGACCACCAGGGGGCAGCTCCTGCATTGAGCCTCTTCCACCTGGTGGTCAGTGCATGTCATAGGTCGTTCCCCCGTTGGATTGATTTGCATATTAGCCTTTTATTATATAGGATAGTTAAGACAGTTACATTTACTGCTAGAAATAAGACCTCTTGTGGCCTTCTGTGCCGGTTTTATTTATACCCATTAGCAATGGATTTGGTTTCCGAAGTCCATTTCTTCATGCGGGCCATTGACTAGCTTCAAGCCCCAAGGCAAGCTGCCTCACTTGCCTGAGCCTCCCTTTGCTCCTCGGAAGATAATGAGAATCAACAGCTTGTGGGCCCAAAGGGGCCACAGGCTAGCCTGACCAGCCCAGGGAGAGCCAGCATGGTGTCCTTGAAAACGCAGAGACCGGAAGCAACCCCAAAGGATCGTCTGACATTAAAACCTTTTAGCCTGGCCGGCGTGGCTCCATGGTTGAGCATGGACCTAGAAACCAGGAGGTCAGGGTTCAATTCCCAGTCAGGGCACAGGCCCAGGTTGCGGGCTCAATCCCCATTGTGGGGCTTGCAGGAGGCAGCCAATCCATGATTCTCTCTCATCATGGATGTTTCTCTCTCACCCTCCCTCTCCCTTCCTCTCTAAAATTAATAAAAATATATATTGTAAAAGTGATTCAGCATTACAAATTTAACATCTTCCAAGTCTAAACTTTAATTGACTGCAAAATTCTATTATTAGCCCTAACCAGTTTGGCTCAGTGGATAGAGCATCAGCCTGGGGACTAAAGGGTCCCAGGTTCAATTCCGGTCAAGGGCATGTACCTCAGTTGCAGGCACATCCCGAGTAGGGGGCGTGCAGGAGGCAGCTGATGGATGTTTCCCTCCCATCGATGTTTCCAATTCTCTATCCCTCTCCCTTCCTGTAAAAAAAATCAATAAAATATTTTTTAATAAATCCTATTACCAGCTTTCTATTAGACTTAATGTGCAAAGGAACCTCTCAGAGCTCAACAGCACCTCTCCTCCTGAGCACTGAAATATTTCAACACAAAGGCCGAAGACATCCTCCGTTCCTCAAGGAGGTCGGTCTCCACCCTGGCTAAATGCTTTTACATCTCCTGAGCAAACACCAGTGCGCCACTGCAATCTCTGTCCCTGGGATTTTCTCCCCACATTTGCAAGTCAGTGAAAAGCAAAACAAGAAAACCACCACATCTGTTCTTTCCTGCAGAGCTGGCAACTCCCAATCTCCGGTTTAAAAATAACACACGTTTATGGAAACGTATAGATAGAAGGATCACCTGCTTCCCAGGCAGCTGGCAATTAATTTGGTTGAAAGACAGACAAAATCACAAAATCAAGGCCAACCAACCATTTCCCGGGGGACACGGCTGGTGCTCCCCCAGGCCTCTGGGAACTTCCAAGGCACCCCTACAATCCTGAAGGATGGTGACGAGCCAGCTGACAAGGAAATGAATGTCGGGAGCCTGGGTCAACCCGGGTTCACGCCACGCAACCAGAGCCATGTCCATGAGAACCTGGAGGAATTATGTCTCCCTCTGACCAACCATCACGTTTATCCAGCCCGAGAAAGGCCAGCAAGTTCAAAAATCCACCTAATTAAAGACAGAAACTAGCCCTAACCGGTGTGGCTCACTGGGTAGAGCGTCGGCCTGTGGACTGTAGGGTCCCAGGTTCAATTCAGGTCAAGGGCATGGACCTTGGTTGCAGGCACGTCCCCAGGTGGGGGTGTGCAGGAGGCAGCTGATCGATGTTTCTTTCTCATCGATGTTTCTAACTCTCTGTCCTTCTCCCTTCCTCTCTGTAAAAAAAAAAAAAAAAAAAAAAAAAAATCAATAAAATATATATTTTTTGAAAAACAGAAACTAGAAAAACCTCCAATGTGCCGGCCTGCTGCTCCCCCGTATTTTTTTAATGTTTGATTCTCTCTGCTGTCTCACGGCGTCAAATACCGGAGCCTGAGCTAGACGCGGGGGCACTCAGACATGAATCAGTCGAGGCCGCTTCTATTTCTGGCTCTGCTGGCGAGTGAATCACACCATGACCTTGAGGAAGTGACCTCCCGCTTTCCCCCAGGACCCACCAGTGACAGCATGAGGATAAACCTACCATTCTTTCCTTATTTTTTTGTTATTTCTTTTTTTGGAGAGACAATAAATGAATAAATACATGGGGGCTGCTCTACTGGTCACTGACCAAGTATCTCCTCCATTCATCACATACAAAGGAGTGGATGTTCATATTAAAATAACTGACTCTGGCCCGACCAGCAAGGCTCAGGGTGGAGCGTCCACCTAGGAGCCAGGAGGTCAGGGTTCGATTCCCGGTCGGGGCACAGGCCCGGGTTGTGGGCTCCATCACCAGTGGGGGTTGTGCAGGAGGCAGCCGATCCATGATTCTCTCCCATGATTGATGTTTCTATCCTTCCCTTTCTCTTCCTCTCTGAAATCAATAAAAAATATATTTTTTAAAAAATAACTATCCAATCAAAAAACGGGCGAAGGACCTAAATAGACACTTTTCGAAAGAGTACATACAGAAGGCCTAGAGACATATGAAAACATGCTCAAAGTCACTGATCATCTGAGAGATGCAAATCAAAACATCAATGCGGTACCATCTCACACCTGTCAGAATGGCTATCATCAATAAATCAACAAACAACAGGTGCTGGCGAGGATGCGGAGAAAAAGGAACCCTCATTCAATGCATACTGGTAAATCACTGTAGAAAACAGTACGGAGTTTCCTTTAAAAATTAAAAATGGAACTACCATTTGACCCAGTGATCCCACTTCTAGGACTATATCCCAAGAACTCAGAAACACCAACCAAAAAAAGACATATGCACCCCTATGTTCATGCCAGCACAATTCACCATAGCTGAGATTTGGAAACAGCCTAAGTGCCCATCAGCAGATGAGTGGATTAGAAAACAATGGAATACTATGCTGCTATAAAAAAATTTTAAAAAGAAGGAACTCCTACCATTTGCAACAGCATGGATGGACCTGGAGAGGATCATGCTAAGCAATAAGCCAGTCGGAGAAAGATACATATCACATGATCTCACTCATTTGTGGAACCTAATGAACTACATACACTGATGAATGAAAATAAAGCCGGAATCATTGAGTAGATTCTCCAACCTCAGAGGGAAGGTATAGGAGGGGAGGGGAGAGGATAAGAGACCAACCAAAGGACTTGAACGCATGCATATGAGCATAACCAATGGACACAGACAGGAGAGGGGAAATACATGATCTCTCATCAACATTAAATTCACAAAAATCAACTCAAGGACTTTACAATATTCTTCCTTCAAAATAGTCTTGGGGGAGGGCAGGGAAGATGTTTGTTAATTTATAATTGATCTAATGGGGATTAGACTATAAACATTCACTTTAACTTAACCTATACAATAAAGGGAAGGGAATAAAAGAAGCGGGGGGGGGGGGTATGAAGGGGGAGAGAGACTGCTCTTAAGTATAGGAATCCATAATCTATATATATAAAAGCCTAATATGCAAAATGTCCCCTCAGAAATTTGATCTACTGGGAGTTCAATCCCTCACTATGATGCACGCTGACCACCAGGGGGCTGCACAGAACAAAGGTAAACTCCAGTGGGCAACTGGCAGGCAAGGAAGGAAGTGACCACCGAGCATCACTTAAGTCGCCTCCCCAGCTTGCCCCAAGGTAGAAGGTACTGCCCTAGCCGGTTCGGCTCAGTGGAAGCAGCCAATCAATGATTCTTTCATCATTGATCTCTCTCTCTCTCTCTCTCTCTCTCTCTCTCTCTCTCTCTCTCTCTCTCTCTCTCTCTCTCCCCTTCCTCTCTGAAATCAATATGTATACACACACACTGAGTAGCGATCTCTGAATGCATAATCATCTGGCTACTCAGCGTATTTCTCCTGAGCACCTCGTTTATTTGATACCAGATACTATCAATCGTGCACCTGATCAGTTTTCCCCTTTGATACAAAGCTCCGGGCAAATAGGTGGTTGATCCCCAGCAAAAGTCTAGAATCCTTTCGGTACCTATTTGAGATACCAAAGAGATCAGAGATCATCATCATCTGGCCACTCAGTGTGTGTGTGTGTGTGTGTGTGTGTGTGTGTGTGTGTATGAATATATGTATATTTTAAAGAAGTTACTATTGCATACAGACACACATAGCTGTGTGAGTCTCAGAGAGCACCCCTTTGGCTAGGTCCCTCCAGCGATAACGGTTTGGTCCTCCACGCTGACACTTCGCAGAGGACCATGAGCACTTAGTTCTGTTCTAGCCGTTGCTGTGGATGGGGGTGAGGCAGGAGAGAGGATGGCTCAGCTGACGATGAGATAAAAAAGTGTGGGGGAGAGGGGGAGAGTTTATCTGCCTGGCTAACCCTGGACGCAGAAAACGGGAGATTTTTTTTTTTTTTGGGGGGGGGGGAGGAACAGAGCAGCCCTTTCTTGAGCTGACTCAGGACCTGCGCGACAGAGCTGTTGTTCCCTTTAAAATAAAGTGACCAGATCGTCCGGGTGTTGGCGGGGCAGTCCTGATTTTAACCATTTTTTCCCCGCGTCCCCGCAGCGTTTAAAAAAAAAAAAAAAAAAAAGTCCCAATTGTTGGAAAGATTGGAAACATTGGAAAGATTCTTTCCAAAAATCGGAACTTTTTTAAAACGCCACGAGGGAAGCGGATAAAACTGTTAGAAACCAGGACTGTCCCGCCAACACCTGGGCGATCTGGTCACCTCATTTTAAAACGCGGTAAGCAAAGAGGGTCCCCCTGAGCGGCTGAGAGGGGTCCCCCTGAGCGGCTGCGTTGGGCGCCAAGGGGATGCGCCCCCAGGTCCTGGCTCTGGAGAGCCAGCCAGGACAGGCGTCGGGGGCCTGATGGGCAGGCAGGGGCCCTGGCTGAGGGCGCCCCGGGGCCAGCTCACCCGTGAACACGTCCTGGAAGCCGTCGGCGGCCGCCTGCGCCCCAGACACCCCGTTCCCCGGGGCCGCCCGCGGGGGAGGCGCCTCTCCATCCGCCGCCTCCGCGCGCTCCGGCGGGTGCGCGGGGCCGTCCGGCTCCTCCGTCCAGTCTCCGTGCGTCCTGGCCGGGGCGGCCCGGGCCCCGCGGCTCCGGGGGGCCTCCCGCCGCCTCTGAATGCGGGGGCTCTGGGCGGGGGACCCGGACGGCGAGGGGCCGGGCGAGCTGAGCTGCCGCGTGGTGGTGCGGACGTAGGGGGACGGCGCGACGGGCGGGAAGGGCTTGCGGGGCGCGGGGCTGCCGGGCGGGGAGCTGCGGGATGGGGGGCCGGGTCCTGGGACCCCCTCCTCCTCCGCCGCCTCCTCCTCCCGGAGCTGCGCGCTGCCGGGTCCCCGCGGGGCCTCTCCCGCCGCCGCCGGGCCCCCCTCCTCGCCCGGGGAGCCCCTGGAAGCATCCTCGAAAGCATCCTCCTCCTCCTCCTCCACCTCCTCCACCTCCTCCTCCTCCTCCTCTTCCTCGGCGTCCTCATCCGTGTCCCTCGCGGCCTCGGGGACCGGGAAGGCGGTGGGGGGCGCCGGAGAGGCCGAGGCCGGAGCCCCCGGTGGAGGCTGGAGGGGTCCCGGGGGCCCCAGGGGCGCCGGGGACAGGTCCAGGGGCGCCTCCGGGCCGCCGGGGCCCCCGCCAGCGCCCCCGCCCGGGCCCCGCAGGAAGCGGTCCAGGCCCAGGAAGGCGCCGGGCTCCTCCGGGGAGATGGAGGCGGCGGCGGCGGGAGGGAGGCCCTCGGAGCCCGGCGCGCCCGGGAGCTGGAGCTGCGGCTGCTGCAGGCGGAGGGCCTGCTGGATGTCGGAGAGCAGGTCCTCCTGCTCCGCCGCGGCCGAGTGGAAGCTGTAGAGGTCCGTGTCCGAGCCCGAGCTGGTCCTTTGTCCGTCCTGCGCCCCGGCGGCCGCCGCCGCGTCCCCATCCTCCGCGGCCGCCGCGGCCCCATCCTCCCGGCGCCCGGCTCCGGCGCCCCGGGCCCGGGTCACCAAGAACGGGTCCGCGCCCTCGGCGTCCGACAGCCCGGTGTCCTCGGCCGAGAGGCTGCGCTCCGGCGTCCGCGCCGCGCGGCCCGGGGCGCTGTCCAGCCCGGCGCCCGGCGGCGGGGCCTGCGCGCCCGCCTCGTCCTCGCGGGGGCCGCCCGCGCCCTTGGCCTTGGCCGCGGTCCTGCGGATCCGGAGGTTGGAGAACACGGAGCCCCGCGAGTCCGCCTTGCCCTTCCTCCTGCCCGGCTCGCCGCCGCCCCGGTGCCGGTTCGAGGCCTTCTTGCTCCCGCCGCCGCCGCCGCCGCCGCCCCCCTTCCGGGCGGCGTCCGCGCCCCGGGGCCCCGCCGCCGCCGCCGGCTCCGCGCCGCCATCCTCGTCCCCCGCGCCGCGCCGCAGCTTCGCGTCCTGGTTCCCCATGGCGCGCCCCGGGCGCTCAGGCCATCGCGGCCGCCCGGGCGCCGGCCCGGCGGGGGGATCGGGGGGGACCGGCCCGGCGGGGGAGGGGGAGGGAGGACCGGGGAGGCGGGACGGGAGGCTCCCGGGCCGCAGGGAGCGCCGATCAGAGAGGAGAGGCCGCCGCCGCCCCCCGCCGCCCGCCGCTCCGCACAATGCGCGGCGCCCGCAGCCCGGAGCCGCGAGCGCGGACGTGCCCCGTGCGGCGCCGGCCAGCCAATCGCGGGTGCGCCCGGCCCGGTCCCCGCCCCTCCGGCCCCCCGCCCGCCGGTGCCTCCATCCCCCGCCGGTGCCTCCATCCCCCGCCGGTCCCTCCATCCCCGCCCCCGGGCGGCCGCGGGCATCTCCATCCCCGCCCGGAGGAGCTGGGCGGCGGGCAGAGGCGCACAGATCTCCGGGATCTCGGACCCCGGGGCCCGCCCTGGGGAGAAGGGGGGGGGGGGGAGTTTGCACCCGGAGAAGCGGACGCTGAGGTTCAGGGTGGAGATGCTAAGGCGCATCCCTTGGACCCGTCCCCACCGCCTGCCCCGGGGAGAGGGCTCTTGCATCCGTGCAGTGTTTGTGGCAGGAATGGATGGCTCTCTTCTGCTAAGATTTGTTTGGTTGGGGGAGAGAGAATGAGAGAGAGAGAATGAGAGAGAGAGAGCCGATGGGACAGCATCATCACCGATGGGCTGCCTCCTGCACGCCGGGCGCTGGAGATGGAGCCCGCAACCTGGACCTGTGCCCTGACCGGGAATCGAACCGGCGACCTCTTAGTTCCTGGGTTGCTCTGTTGTGTCATGATTGAGCTTCTTCAAGACTTGATGGTGAGGAGGGGTCACGGGCATATTCCTGCAGACCTTGCATCTCCATGGGAGGACAGTTAGCCATCATTTCAAACGTTCATTTTAACTTTCTTTTCCTTTTTTTTTTTTTTTTCTTTCTTATTTTGGACATGATGGCAAGCTGAGGGGAAGCAGAAAATACCCAGCGATGCGGGCTGATGAATATGCTAAGCTCCCAAACGCGGTGTGCTTACCATTTCAATAAGACGGGGTCTGTGTCTTAAAGGGTCCCAGACTCTGAGTCCCAGGAGGTCAGGCTCATCCATATTAAACGCGCCCCTATTGTTGGCGCCTGTGAAAAGGGGGAAGGGAGAGGCTTGGCAGGGACACGTGACATCAGACGTGGGGTGCTAAGTCCCCCCCTTTCCCAGGCAGCCCCCGCCCCCAGACACACAGCCATCCCTGCTCTCCTGTTTAAAGTTTGCAGCCCTTCGCTGTGACCGAGTTTGTGAGCATCCCGGCTTCCATATTCACGCCCAGTTTTCCCTCGTTGCAAATCGCGCCCGTGTTTTAATGGCTCGGGACAGTTCGTTACCTGTGTGTAAAAAGCATTTGTAAGCATCCATAGCTGGTATTTTTAAACTCAGTAAATTAACATGGCATCAAAGTCACATTATCCAGTAACGGTCCTGTAAGTCTTTGATGTTGAAGCAGAAGTAGCAATAGTTAACGACTAGCCTTGAGCCTTTCTCTCACTGTTTCCTTCCAAATACAGCGCAGAAGGGTGGGTGGCCCTCGGGCCTCTGGCGGCCCATTGGGGAGAGCTTTTATAGAGAACTCCACTTTTACGACATGGCTGGGGGACGCCCAGCCTCGGAGCAATCCCAGGAGCCCCGGAGACGCCTTTGTGTGGCCCCTCTTTTCAAGCCTGCCCTCTCTCCTCCTCTCCAATCCTCTCCAATCCGGGCTGCTCTGAGTTAGGGACGCTAGGAATCCTAACAGGACGTCTGTGAGGGCGAGCTGTTTGTCTCCTTGTATTTTTCTCCTGGGAGATCGTCTGCAAGTTCCAGAGACAAAAGCAGAGAAGGAGAAAGGCAGGCAAGGAAGGAGGGAGGGAGAGGGGGAGGGAGGGAGGGAGGGCAAGGGGGCAGCAGAGAAAGAAGCTTGCTGATTTTTTTCACGCCCCTTTGAAGGCGAGACAATAGGTGACCGTTTGGCACCCGCATCCCAGGTCAGAGTTCACACAGCTCCGTGGCAGTCAGCAGAGACACCGCCAACGGCATGCAGACGTGTCCCTCCTGACCAGCGTGAGCTTGTCCCTGCATCTTGCAGACGATGCTCTTAATACGGATCCGCATCACCCAGCTCCCGGCGACCCTGGGTGTATGTTGTCAATATGCTTCCCGTTGAATTCTCATCGATGTTACGCCCGGGCCCGTGTGGCTCATTGCATTGAGCATTGTCCCTGACCCACGGGGTCAATAGTTCGACTCCCAGTCAGGGCACTCCCTCTACTTGGGGGATGGAACCCGCAACCCCCAAATAGGGGACATGCAGGTGGCAGCTGATCAATGTCTCTCTCTCTCTCTCTCTTTCTCTCTCTCTCTCACTCTCTCGTCGGTGTTTCTCTATCTCCCTCCCCCTTCCTCTCTCTCTCTCTCTAAAAAAAATCAATAAAAACATATTTTAAAAAATCAATGTGATCCCTAACCGGTGTTGCTCAGTGGATAGAGCGTTGGCCTAGGCCCTCAAGGGTCCCAGGTTTGATTCCGGTCAAGGGCATGTGCCTTGGTTGCGGGCACATCCCCAGTTTCTCTCCCTTCGTTGTTTCTAACTCTCTATCCCTCTCCCTTCCTCTCTGTAAAAAAATCAATAAAATACGTATTTAAAAAAAAACAATGTGGCGCCTGTTCATGTCATATGCAATGCTGCCGTTTCTCGGATGATTGTCTTGAAGCATCAGGACCAAAACGAAGGCTCCCAGCGAACTCTTCCCCAGAGGAAGAGCGAGTGGCTACCCGTGGGTCAGGCGCCACCGAGAGGGTCCCACGAGGCCCCCGTGGCAGGTCCTTCTGGGCCACGGCCTCAGGCGTGGCCGGGAGGTGGTGAATGTCCGTGGGAGGCAGCTCCGAGCAGGACGGCAGGAAAACACGAGGGCTGGAGCTCGGAGTGGGTGCGGGGAACAAAGCGGGCACTCAGGAGATGGGCCGGGCAGAGCGGAGCGCCAGCCGCGAGTAGGAGGCCTGAGGGTCAGAAATGCACCCAGATGCCAACTGAGTCTGGTCTCCGCGAAGGGAGCGGGGGGGCGGGCTGCCCGGAAAAGGGCGCAGACAAGAATGGAGTGCCCTGCTGGGGTGACTCCGGAGTTGAGTGTTAACCTATGAACCAGGAGGTCACGGTTCGATTCCCGGTCAGGGCACAGGCCCGGGTGGCGGGCTCCATCCCCAAGGTGGGGCGTGCAGGAGGCAGCCGGTCCGTGATTCTGGGCTGGCCGGTGCTTGCTGGGCAGCGAGGCCAGGGAATCGGGACTTTTCAAAGCTCCCAAGTGTGAGCACAGGGCACCGGGATGGAGCTGTGGCCGGCCTCTCCTGGCTCCTCCCAGGAGGCATCCTGGAGAAGAAGGACCGCAGGAACCTCAGGAGGACAACGCAGTCCAGAGAGACACAGACAGGGATGTGTTCGTGAGCCTGTGTGCATGTACGTTTTCTCAGGATTCTTCTTGACTGGCGTTTCTTTCTCTTTTTTAAAATATATTTTTATGGAAAGGCTGTTACCTAGCTTTTGGTTTTTAAAGGTTTCAGAAACACCACCAGCTTTCTGATGTGGAAAACACCGAAGTTTCACATTTTCATAAAAGCAATCCTGAGTTGCCTTCGCTTTTAACATAACAAAGCAGCCTTCTCCCAAGTTAGTGCCCCTCCAATAAAGCTTGTTCAAAAGTGGGGGGAAAATAAAAAAAATAAAAAATATATATATATTTTTTATTGATGTCAGAGAGGAAGAGAGAGAGAGAGAGAGAGAGAGAGAGAGAGAGAGAGAGAGAGAGAGGAGAGAGAGAGAGGAGAGAGAAAAGCATCCATGATGAGGGAGAATCATGGACCAGCTGCCTCCTGCACACCCCACACTGGGGATGGAGCCCACAATCTGGGCCTGTGCCCTTGACCAGGAATAGAATCGTGACCTCCTGGTTCCTAGGTGGACGATCAACCACGGAGCCACGCCGGCTGGGCTCCCTGATGTGTCTGACGTGGACATCAAACATCCATCAAACAGCGCTACGCAGCCTTCCGGTGCCCCCTGGAGGGGGTGGGAGACCAGTCTCTCGGGGCCTAGTGTTTCCAGGGCCGGAGGTGCCCAGCCTTCCCGGCCAGGAGCCAGCACCGGCGCCAGCAGAGGGAGCCGCCCAGCAGGCGCTCAGAGGCCCCAGAACAAGTGCCCTTGGCCTCTCGCTCCGAAGCAATGCGTATGGCGCTCTGGCGGCCACCGGGGGAGGCGTTTCTGTCTCAGTAGCCCCCCTCGGGCCCGGCCGGCGTGGCTCAGTGGGGAGCGTCGACCTAGGAACCAGGAGGTCACGGTTCCATTCCCGGTCAGGACACAGGCCCCAGCTGCAGACCGGATCCCCAAATGCGGGGGTTGGGGGGAGGGCATGCAGGAGGCAGCTGAACCATGAGTCTCTCTTATCATGGATGTTTCTATCTCTCTCCCTCTCCCTTCCTTCCTGAAATCAATTTTTAAAATGTGTTTTTATTGATTTCAGAGAGGAAGGAAGAAGAGAGAGAGATAGAAACCTCAATGATGAGAGGGAATCATTGATTGGCTGCCTCCTGTCACTGGGGATGGAGCCCACAACCCGGGCATGTGCCCTTGACTGGCATCGAACCTGGGATCCTTCAGTCCGCAGGCCGATGCTCTATCCCCTGAGCCAAACCAGCCAGGGCTGAAATCAATTTTCAAAAAGTACGTATATATCTATTTTTTAAGTCTGATTCAAGAAATGTGTTTGGAATGCGGTGGGCTCCCCCTTGTGGCCAAGCTGGAGGACACGCAAATGACCAAAATCAGAAGTGCAGGACGGGGCAGCCCTGGCTGGTTTGGCTCAGTGGATAGAGCATCGGTCTATGGACTGAAGGCTCCCAGGCTCGATTCCAGTCAAGGCACATGCCTGGGTTGTGGGCTCGATCCCCAGTAGGGGGCGTGCAGGAGGCAGCTGATCGATGTTTCTCTCTCATCGATGTTTCTAACTCTATCCCTCTCCCTTCCTCTCTGTAAAAAAATCAATATTATATATATATTAAAGAATACTATTTGGTAACATGTGAAAATCACATGAAATTCAAACCCCAAGGTTTATGAATAAAGCTTTATTAGCAAATCCCGTTATAACGGGTGCATGGCCAGACGAGGCGTTCATTGCACACCTCTCAGCTCCCCCAAAAGCCGCGCTCGGGGAAAGTCGAGCAGGTGAACAGGAAAAACTCCACACAGCCCCTCTGCTTCCTGAAAAGAAAACTTGGAAATAGGGCTGCGACCAAAGTAAGTGGCCACGCAGCTCATGTGTTTGCCAGGCGAGAAAAGGCGTTCGCAGGTGGAGAGACCTGGACCACTTCTGGCTGCAGCAGCCGGAGAAATGCAGTCAGAGGAGACGAACTTGCTGGCAGTGATTAGCTTTTTGCTTGATAAGATGAGAGCTTGGGGAGCCACATCCATCGTCAATTTTTTTAAAATGCATCATTGTCCAGCAGAGGGCAGCATTGCCCCAAAGAGCAAAACCACCTGCTGGAACGCGGTTCAGAGGGCAAATGCATCCAATTTGCCAAGATTTCATGAACGACGTACTCATTTGTTTAATCTCCACGAAAACCTGGAGAGGTGGGTACTTTGCTATAATCCTGCTTTTGCAAACAAGCAAGCTGAGCCTCAGAAGAGTTAGGTGACACGGATAAGGTCTCATAGCTGGGAAGCCTAAGCCAGTGGTGGGCAAACTGTGGCTCCAGAGCCACACGCGGCTCTTTGGCCCCTGGAGGGTGGCTCTTCCACAACACACCACGGCCTGGGTGAGTCTGTGTGGAAGACGTGGCGTCGGAAGAAGTTGAAGTTTAAACAACGTGGCTCTCCAGAGACATGGCCGTCGCTGTGCTGTGGACAGTGGGCTCTGTGGATTCCTGAGTTTGCCGACCTCTGGCCTAAGCCATGTGTCTCCCTCCAGGCCTGCATCTCTGTGAAAGTAAATGACGATACAGTGCTTCTAGACAAATCAACCCAGGACATCGTGGCTTCACACAACACCTGTGACCTCCCAGGTGACACGGGCAGGACGGAGGAAGCAGGTGAGTGGGGAGGTGCAAGTAGGAGACCGTGGTCACATGATGTCCGGCTGCCGTCTCCCGAAGACCTGGCCTCCGGTCTCTGCCACGTGGGTCTCTCCCCAGGTGTGTGTCATTGTTCCCATGGAAACCGGCCTCATAAGGGAGGGAGAGCTGGGAGTCAGGTGCCATTGGTTCTGCACCAATAGCTCATGGGTGCTATGACTCAGGGTGGGAGGGGCTCACACGGGGTGTGACTCCCAGGAGGTGGGGTCCCGGGGGCCAGCTTTCCAGCAAAGGGGATGCCGGTGCCAGCCTCCACGAGTGCATTAAAGAAAGGACCTGCCCTAACAACAGGGCGAAGGCCAGAGTTGGGACAAGTCTCAGGCAACCTGGGTCCAGGCCTCAGGGAGCTTGGGGAGAGCAGGGAGGGGCAGACAGGCAGTGACACAGAGGCTCAAAGTTCAGGTTAGAATGTTTGGGAGAGGACAGAAAACCGCCTGCCCGGCCGGTGTGGCTCAGTGGTTGAGCATCAACCTGTGAACCAGGAGGTCACGGTTCGATTCCCGGTCAGTGCCCATGCCCGGGTTGCGGGCTCCATCCCCAATGGGGGGCGTGCAGGAAGCCACTGATCCATGATTCTCTCTCCTCATGGATATTCCTCTCTCTCTCTCTTTCTCCCTCTCCCTTCCTCTCTCTGAAATCAAGAAAAATTATGTTAGCCCTGGCTGACGGCTTCTTCAGTTTTGTGATTTTGTAATGTTTTCCAGGAGAAGAATAGGAATGAATTTCCCATGGCAGTGAACTAGCTTGTGTGATGGCTGTGGGCTCGTGTCACCAGCGCAGGAACGCATGTCAACTCCACTTCCTGCGCTTTTTATTAAAAAACAAACAAAACATATATATATATATATATATATATATATATATATATATATATATATTTCTTTATTGATTTCAGAGAGGAAGGGAGAGGGAGAGAGAGAGAGATTGAAACATCCATGATGAGAGAGCATCATGGATCGGCTGCCCCCTGCCCGCCCCCTACTGGGAATCGAGCCCACAACCTGGGCATGTGCCCTGGGCCAGAATCGAACCCAGGAGCCTTCAGTTCGCAGGCCGACGCTCTATCCACTGAGCCAAAATGGTTAAGGCCCTGCGCTTTTTTTTTTTTTTTTAATATATTTCTTTATTGATTTCAGAAAGGAAGGGAGAGGGAGAGAGACGCTTCCCTGTTTTCTGTTTTGATTTATCTTTGTGGTGACAGATGGCCCCTGCCCTCCTGCTTTCTGAACAGACCGCTGGCTGCCTGTTAAGAGGAGGTAGACAAGAAGTTATCAAAGAAAAGAATGGATTTTTTTTCTTCCAGATAATATTGTCCCCAAATTCCAGTGAAGGGAGTGGAAGGAATTGGGGCCATAAAGAAAGGTGCCGTGTCACCGGGTGCGAAAGAGAAAGTCAAACGAGCATTAAACAATGACCTTCATCCTTTTGCTCCGAAATGAAAAAAAAAAAAAGTAAATTATTTTAGAAGAAAATAACCATACAATTTTTAAAAATGTTTTATTGATTTTTTTACAGAGAGGAAGGGAGAGGGATAGTCAGAAATATCGATGAGAGAGAATCATCGATCAGCCGCCTCTTGCACACCCCACACTGGGGATGTGCCCGCCACCAAGGTACATGCCCTTGACGGGAATCGAACCCCGGACCCTTCAGCCCGCAGGCCGACGCTCTATCCACTGAGCCACACCGGTTTCAGCCATACAATTTTTTGTTTAAAGTTGCCACCCAGCCGTGTGACCCAGGAGTAGCGACCTATGACCCAGGGGTCAGGGCACAGGCACGGGTTGCGGGTTCGATCCCGCGTGGGGCGTGCAGAGGCAGCCCATCCATGATGCTCTCTCATCACTGGTGTTTCTTTGTCCCCCTCCCTTCCTCTGTGAAATCAATAAATACATATATATATATATTTTTTTTAAGTTGCCTGTTAATTCCGTCTCCTTTGGACCACGTGCTCCCACACACCCTTCATTTCCTCGCCCCCGCCCCGGGGGGCCCAGCCCCGGGTCCCATGAGCTGGGAGGTGGGGTGCAGGGGGCGCGGGAGCTGGAGCTTGCCCGCCGGGCTGGCACCGCCTCCGGAGCGGGTGCGGCGCCCCGGGGCGCCGGCAGGGGGCGCTGTGGGCCCGGCGCCGGGACCTGCGGCCGCGGGACCCGCCCCCTCCCTCCTCCTCCTCCTCCTCCTCCCTCCAGCCCGCCCCCTCCCGCCCCCCGCGCGTGGCGTCGCCGGCGCCGGGCGGAGACGGGCCGCGCTCCGCGGCGGCCGCAGTCCCGTCCGCGCGGGCAGAGCGGAGGCGCCGGCGGAGCGCAGAGCGGCCCGGGCTCCTTTGTCCGAGCGGCTCCGGGAACGGGGCCGGTCCCCCCAGAGGCTCCGGGCCGGGGACCAGGCCCCCGCCGCCCGCCGGCCCGATGCCCCCGCAGCAGGGCGGCCCCGCGCTCCCCGGCCGCTGCGAGGCGCCGCCGGTGCCGCCCCGCCGGGAGCGCGGGGCGCGCGGGGCGCGGGGCGCGGGGGGCGCGCGGGGCCGCGCCATCAAGTGCGTGCTGGTGGGCGACGGCGCGGTGGGCAAGACCAGCCTGGTGGTGAGCTACACCACCAACGGCTACCCCACCGAGTACGTGCCCACCGCCTTCGACAACTTCTCCGGTGAGCGGGGCGGGGGGCGGGGCGGGGCGCGGGGGGCGCGGGGCGCGGGGCGCGGGGAGGGAGATCGGGGCGGGGATCGCGGGGCGCGGGGGGCGCGGGGAGGGAGATCGGGGCGGGGGCCGCGGGGCGCGGGGAGGGTGCGGGGGGCGCGGGACGCGGGGAGGGAGATCGGGGCGCGGGGGGCGCGGGGCGGACGCGGGGGGCGGGGATCGCGGGGACCCCGGGGGGGGGGTATCCAAGGCTCGGACCCAGCGCGGGGTGCGGGGCACATCGTCCCCGAGCCTTTTGGGGACTCGCGAGCTGGCGGGGAGAGAGGATGGGGAAGCCCTTTTGGGAGCCCGCGGCGGGGGTGGGAGTGGGGGGCGCGGGGCGAGGGGCGCGGTGCTGGCCGGCCCTGCTGCGCCCGGAGGAGGGAGGTCGGGGCGGGGATCGCGGGGACGCCCCGGGGGAGGGCGATCCAGGGCTCGGACCCAGTTCGGGGTGCGGGGCACAGTCCCCCAAGCCTTTTGGGGACCCGCGAGCTGGGGGGAGAGGAGGGGAGGCCCAAAAGCGAGCCCGCGGCGGGGGTGGGAATGGGGGGCCGGGGGCGCGAGCCTGGGGGTGACAGAGACACGGGGAGCCCGCCGGGGAGCCAGCAGGTCGAGCGCAGGTTGCCCGATCGGTCGGTCGGTCGGTCTGCGTGGCGGCAGGTCCCGGGAAGGGGGCGCGCAGGTGCCGTTACCTGTGGCCTCGGCGCCACCCGCCCTGACCTCCGGGGCTTCTCCGCTTCAAAGGGCCGCCGAGGGGACGGGGAGGGCGTGGATTTGGTGGCTGGAGCCCCTGCGGGCCTGGCAGAGGCTTAGGTTGGGTTAAGCCGGAGGATAAACGGGATTTCTTTCTCTTTGAGGCCCCCCTCCCTCTCTCCCCGCCCCGGCCGCCCCCCACGGGCTGTGTGTCTTAGGGTCGGCGCCTTCCCTTCTCGGGGAGCTGCGGGAGCTCCTGGGGTTGCTTGGTTTGGCAGAGGGAAGATAAAGGGCCCTTTACTTTGGTTTTTCAGGTCTTTCTGCAATTTAGGGGAAAGTGAAAATCCTCAGGAACCAGTGTGGTTTGTTTTTAAATGCTTCTCCATCTCTCTTTTTGAAAAAGTATATTTTATTGAGTTTTTACAGAGAGGAAGGGAGATGGGTAGAGTTAGAAACATCCGTGAGAGAGGAATATGGATCAGCTGCCTCCGGGGATGTGCCCGCAACCAAGGCACATGCCCTTGACCGGAATCGAACCTGGGACCCCTCAGTCTGCAGGCCGATGCTCTATCCACTGATCCATCCCGGCCCCGGCTCTCCCTTTTCTCTTTGGAGCCCTCCCCTGGAGCCGGCCGGGAGAGGCCAGGCCGGCAGTGCCCTCTCTGATAAGCAGGACGGCGCGGGCAGCCAGCGTCCCCTCTCGTTCCCAGAACAAGCGACAGTTTCGTGATAAACCCGGGCGTTCCGGGCCAGTTCCCAGGGGAAAGTAGTTCTTTGTGAGGCTGCGGGGCCGGTGTCCCCTCACCCTCCCACGGTGCTTCTAGATCTTTGGAGACCAGTGCGGCCGGAAAACAGACCTTGGGGGGCAGCAGGAAAGTACAGGCAGGCCTTTCTGGGGTGCCAGCTGGCTGGGGGGAAGGAGGGGCCCAGGGCTGCCTCACCGGAGACCGTCGGTGGAACTGTCACCCCTGGAGGGTGGTTTACAGAAATGCCGTGTGGCCCGGCAGGCGTGGCTCAGCGGTTGAGCCTCAAGCTATGAACCAGGAGGAGGTCAGGGTTCGATTCCCGGTCAGGGTGCATACCGGGATTGAGGGCTCCTTCCATCCCCAGGAGGGGGGCGTGCAGGAGGCAGTCAGTCAATGACTCTCTCTCAGCGTGGATGTTTCCATCTCTCTCTTTCTCTCTGAAATCTATATCTATATCTATATCTATCTATCTATCTATCTATATATATATACAATATATATATTTTTTATTTCTTTTATTTTTTTTTTTTTAACTAGAGGTCCGGTGCACAAAATTTGTGCATGGGTACGGTCCCTAGGAGTGGCTGGCAATCAGGGTCCATCAGGTTCCCTGCCTCACCTCCTCCCCGCCTCCCCGCCTCCTCCTCCTCTCACCACCCATGCACTGGTACCCCACCACATTCCTTGCTGCCCTCTGGTGGTCAGCGCTCATCATAGCGACCGATCGATCTGCCATTCTCCCGGTCGAACTCCCGTGGGGACGCGTGGCACATTAGCCTTTTATATATATAGAAGATGCCTTTCGGGGGCCTGCTTGTTTTAGGCGAGTCTTTCATGGATTTGGGGGGGTGGGGGGAGGCCAGGACAGGAGCCTTGGGGTCCGAGGGAGGATGGTGGGGCAGGCCAACACGGCGATTCTCCGGCCCCTGCTCATCGCTCTGGTCTTGTCTTCCAGCCGTGGTGTCCGTGGACGGGCAGCCTGTGAGACTCCAGCTCTGCGACACAGCGGGACAGGTGAGTATCACATCCTGGCTCCGTGCCGGGGCCGGAAACAGCTCCCTCCCCGCCTCCCAGCCCCCTCCCCGCAGCATTGGGTAACTCCGCACCCGCACACTCCTCTCCGGGAAACTCTGCCCCCATAAAACGGGGTGTGGCCAGCTGTGGGTGGGCAGGACGGGGGACAGCGGGTCAGGACACTTCTTACGTCGCAGGCATTTCTGATCTTGTTTACTTTCTGGTTTTTTATGGCGGGGGGGGGGGGGGATCCTTTGTGATCATTCCTCCAAGTGAGCTGGTGGTATCTTATCATCAATGAGTTAGAGATGTTGAGAGCATGATGAGAAGGTGGGGTGTATGTCCGTCCATGTCGCTGTGTCCCTTTCTAAGCTGGGGATCGACTCCTCAGGCCCACTGCTGTCCTTGGAGGCAGAGACGCGGAGGTGGGAGGTGGGAGGTGGGAGGTGGGAGCTGGCCCGGAACACCGTCTTCCGAATCGTGAACATTTATTCCCGCCGTGAGGGCCAGGCCCTCGGGGGAGGCGGCCGGAGGAGGAGGGAGAGGGAGGACACGGGGGAGAGGACGTGGCCCAGAGCTCAGAGGCTCATCATCACTCAGCACCCACATGGCACGGCTCTCGGGCCACCCAAGTTTCTGTTCTCTTTATTTCCTTTTAAATGTATGTTTATTGACGTCAGAGAGGCAGGGAGGATTGAGAAAGAGAGAGAAGCGTCCGTGATGAGAGAGAGTCATGGATCGGCTGCCTCCCGCGCGCCCCACACTGAGGGTGGAGCCCGCAACCCGGGCCTGTGCCCTGACCGGGAATCAAACCACCATGACCTCCTGGTTCCTAGGTCAATGCTCAACCACTGAGCCATGCCGGCGGGCTCTGTTCTCTTTAAGAAGTTGTGCCAGGCCAGCATGGCCCAGTGGTCGACCTAGGAACCAGGAGGTCACGGTGGTTCGATTCCCGGTCAGGGCACAGGCCCGGGTGGCGGGTTCGATCCCCAGGGTGGGGCGTGCGGGAGGCAGCCGGTCCACGGCTCTCTCTCACCGTTAATGTTTCTGTTTCTCTCTCCCTCTCACGTCCTCTCTGACATCATTATTTAAAAAAAAAAAATACATATTTTAAAAGAAAAATAAAAGTCGGAGAAACACGTGGATCACTTGAGAAATATTTTCACGCAAGACATTTACGTTTATGGAATAAAGGGGTTGGGTGCTACGTTGCGAAGAGTTGGGGGGATTGGGGATGGATTCGTCTGGTCACCCAGCAGTGTTTTCGTTGAGATTATTATATTTCTTACCGGATGTGCTAGTTAGCGGAGTGTCCCTGGTTATGTCCTGAATGAGGCTGCTTATCGGATGGTTTGCAAAAACTGGGAAATACCCACAGCTGGGAAGATGGAGTCCATTGTTTCCTGTTTCCTGAGTATCAGTTAGTATTGGTTTTGGGGTGTTTTTTTTTTTTTAATATATTTTATTGATTTTTTTACAGAGAGGAAGGGAGAGGGATAGAGAGTTAGAAACATCAGATCAGCTGCCTCCTGCACACCCCCTACTGGGGATGTGCCCGCAACCAAGGTACATGCCCTTGACCGGAATCTAACCCGGGACCCTCCAGTCTGCAGGCTGACGCTCTATCCATTGAGCCACCCAGTCAGGGCAGTGAGTACCGGTTTTGACGGTTGGCAAAGCTGCCCAAAGTGATCGCCCTTTTTGCCCCACCTGCTGCGGAGCTGATGGTCTGACTGCCTCTTAGAGGACTTGTTTTGACTCCTGTCATAATCACTCGGTGTTGACTCAGCCAATGGAACGCCCCTCCTCCAGGCAGCTCCCAGGATTGCCTGGTGGATGTGCAGTGAGTGACTCAGCCGGCTCCTGTGTGAGCACAGGCAGCCAGACCCTGGGGCCCCACAGCAGGTTTCCTACCGGAGCTCAGAGCCTAACCCGTGTGGCTCAGTGGATAGAGCGTCGGCCTGCAGACTGAAGGGCCCCGGGTTCGATTCCGGTCAAGGGCATGTACCTTGCTTGCGGGCACATCCCCAGTGGGGGGTGTGCAGGAGGCAGCTGATCGATGTCTCTCTCTCATCGATGTTTCTGCCTCCCTCTCCCTCTCACTTCCTCTCTGTAAAGAATCAATAAAATATATATTTTTAAAAATGGCAGGAATTCTATTTAAAAAAAAAAAAAAAAGATGTCAGAAGGAGGTTCCAATGGCGGATTCGTGTTCTTCTTCCAGTGAAAACGGATCCGACACCGAGGATTTGGGGGGACGTGCCTTTGGCATCTGAGAAATCGGGGTGGGGGGGCCGTTGGGGGGGGGCTGCAAGAAGACTGGTCCATTGTAGCTCTGCCAGGAGGAACTAAAAGCCTCCCGCCTTCGGACACAGGAGGCGCGTGGAGAAACCTTTTTACCAAAAAATTAAATAAATGATCCGATGGCAGCCGGACAGACCTACTGCCCAGCTGCTGCCCGGCCCGGCCCCTGAACCAGATCCTCCCATCACCACCCCCCCCACCACCCCCGCACAGAGCCCAAGGCAGAGGGACCCCCGGGCCTCGAGGGTGCACCCCCCTTGGCCTTCCTCCTGCCCCCAAACACACACACACACACACACAAACACACACACACACACACACACACACACACACGTGCGTTGCCATCTCGGCAAGTATCTAGGGTTTCAGGCCCGGCGATGGGCGGAAGGGTTTCGTTTCTGCTCGGCTTCCCGCAGCCTGGGAAACTCCAGAAGTCCGGGAGCCAGACCCCCCCCCGACGCCCCCTGTCGCAGGCCCCGGGCCCCGAGCTCGCCTCTCCTTTCACCGGTAACGCAACCCCCGACGCCAGGGCACGGCGCGGGGCGAGGACCTTCCGAGAAGCCGGAGCGGGCGCCCCGGGGGGCTGACCTCGCGCCGGCTCTCGGTCTCACCGTCTCCTTCGGGCGCCCGAGAACAGAGGGACCGTTTCATCCCTGGAACCTCAGAGCCGGGCACGGGTCCACGCCCGGTCGGGTGTCCGCGTCGATGCTTTCAGCTCGGGGCTGGCACGGAGAAACCGAGTCGTGCTTTCTGGCTCTGGCTCGCAGGGGACTGGCCGGGGGCCGGGGCGCTCTGAGATGCCCCCGTCCCTCCCGGTCACGTTCGCCGGCTGACTTCATTTTTTTGTTTTATTTTTTTTATTATTATTTTTTGAAATATATTTTATTGATTTTTGTCCAGTAGAGGAAGGGAGAGAGACGGAGAGTTAGAAACATCGGTCTGCGGACTTAAAGGTCCCGGGTTCGATTCCCGTCAAGGGCATGGGGCCTTGGTTGCGGGCACATCCCCCGTAGGGGGTGTGCAGGAAGCAGCTGATCGACGATTCTCTCTCATCGATGTTTCTAGCTCTCTCTCTCTCCCTCTCCCTTCCTCTCTGTAAAAAAAAATCAATAAAATATATTTTAAAAACAAAAAAATAACCGCTGGCTTCGTTGCAGGACGAGTTTGACCGGCTGCGGCCCCTGTGCTACACCCACGCGGACGCCTTCCTGCTGTGCTTCAGCGTGGTCAGCCCGACCTCCTTCCAGAACGTGACGGAGAAGTGGGTGCCTGAGGTCCGGCGCCACTGCCCCCGGGCGCCCGTCCTGCTGGTGGGCACGCAGTCGGACCTGCGGGAGGACGTCAAGGTGCTCATCGAGCTGGACAAGGCCAAGGAGAAGCCGGTGCCCGAGGAGGCGGCCCGGCTGTGCGCCGAGCAGGTCAAGGCGGCCGCCTACATCGAGTGCTCGGCCCTCACCCAGAAGAACCTCAAGGAGGTCTTCGACGCGGCCATCGTGGCCGCCATCCAGCACTCGGACGCCCAGCAGCAGCAGCAGCAGCAGCAGCCGCCGCAGCCGCCCCCCAAGAAGCCCAAAAGCAGGACTCCGGACAAAATGCGGACCCTGTCCAAGTCCTGGTGGAAGAAGTACTGCTGCTTCGTATGACGCCGGCCCGCCCGGCGGGCGCCTTGGGTGGGAGGACCTCGGAGGGAGGCGATGCGAGGAGCAGGGACTCCAGGGCCTGCGCCCCGCCCGCAGGGGGAGCCGCGGTGCACGCCCCCAAAGGGGCCCGCCTCCCTCTGTGTCCCCCTCCCGCCTCTGACGTCCATTCCGTTCATTCCTCTCCCGCGTCTGAGCTTAAGGGGGAGACTCCCATCTGCCTGGCCTTGGGGGAGTCACTGAAGCAGCCGCGGATGCCTTTGGAAATGTAGATGGTTTCTCTCTGACATTAAAAGGACACCTTGGACCTGGGGGGTCGAGAGTGAGCCGTTGCTGCCTTGTAGTGTGCAGAGGGAAGTGTTTGGGGGTGTGGGGGTTCGGCGATCCCCCCCACCCCCCACCCCACCCCGATCGAGGGCTACTCCGGGCACCGTGTGTGTGGTAGGCACAGGCTGGCTCTGGCGAGGATGACTCCGTCGCTTTTATGCTTTATTTTTTTTTTAAATATATTTTATTGATTTTTTTACAGAGAGGAAGGGAGAGGGATAGAGAGCTAGAAACGTCAATGAGAGAGGAATATTCATCAGCTGCCTCTTGCACACCCCCTACTGGGGATGTGCCCGCAAGCAAGGTACATGCCCTTGACCGGAATCGAACCCGGGACCTTTCAGTCCGCAGACCGACGCTCTATCCACTGAGCCAAACCGGTTTTGGCAACTTTTATGCTTTTTTTTTTAAGGAGCAAAAATCAGGGGGGTGGGGCGGGAATGAGAGTCCGATGCCTGAAACACCCAGTGTAGCCGTCCCACTAACGACAGCACCGTGCATACCAGCCAGGGCATGTGGGTCAGTGGGTTTTCCATTATTATCCATCTGAAATGTAGTTGTAGCTGAACTATAGACCGGGCCTGCTTCTGCATAGCCCTCAGCAAAGAATGCCTTTTTAAAACTATATATGTTTTATTGATTTCAGAGAGGAAGGGGGAGAGAGAGAGAGAGAGAGAGAGAGAAAATCCACGATGAGAGAGAATCACGGGTCGGCTGCCTCCTGCACGCCTGACAGGATGATGGAGCCCACACCCTGAGCCTGTGCCCTGACCGGGAATCGAACCCGGGACCTCTTAGTCCGTGGGCTGATGATGCTCAACACAGCCCAGGCTGTGTGGATTGTTCTTAGACTTCCATACGCTGTCCCATCTGCAGGGGGGGTGAACACGTGTTTGTGGGACACGAGATGTCCTCTTATTCCTTGAGTCAGCCAAAATGTACATGGCACACACACACACACACGCACGTATGTATGCATGTGAGTGTGTATGTTTGTATGCATGGCTGTATTTGCTACTGATTCAGACTTGGAAACGGGGAATGGGAGAAAGCGTGGGCACCAAAGGGGATCCGAGGAAAGTGTAGCTGCCTCTTCCTGTTAACACGCTTTGGGGTAACCAGATTTCCTTTGGCGTGTACCCTAGGATCGAACACATTCCTGGGACACCTGAAACCAAAGCATGAACCTCTTTCCTCCCAAACCTGTTTTAAAATCTGTGCAACCCACCTCTTCCATCCGCAGTCTTGCAGGGAATTGCCAGCCAAGGGCTGTGCTGCTTGGGGGGGGGGTGGGGGCGACCCCCAGGAGCAGGGTGGGTGCGGGGGCCACAGCCCCGGGCTCAGCTGGCCCTCGCTTCCAGGCGGGGCCAACCACACGTTCTCCCAGGCGGCAGCTCTCGGGGCTTCACCCATCGGGAGGAGGGTCGTCTTGCTGGACGGCGCCCAGGCTTCTGAGATGCTTTCAGACGCCGGCCTGGGGCGGGAAGTCGGGCCTGTGGGGCCGGAGCAGGGTCACCAAAGCCAGTGGCGTGGGAGAAGTCGGCAGAGAGAAGGGTTTTTTTGTTTGTTTGTTTGTTTTATATTTTATTGATTTTTTTACAGAAAGGAAGGGAGAGAGATAGAGAGCTAGAAACGTCAATGAGAGAGAAACATCGATCAGCTGCCTCTTACACACCCCCTACCGGGGATGTGCCCGCAACCAAGGCCCATGCCCTTGACCGGAATGGAACCTGGGACCTTTCAGTCCGCAGACCGACGCTCTATCCACTGAGCCAAACCGGTTTCAGCCAGAACCATTTCTTTTTTAAATATATATATGTTTTTATTGAATTTTTACAGAGAGGAAGGGAGAGGGACAGAGAGCTAGAAACATCGAGGAGAGAGAAACATCCATCAGCTGCCTTCTGCACAGCCCCTACTGGGGATGTGCCCACAACCAAGGTACATGCCCCTGACCGGAATCGAACCTGGGACCCTTCAGTCCGCAGGCCGACGCTCTATCCACTGAGCCACACCGGTTAGGGCTGGACCCATTCCCCAATACCATAGAACTGGCTTCCGGAACAGGACTCCCGCCCTACAGGCGCCTTCGTGGGTGGCGATGCCCCCAGAGGAGACTTTGATCTTGACCTCGGGCCTATCATTCTGCCCTGCTGTCACCACGGAGACTTGCCTCTCTCTCGCACATGCACCTGGGAACATGCCCATGTGTGTGACTCGGGTGAGCACCATGGCTCTGGGTACGGCCCTGGGCGGGGCCGTGTGGGGAGGAATGAACTCCAGGCTCCCGGGCTCCTATCCCGCCTTTGCCACTGGCCGCTCCCTGTGGAGAGGACAAGTCTCTTCGCTTCGGCCTTCTCATTCCTTCCACCTCCATGGCGCCTTGTCTCTGTCATCTCAAGATCACCCCACTTCTTTTTTCTTTCTTTTTTTAAATTTCTTTATTGATGAAGGTATCACATATGTGTCCTCATTCCCGCCCCCCAATTCCCATCCCAAACCCCTCCCCACGTGTGCCCCCACCCCCCTGGTGCCCGTGACCACTGGTTAGGCCCATAGGCGTGCACACAAGTCCTTTGGTTGATCTCTTCCCCTCCCCCCCACCCTCCCCTGCCTTCCCTCTGAGGTCTGACGGTCTGATCGATGCTTCCCTGTCTCTGGGTCTGTTTTTATTCATCGGTTTACGTTGTTCGTCATTTCCCCTCCATGCATGAGATCACGTGATACTAGAAATGCCCTTATAAGAACGGAAAATGAGACCAGCCATCATAATGGTTTTGCCCAGAGGCAAGTGAATCTGTCTGGGCCAACAGTTCTTCGGAGTCCCAGTTTCAGATTCACCCCACCTCTGCCCAGCTTTGATCTCAGGGCCTGAAGTGTTGTCCCTTTAAGCAAAGTCAACAGCCAGGTCATAAACCTGAATAATGCTCACCCACGCCCAGCCCAGGCTTCCCTGGGCCCCGTGGGACAGACACACAAGGAGACACATGGAGCGCCCACGTGGCAGGCGCGTCCTGGGTCCGTGTGAGTGTCTCCAGGGAGACAGACAGTCTCCCACTTTCTCCCGCCAGAGCGGTTCGGTGGGTGGCGTTTTCAGTCATCAAAACCCATTTCGGAGCCCTGGCCAGTGTGGCCCAGTGGACAGAGTGCCGGCCCTCGGCCTGAGGGGTCCCCGGGTTCGGTTCCAGTCAAGGGCATGTGCCTCGGTTGTAGGTTCCCGGGCTCTGCTCAGGGTGCATGCGGGAGGCAACCCATCGATGTGTCTCTCTCACATCCAGGTTTCTCTCTGCCTCTTCCTCTCCCTTCCACTTCGCCAAAAAATCAGTGGGAAAATTAACAAATTTTGTTAATTCTCAAGTGAGAATTAACAAAAAAAATAGAAGAAGAGAGAAGAAGAAGGAGGAGGAGGAGGAGGAGAAGGAGGAGGAGGAGGAGGGAGAACCAAAACAGATGTTTGACTCAGTGGATAGAGCGTCAGCCTGTGGACTAAAGGGTCCCAGGTTTTATTCCGGTCAAGGGCATGTACCTTGGTTGCGGGCACATCACCAGATGGGGGGTGTGCAGGAGACAGCTGATGGATGTTTCTCTCTCATCGATGTTTCTAGCTCTCTATCCCTCTATCCCTCTCCCTTCCTCTCTGTAAAAAATCAGTAAGGTATATTTTTTAAAAAAGAAAAGAAAGGGGGGAGATTCAAATAGTACAAAATAGAGAAAGTAGTGAAGCTGAGCAGAGTGAGGGCGGCTCCCCATGAGACATAATTGGTTGTATTATGCAACCTCTGTAGGAAACTCAACGCATGGAGTCCTTTTTTAATATTTTATTGATTTTCCAGAGAGAGGAAGAGAGAGGGATAGAGAGTTAGAAACATCGATGAGAGAGAATCATCGACCAGCTGCCTCTTGCACACCCCCCACTGGGGATGTGCCCGCCACCAAGGTCCATGCCCTTGACCGGAATCGAACCTGGGACCCTTCAGTCCATAGGCCGACGCTCTATCCACTGAGCCACACCGGTTTCGGCAACGCACGGAGTCCCTGCCCTTCAAGAACTTGCTCACAGAAAGTCCCATAGCGATAAGCGTGTTCCCTCTCAGACGTGTTCTGTTCTCCCCCCCCCCCCCAAACCTCCCAGGCCCATTTGTCTGTCCATGGGAGACAGTGTTATCTGGGATTGCGGGCAATAACAATTAACTTCGTAACAATTAACCACAGCCTCCGGCCGCAAACACGCCACCGGGCAAACAGGACCCTGATATCATCAACTGACAGCGACGCCCGCCCGGACTCCCTGGGCGCTTAGGAACCAACCGGGACCTTGGTCCCCGGAGGCCCACGTGGGGCCCAGATGCTGCCCAGGGAACACGTCAGACGTTGGAAAGTTACCGCCGAGCGTGTGGCTGCCCTGGATCGGGGCGGGAAGAGGGTGAGTCACCGGGCAAGAAGCCGGGCGTGGACACGACCGTTAGCGACGGCTCCTTTGGGTATTTTCTGAATCACCCAGCGAGGAGATGCTCATTGGGGGGCTGTGGGAAGCCCGGCCTGCTGGCTCAGCGCTCAGCGGTGGAGCATTGACCGAGGAACCAGGACCGTGGTCGGCAAACCGCGGCTCTCGGGCCCCTGGAGCGTGGCTCTTCCACAAAACACCACGGCCTGGGCGAGTCTGTGTGGAAGACGTGGCGTGAGGAGACGTTTACGTTTTTAAAAAATGTGGCTCTCTCCAAAGACGTGTCCGTCGCCGTGCTGTTGATATTTGGCTCTGCGGGCTGATGAGTTTGCCCACCACTGAACCAGGAGGTCACGGTTTGATTCCGGGTCAGGGCACAGGCCCGGCTTGCGGGCTCGATCCCCAGTAGGGGGCGTGCAGGAGGAAGCCGATCCGTGGATCTCTCTCGGCATGGATGTTTCTCTCTCTCTCTCCTTCTCCCTCTCCCTCTCTGACATCAATAAAACCATATTTAAAAAATAAGAGAGAGATTGCTGAAACGGTTGGCTCAGTGGATAGCGCATCAGCCTGCGGACTAAAAGGTCCCGGGTTCCATTCCAGTCAAGGGCATGTGCCTTGGTGGCGGGCACATCCCCAGCTGGGGGTGTGCAGGAGGCAGCTGATGGATGTTTCTCTCTCACTGGTGTTTCTAGCTCTCTATCCCTCTCCCTTCCTCTCTGTAAAAAATCAATAAAAATATTTTTTAAAATAAATAAATAAATGAGAGAGAGAGAGAGAGAGAGAGAGAGAGAGAGAGATGGAACTTGTCAGTTGCAACTCTCACATGCATTTATCCAAATCCAAACACTGTCCTCTGTTCTTGAGAGACATGAGCCCCCGCTCCCCCTGCCCTCACCACCACCACCCCCCCGCCCCCAGGCACCGCGTGGCTGTCTGTCTGTCTGTCCGAGGCCACAGGCGGGAGCTCTGTCTTCCCGCTCCCCCGTCGGGAGTCCGTGAAGCCCTCTCCAGCCCTCACTCCCCTGGACTCTCCAGGAAACCGCCCTCGGAGGGCTCGGCCGCACTTGTGCCTTCGATGAATCAGCGGCCGGGCTGCGCGCCAGGTCCGTGTCTGCAGACGGCCTCGCTGCCGAGCGCGGGGCTCGGTCCGGGCCGCACACGCGTGTCCTGGCTGCACCCGGAGGGGTGGGGGGCTTTCCCATCAAGGTCACTGCTGGGGTCTGGAGTTCCGCTCAGGGTGCCCTGGGAAGAGGGGGCTGGGGCGGGAAGACGGGGTGGCCCATGCCAGACCCCCATCCTGTGCCCCGTGTCCCCCTCGAGCGGCCAGGCCCTGCCCTCGGTGGTGGGCTCACCGGTGCCGCCTTCATTGGGAAATGGCCCTGTCGGCAGCCAGGTGGGTCTAGGCTACGATCGGAGGCCGTGGCTCCCCCTGGGGAACGAAGCCCAAACACCCGCCACCTTCAAGCCCAGTCGCCGCGGACAAAGGCCCCTTGTGTCGCCGACGTGTCCCTCGCCTCCTGCGGACAATGACGCCGTCAGACGGGCTCCTTCACGCTCTAAGGCCAGCTCTCCGGGGCCCCGGGGCCCGGCGGGGGGAGCTGTGAGCCGCTCCCCGTGGCCCTGCGGACGGGGGTGACCCAGAGCGTTGGGCGCTCGGACTTCTGACCGGCCGCCCAGGTGAGTCACGGCGGATGAGAACTCACAAACGCTCCCAGTTTCGGGCCGCCTCTGAAGGTCTCGTCCCTGAGAGGGGAGCTGGCTCGCTCGGTCCTGGCCCGGAGACCAGGGGTGGGGATGGGGGAGAGGAGAGAATTGCGTCTCCTCCCATTCCTGTCCCCGCTAAGGGGGGGAGGGGGGTGCCTCAAGGTCGGCCCACACGTCTGTTCCGTGGATGGCTGTAGGGCAGCTGTCGGTGGCATGGCGGGAGGGACTGAGGCGGGAAGAGCTGTGGACACTGAGTTTCCTCGGGAGGCCTTCAAAGTGCTTCCGGCCAGAGGTTGGGGACAGAGCCAAAGCTCTGAGGCAGCTGCACTGCCTGCCCGACCTCCTAGGAACCAGGAGGTCACGGTTCGATTCCCGGTCAGGGCACACGCCCCCGGTTTTTGGGCTCGACCCCCAGTAAGGAGGTGGATGCAGGAGGCAGCTGATCCACGATTCTCTCTCATCACTGATGTTTCTCTCTCTCTCTCTCTCTCTCCCTTCCTCTCTGAAATCAATAAATTTAAAAAAAAAGAGAGGGAGGGAGTTAGAAACATTGATGAGAGAGAAACATGCATCAGCTGCCTCCTGCACACACCCTACTGGGGATGTGCCTGCAACCAAGATACATGCCCTTGACTGGAATGGAACCCGGGACCTTTCAGTCCGCAGACCGACGCTCTATCCACTGAGCCAGGCCAGTTAGGGCTGTCCCATTGAGAGAGAGAGAGAGAGAGAGAGAGAGAGAGAGAGAGAGAGAGAGAGAGAGAGAGAGGAAGAGAGAGAGAGAAACATCGATGTGAGAGACACATCCATTGATTGCCTCCCTCCCGTAGGCGGCCCGGATTGGTGATCAAGCCCACAACCTGGGCACGTGCCCCGGACCAGAATCAAAGGCGGGACCCCTCCGTCCATGGGCCGGTGCCCTAACCACTGAGCCACCAGCTAGTAAACCTTTTGCAATTGCTGTTACGCTTGTCGAGGTTCCCCACCTCAGGTTTCCCATTCCTTTAAAGGTGCTGGCCCAGGGACACGGCAGAGATGGGCGGTTCAGATCCCAACGTCCACCCTGGAGCAGACCTAACGGGGGGGGGGGGGGGGCGGGGGGGAGCCTTCCCTCCGTCCTCGGCCGGGACGGCTCTGCAGGCCCTTTGCTCCCGGCTTCTGGGAACCCTCTGGAGGCAGGTCATCCCTTCCTCATTCTCTCTGGTCTTTAAACAAAAGACTTGAGCAAGGCCCCATGCGATTGATCTGAGCGCTTCCGGCAGGAGGCGGCGGCTGGCCAGTGTCACCGCTCACCGCTGGAGCCGTAAACATCTGATCGCAGGCCCAGATAGGCCTGGGTCACAAAGCCCAGGCCCGTCCCTGCGAGGGGAGTGACCTCTGTCCCCGCAGCCCCCTCTGGGGGGGAGGGGGCACTTAGAGGCGGAGTCCCCGCCTGATAGCGGGATGTTTATGACCCTCTGCGGGGATGTCACATCCTTTCGGCCACGGTTCACATCTCAGCTGCTTCAGTATCAGGCCTCGCAATCGAGCAAGCCGACTGCCTTAAAATAAATCTCTTTCTTTCGGGGTTTTTTTTTCATTACTGAATGCATTTTAATACACCTTTTTTCAGAATTCAAGAAGACATCAACCAGAAATAAGCTGCAACACAGAAAACTCAAATACACAGTAACAGCGCACAGGAACAGATATAATAAACTTGCAATAAAGCACACAGTGCAAAATCTCTTTCTGTGGAGCCCCGAGCCAGCTGGGCTCACTGGATAGAGCATCCGCCTGCAGACGGAAGGGTCCTGGGTTCAATTCCTGGTCAGGGCACCTGCCTGGGTTGTGGGCTTGAACCCCTGTAAAAAAAAATCAATAAAATATGATATATATTTATATTTTATTGATTTTTTACAGAAAGGAAGGGAGAGAGAGAGGGTTAGAAACATCGATGAGAGAGAAACACCGACCAGCCGCCTCCTGCACACCCCCCCACTGGGGATGTGCCCAAAACCAAGATCCATGCCCTTCACTGGAATCGAACCTGGGACCCTTCAGTCTGCGGGCTGAGGCTCTATCCGCTGAGCCGCACCGGTTTCGGCAAAATAGATATATATTTTTTTAAATCACGAGTCTTCTTGGTGGACTGGCCTTTTTTCCATTCTATCCTTTCCCTCCCTGTCTCCGCTCATCTCGCTTGCCCCGTGGCCCGCTTGGCCCCCATATCCACACAGCATCCTCCAGGCCGGCTCCGGGTTCGGGGCCCCGGTGGCCGGACGCTGCCCGAGAAAGTGTGACTCCGGGACCGTCCTGGTCTGTCCCGTGGCTCCCCCGTGGCTCCCCCGTGGCTCCCCCGTGGCTCCTCCGTGGCAGCCAGAGAGCTCTGAGTGGCTTTGACCTCCTCCTCCTCCTCCCCCTCCTCCTCCTCAATCCGCAGGAACCACGGCCCAGGTCAGCGGCAGGCCAGGGCCCTCCCGCCTGCCTCCTCCCTCCCTCCCTCTCCGGTTTTAGGGAGGAGGCTCAGAGTCTTGGCAGAGGCTGGAGGAGACATCGCCAAGCCCACAGCCCTACCAATAAAAATAATGTGTGATTTGGGGGGGGAGGGGGGGAGCAAAATGCCCCGCCCGGCTCCGGGCGCTGGGAACGCGGGATGGGGCTGTTCTTGGGAGGAAAACATTCCCCGCACCGCCCCCTCTCCCCTCCCCTCCCCCAGCCCCGGCTGGCAGGAGAACCTGAGAACCATTCTCAGCCGGTCCTCCCAACACCGAGGACCACACACTGTGCTGCTGGGCCGGGATCATCCTGGAGCTGAGTACAGAGGTCCCCAGAGCCCGGGGCTGGATGGCCTGTTCCGTTATTGTTGTGTTTTCTTTCTTTTTTTAAAAAAATATATATATATTATTGATTTTTCACAGAGAGGAAGGGAGAGGGATAGAGAGCTAGAAACACCGATGAGAGAGGAACATCGACCAGCTGCCTCCTGTACGTCCCCCACTGGGGATGTGCCCGCCACCCAGGCCCATGCCCTTGACCGGAATCGAACCTGGGACCCCTCAGTCCGCAGGCCGACGCTCTATCCACTGAGCCACACCAGCCAGGGCTTAGTATATTTTTATTGATGTCAGAGAGGAAGGGAGAGGGAGAGAGAGAGAGAGTCAGAAACATCCATGATGAGAGAGACCCATGGATCCGCTGCCTCCTGCACGTCCCCCACACTGGGATGGAGCCTGTAACCCGGGCCTGTACCCTGACCTCCTGCTGCCCAGGTCGACGCTAGGCCCCTGAGCTCGCCAGCCGGGCTCCTGTGCTTTCCTGCCTGGGAGGAGAGCTAGAAGGGGGAGCCTCCAGGATCTCTGACCGTCCCCGCAGACTCGGGTCTGTGTTGAACTCCACGGCACACAGGTGCTGGCTGTGCCGATGTTGTTGAACTTGACGGGAAAGGATGGCTTCCGTCAGCAAACGTGGTCGCTGCATTGCAGCGGGCTCTGTGCACGATGCTCACTTTATGGCTGGACTTCAAAGATCCCTGCGCAAGGAGGCCAACATTCTACACGTTTTAGGTCATTTATATATTTTTTCTCCTCTCCCTAAACAGGACGCTCCTAAGCCTGGTTATGTTCTGTGCTTTTCCCTTCCAGCCCCCACGATCCTACACTGAGGTGGCCAGACGTCCCGCTTCTGGCGGGACAGTCACGATTTTTAATAATTTGTCCCGTGTGCCTCTGCATTTTTTTTTTTTTTTAAAAAAGACCCGATTTTTAAAATGCCACGGGACATGGGACAAATTGTTGTGTGTTTTTTTTTAATTGATTTTACACAGAGAGGAATTGAGAGGGACACAGAGCTAGAAACATCAGTGAGAGAGAGACATCCATCAGCTGCCTCCTGCACACCCCTCACTGGGGATGTGCCCGCAACCAAGGCACATGCCCTTGACCGGAATCGAACCCGGAACCTTTCAGTCTGCAGGCCGATGCTCTACCCACTGGGCCACACCGGTTTCAGCTGAAGTGCTTTTCTAAAAATATATATATTTTATCGATTTTTTATTTTATTTCATTTTTTTACTGAGCCATACCAGCCGGGCTGCTTTGGGCTCTGAGTGTGCTGTGAGCTGAGCTCCAGGGATAAGCAGAGAGGAGGGACCTCAGACCTGGGAGAGAGAGACAGATGCCCCGGGGAAAGCAGGTCCCGCTCCGGAGGGGGGCGTGGGGGCCCCCGGGCTGGGCCTGCACAGGATGTCCCCGCGCCTTCTGCGAACCACTGAGCCTGAGGCTGCATCTCACCCAGGCCTCTAAGGGCCTCCCGCCACCGGCGCTGGCCTGGACGGCGGCCAGAGGCGGGGGTTGAGGGGGTGGGGGGACAGGGCCGGGCCGGCTCAGCTTCTGCTGTTTTTCCCTCCCCCCTCCCCCCTTCCCTGCGGACCTGCTCTGTGAATCGGGCCTCTGTTTGCTTTGACTCGGAGCCAGGATGACCTCAGAGGCTGGTGGTGACTCACACCGCTGGCCCCTGTGAGCGGTTCCCAGGGACCCTTTCCTGAGGCCTCCCCTCCCGCCCCCCAATCCGGCCGGGGGGAGGGGGGGGCGTCGGGTTACTCTCTGCGGTCACACGCAGTCCGTGTGGTTTCGTGTGTCCGGGGGGCTCCGTGTTCTACAGCCCGGAGCAGGGAGAAACCCGGCTGCTTTCATTCAAGAGTTTAAACTTTAAAGGATGCCCGGCCGGTGTGGCTCAGGGGTGAGCGTCGACCTAGGAACCAGGAGGTCAGGGTTCAATTCCCGGTCAAGGGCACAGGCCCGGGTTGTGGGCTCCATCCCCAGGGTGGGGCCTGCAGGAGGCAGCCGATGCTTGATTCCCTCCCATCATAGATGTTTCTCTCTCTCTCTCTCTCTCTCTCTCCCTCTCCCTTCCTCTCTGACATCAATAAGAATATATTTTTTTAGCCAAAATCAGTGTGGCTCGATGGATAGAACGTCAGCCTGCGGACTGAAGGGTCCCAGGTTCGATTCCGGTCAAGGGCATGTACCTTGGTTGCAGGCACATCCCCGGTAGGGGATGTGCAAGAGGCAGCTGGTCGATGATTCTCATCGGTGTTTCTAACTCTCTCTCCCTCTCCCTTCCTCTCTGTAAAAAAAAAAAAAAAAAATCAATAAAATATGTATTTTTTTAAACCATATTTTTCTATATATAAAAATGAACATACCTCTGGTCTGTTCTCCCCACCCCAGATCTTCTTCCCTGAATAAGAGGGTTAGTTAGGTCCTCACTCAACCTTCCCGGGCAAGTCCCTACTGGCCAGCCCCTCGCCCCCTCCCTCCATCACCCCCCCCTCCCGCCCCGTCCACTGCTCTCGGCCCCCATGCGGGGCTGTGCTGCAGGCCTGGGGCCGGCACGGCCTGCCCTCAGGACAAGGGCTGAGGGCCAACAGGGACGGGGGACCCGCTGGCTGTCCCCACAGGGCGCAGAGAGTCTGACCCCCTTTTCTGGTCTGACTGGAAAGCTCCCAGCTGCGCCTGGGGCTGGGGGAGGAGGCTGGGGAGGAGGAGGCTGGCCGCAGCCCTGACCCCTGACCCCTGCTCTCTGCTGCGTTACTGGCAGAGCGGCAAGGAGGCTCAGCGAGGTGGGTGAGTCACCCAAAAAGGACGGAGGAGGGAGGCAGGGCCAGAGACTCAGCTCAGCCAGGGGGTGTGCAGGAGGCAGCTGATCGATGATTCTCTCTCATCGATGTTCCTAACTCTCTATCCCTCTCTCTTCCTCTCGGTAAAAAATTCAATAAAATATATTTTTTTAAAAAGAGAGAGAGAGCCCCGGGTTTAAAAGAGAGAGAGAGAGAGAGAGAGAGAGAGAGAGAGAGAGAGAGAGGGAATGAATCATGGACCAGCCACCTCCTGCACGCCCCACATGGGGAGCCGCTATCCATAGAGGGCGGTGTGAATAGGGCCCTGCCCCGCTGGCCCTCACCTGCCACCTGCTCGTCCTCGGGGTGTGTGTAGGCTCAGGGTTTGCGCGATTCTTTGTCTGTCTGTCTGTCTGTGTGTCCTGAGGGTCCCTGGGATGCTGCCCCCTTTGCAGCAAGGAGACAGAAGGGAGAGGGACAGAGAGCTAGAAACATCGATGAGAAAGGAACATTGACCAACTGCCTCCTGCACACCCCCTACCGGGGATGGGCCCACAACCCAGGTGCATGCCCTTGACCGGAATCGAACCCGGGACCTTTTCAGTCCACAGGCCGACGCTCTATCCACTGAGCCACACCGGCGTCGGCCCCATCTCACATCTTATGGGCCCCAGGTGATGCTGTTGCTCCTCCCTTTTCTTCCTTGGAAGAAGAATCTAGAAGAGAAAAAACGCCGTGCAGAGAGGACTTGTTGACGTGGGAGAAACAGGTGTGGCCTGGCCCGAACCCTCTAATCTGATGGATTCTGCACGCCGTGTGCCCGGGCCGGGCACCGCCGGGGCGGGCTCCGAGTCCTTCCTGCTGGGCGTCCGTCCACCCGCACTCCTCCCGGGCGCTGGAGTCCGGGGTGCTCCCCCGGGCTTTCTGGGAGCTGAGAGATGGTGGATCCGTAATAAATAAGAAGAACGGCCCCCAATGCCTCGGGGGGCCCATCTGGACCGGCCCCGCGCCCCCGGCGGCCGGCTGGATGGATTGATAAGGAGGGCGGTCCGCTGGCCGAGCTCTCGCCCTGGTTTTGGATCAATAAATCCGTCGTCAGGGAGCCAGCCGGGCGGGTGGAGTGCAGGGAGGTCTGATCTGGCCCCGCTGGGCCCGCGGTGCCAGGCGCTTGCTTGGACGGAGCCCTGCCTTTCTGCTCTCCCTGCGCCTGCTGGAGTCCTGCCCCCCCACACACACACACCCCGTGGCCTCCCTGTGGCCCTGAAGTGGTTACACGTCCACCTGGGAGCCAGGAGGTCAGGGTTCGAGTCCCGGTCAGGGCACAGGCCCGGGTTGCAGGCTCCATCCCCAGTGGGGGGCATGCAGGAGGCCGCCGGTCCATGATTCTCTCTCTCAGCGCAGATGCTTCTCTCTCTTTCTTCCTCTCCCTTCCTCTGTGAAATCAAGTTTTTTAAAAAAAAATTATTTAAAGAAATAAAGAAAAGGGACCCCCGCTCTGAGCTGAGAGCCTCCCCTCCCTCTGGGACAGGTACTCCGGCTCTAACCCCAAACTGTCCGGGGTCGAGTGTCTCACCAAGGAAAAGGGGGAGGACAGGAGGAGACAGAAGAGGCCCCACAGCAGGACGACCCCCGCCCCCGCCCCCTCCCTCCCATGGGCGCCCTGCG